CATATTCTCTCGATATTCCTTGCGGGTATGGTGAACTTACCAGAGGTGCGAACACCATTGACTCTAGCCGCATTCGGGTTGCCTCGGAAAAATGCCGCTAGTCGATGCTCCATTTCGTCGTAAAACGCCGTGCCTCCAAATTCCCTTTCACAGTACGTCTTACAGGCTGCTGACATTTGATTCCAGGTCCATTGAACGTTGTTTAGTTGGGAAAGATTGCGGGGGAAGTCCATCTTGAGAACCTCTGGGCACAGATGGTGTGGCAAGATAATTATGAGCGCCTGGCATTGGCATTGTTATATAAACAGTATTTTTGGCGCATATGATGTGGTACCGAACATTTTGATTACATAATTCGATAGAACTGAGAGGTCCTCTTGAAATTGTGAGGACGGGCGAGACTCTTCCTGACCTGATCCGTCTACTCAAAAAGATGTACAATAAGGAGGCCTTTAATGTAACTATGGGGGAAATAAGATTCGTCAACCTTTGATATTAGCATGATCAAGGTTGCTGCAGATCATTCGGTAGAGGTTTGAAGATGAAGCCCCCATCCTCTGACACGTTCCGATGACCAGCCCATTCCCTGAAGAAGGGAGTCATCCAATCGACACTGCCATTTTGTTGTGCACGACTTGTGGAGGGCCTCAAATAAGGCCTCAAGGTGACTATGGAACCCTCTTAAAAAAGCAGTATCTTTTCAGTTGCCTTACACTTTTCTCCTGAACGCTACCAATTATGCCCAAGAAGATTCCTCAACCTCCTTCAGCTTTCTTGGTCGGCAATGTTGGCGAGATCGATCCCGAGTTTCCTCTGGGCTCCTTTGAACGTCTCGCGGACTTATATGGACCTATCTACCGACTAGACATTGTGGGAAGGAAGCAAATTTTCATTAGCAGCCAGGAATTGGTGGACGAGGTGTGCGACGAAAAGAACTTCGACAAAGGTGTTCAAGGGGCATTGGTTGAACTCAGGAATTTACTTGGGGACGGGCTATTCACAGCCTATAACGATGAGCCTGTAAGTGGCAGACAAGGCTTTGTCCAAGGGAAAGAAGTGAACTGACTGGTGCTCATTTGACTGCCATAATACAGAATTGGGCGCTCGCGCACCAGATTTTGATGCCAGCTTTCAGCCCGGCTAAGCTTAGATCGCTTTTTCCAAACATGCACGACATTGCCTCCCAGCTGATTTTAAAGTGGGAAAGATTCGGAGAGGATTATAGGATCAATGCTGCTCACGATTTCACCAGGCACGTTGCGGAAGTGGGTTAGGCTTTGGTCAATGATAACGCTGGGACTTACTCTTCCATATAGATTGACGCTCGACACCTTAGCTCTATGTTCGTTCGATTATCGGTTCAACTCTTTTTATACCGAAGAAATGGTGGGTCTCTGTACGCTTCCGTGATGCGTCAATAGCTAGTCCCATCGAGTGTTACTTTTTCCGCAGCACCCCTTTGTTGAAGCCATGGTAAACGTTCTCCTCGAAGCCGGCCATCGTTCGCAGCGTGTCCCTATCCAGCAAAGCCTTATGTTTCGTACCACGCGTAAGTTTCACCAAGATATCGCGTATATTCACGAACTTTGCGATCAGATTGTAAAGACAAGACGAGAGCAACCCACCGATGCTAAGGATTTGCTAAACATGATGCTGAACGGTAAATATACTTGCTAGAAAGATGTCTGGTTAACTAGATACGAATGCAGTTACGTATTCGTCACCAATCAATGGTTCAGGTCGGGACAAGGCAACAGGCCAACAGTTGTCCAAAGAAAACATTCGTTTTCAGATGGTTACATTTTTAGTTGCCGGTATGTCCTCGACTGTACCTTGCAGAGTATAACGAATGAAGCTACACGCTCTTCGTTGCCACAGGGCACGAAACTACGTCCGGTTTGCTCTCGTTCGCATTTTATTACCTACTTAGCAATCCCTACGCGCTACAAAAGGCGCAATCTGAAGTGGACCAGGTAACGGGCGGCGAGCCCGTTACGCTTGACCATATTTTCAAACTCCCGTACATCGACGCAGTGCTGAAAGAAACCCTGCGCTTGCAACCAACCGCGCCTTTCTTCACACGCAAGGTCAAAGCGACAGAAGGCCGGACAAATTACATCTTCAAGAACGGCGAGTACGAAGTAGGCGCACATGATGTTATTAGCGTTATTATAGGAAAACTCCATAGAGATTCCAAAGTGTGGGGAGAAGATGCTGAGGAATTCCGGCCTGAACGCATGCTCGAGGGAAAGTTCGAAGCACTCCCGCCTAATTCGTGGAAGCCTTTTGGCAGTGGTCTTAGGGCCTGCATCGGACGTTCGTTCGCTTGGCAGGAGAGCTTGCTGACCGTCGCCATGATTTTGCAGAAGTTTGATATGGAAAAGGCCGACCCAGCTTACGATTTGAGGATCAGGCAGACGTTGACAATCAAACCTAACGATTTTTACATGAAGGCGAGAGTGAGGAAGAATGTACGGGCGCCAAGGGCTTTATCGGTTGATATCGTCGGGCACAAGGCGGCTAAAGAGGCGGAGGTCTTGTTGAAGGAAACCATCACAGGATCTCAGGATAAAGGCGGAGAACGGAAGTTAACCATTTTATTTGGATCTAATGCTGGTACGCACCTGCGCTAGAAATTATTACCTATTCTACTGTACTCTACCATAACTCTATGTTCAGGTTCTTGTGAATCTTTTGCCGATCGGCTGGCCTCTGACGCTTCAAACTATGGCTTTTCCGCCACTACGGCCACACTGGACTCTGCAACTGAGGCTCTCCTATCTACAAATCCAGTGGCAATCATCTGCTCATCTTACGAAGGCCAACCCCCTGATAATGCCCGCCAGTTTGTGGCTTGGCTCACTGGTCCGTCAGTCTCAGATACGCTAAAGGGGGTTAAGTACGCGGTTTTTGGATGTGGACACACAGGTTGGGCTCAAACATACCAACGAATCCCCATATTGATCGACGAGACGTTACATGAAAAAGGTGAGTGCCGGGCGAAATGAACGCCGAAGAGACGTATAAAGAAAATTAGACTTTCGAATACCACTATTAAGATGCATCCCGTCATTGGTAGGGGCCGAGAGACTACTATATCGAGGCTGTGCTGACGCTGCTGGAGATTTTTTTGGCGAATTCGATGAATGGGAAAACAAATTTTGGTGTATGATGCAAGACAAGTTCGGGGCGGGTTCTAAGTCTACTCAGGGAACTTCTACAGCCGATGATGTTGACGCGGGCAGTGCGGCCAACGTAACGTCCACGTTCCAAGTGCAAGTGTTGAGCAGCAACAGAGCTACGGTCTTGAGTCACCAGAAATTTGAATACGGTGCTGTAGTTGACAATCGAGAGTTGACCTCGAACGTCTTGAAATGCGGCGGGATGCCCAAAAGGCATTTAGAAATCAAACTCCCCGAGGGTATGACTTATCGTGCTGGTGAGTTTGTTGTCGTCATTAATAAACGATTTAGACCTAGCTAATAGCGCTGGTGGCTAGGCGACTACTTGGGGGTAATGCCTGTTAATCCGATCCACGACGTTAAACGAGTTTTGTATCGCTTTAAACTCCCAGTTGATGCCAACATCATGATAAAGACCGAAAAGAGGACTTTTTTGGTACGGGCCCAAGTCGTCTTTTTTCTTTTCTCTCTTGTCATCTGAGAGTAGTTCATTTCCAAGCCCACCAATCTGCCTATTCCGGTTCATACCGTTTTAGGCGGCTACGTCGAGCTAAATCAGCCGGCAACCCGCCGCCAGTTGGACACTCTTCGTCTCCTTGCACCTGCGGAGCTTCAATCTGCCTTTAGTCGCTTCAACGATGCAGACTACAATACCGAGATCCTTAACAAACGCGTGTCGGTTTTGGATCTACTGGAACTGTACCCTGCTCATCCATTGGAATTCGGCCAGTTCCTCTCCATGTTACCACCCATGCGAATGCGCCAATACTCAATCTCCTCTTCGCCACTCTGGAACCCTTCTCATGTGACCTTAACAATTGACGTTCTGAAATCACCCGCGATTTCGGGGCACGAAACAAAGCTCGGGGTGGCCTCTACCTATCTCTCTCGTACCAGTCCGGGAGAGATGGTTGCCTGCTTCGTGCGTCCTTCCGCCGCAGAATTTCACTTGCCCCTAGACCCCACCGTCCCTATTATCATGGTCGCGACGGGGAGTGGGATCAGCCCAATGAGGGGTTTCATTCAGGAACGTGCGGCCATGGTCGCCTGTGGTCGAGAGGTAGGAAAAGCTTTACTCTATTTTGGCTGCCGTAATGCAGAGGAGGATTTCATATACAGAGACGAACTTCAACGGTGGACAGCACTAGGCGCCGTGCAAGTCCGCCCCTGTTTCTCACGTGGAAGCGGTGTTCCCACACCACCAGCATCACCTTCTTCATACCCCGATCGTCCTACACAGCATAAATACGTCTACGAAGCCATGTATGCTGACCGTGAGGAGCTAAAGGAGATGTTTATTGACGGTGCGAGGTTCTACGTATGTGGTAGTGCGAGCAAGTTAGCCAAGAGCGTAAGGGAGACCTTTATCAGGATCTATAGGGAGATGAAAGGGGTTGGCGAGGAAGAGGCGCAGAAGTGGTTTGAAGAATTGAAAGGGGTCAGATATGCGACGGATGTGTTCGGCTGATTGAGATGCTAGGTTCAGTCTTGCGGACGCGCGATATCGCGACTATATGTGGACATGGTTTCGTTATATGGTGCTTTTTTCTTTTTGATATCTTCTGTCAATGTATTGCTTTACATCATGAGAGGCGACAGTCATTAAGAGATATGTTATGAGGTTGCGCTGTGCAAAGGTTATGTCAAAGAAGCAGTGGGGATGAGCTGGAACTTTGATTATAAGGCGAGCTCCAAGTGTAGCCAGGTTGCTTTAGCTTACTTAGATAAAGGAATTTCGGAAATATCGAGGTTTCCGTAGCACAGCATTAGGATACTTTAGCCTAGTAGTAAGGGAATTTAAGAAACGCTCTTGGGAGGCTTCGCACATGCTGCCCAAAGTCACCTTGCATCGAACCTAAGCCGAGGCGACTTGAGGAGATGATGGGAGAACTGGAATAGATTGAAAGTTTGCGAAACCCTGGGGACGGGCCACCAAACATATGATATATACTGTAGAAGGTTATAGTAAAGTTCCTGAGCATAAAAAAGGGGGTTCAAAAAGTTCCGGCAAAAAAAGAACAGGAAAACACAGACTGGATCTAAGCGACAAGTACTTTCTTTTAAGATAATTTCTGGTTGACTAGTCCCGTTCTTGGAAACCCCAGCCAAAGTTTTCTGAAATATATTTAGGAGGTACGTTCGATCGACAGACCACCTTTCAAACAATATAAGGGGAGACGTAAAGCGACCTCTGGGTTTTGGTAAAATATAACGTTGCATCCCAAAATCTGCCGAAGATCGGGTGTTGAGGGCTGATTGTCATGTTTTGCATTTACTCTTTAAAAGTCTTTCAGGTATGGCAGCACTGTTCCTGCTGCTTCTGTCAGCCGATCGTGTTAATCGCCAAAGACGATGAGAAATATAAAAGCGCAGCTTGGAAAAGAAAAGCCGGTCCTTTTCGCAGATAGAGGATGTAACATGGTCGCATATTCTGATGACATAAAGATCAGATGGTGCAACACCTGTACCTCTGCCCTAACCCCAAAGTTGGCCAACGCTGACCTTGAGAAAAGCTCAGTATAATACTCCACGCTAAATTGGCAGTTCTTGCTGGGTTTAAAGAGCTATTGGGAAATCGGACCATGTTCCCTTGGCATTCATCGCACATCCATTGGGTTTGCGACGCAAAATGCAGATTGTATCCCCGGCATACGACGTAATCATTGCCCACAATACAGAGTTCCATATTGTTCTATTTGCTGCACACCATCTATCTTTTTGACCCCAATTGTTGGAATGCAGCATGTGAAATTTCTCTCACCGCTGTGGCATTCGCAGATCCTGTAGCCTCGACCAGCTCCGCAAACACTGACCCCTTCCTTTCCAATAATGTCCAGGGAGCATCGCACTCGACCGCTTTCCCCTCATCCAACACCAGCACCCGATCAAAGCCAGCAATTGTATTGAGACGGTGCGCTATACTGATCACAGTCGTGTCCTTAAAAGTGGTTGCGATCGATTGCTGGATCCTCTTATCCGCATCCGCATCAACTGCAGCAGTTGCTTCATCCATCACCAACACCTTTGCATTTGCCAGGATCGCCTTGGCGAGACAAAGCAATTGACGTTGTCCCACAGAAAGGTTACTGCCGCCTTCTGTAAGGGGTGCATCCAGTTTCTCCGGCAGAGAGGAGATGTAGGTTTTCAGACCTATCAGGTCTAGAGCTTGCCACATCTGCTCATCCGTATAACGAGATTCCAGGTCAAGGTTACTACGAAAAGTCCCGGAGAATAACGTCGGTTCCTGCGGGATCATTTGCAACCCCTTCCTCAGCGTCCTCAAACCTACACTAGCAATATCCCGGCCATCTATTTCGATGAGGCCATCCGACGCTTCTATGATCCTAAACAACGCAGTCACCAAAGTGGATTTCCCTGATCCCGTGCGTCCAATAATGCCAATCTTCTCCCCGGGTCTGATGCTGAGATCAAGGTGCTTGATGACAAGATGATCGGGGCGTGATTCATAACCTAGTTGGAGGGATTTGAAAGCGATAGCTCCCGCGGATGGCCAAGTGGAACCTTTGGGATCACTATCTAACTCAGAAGGAGCCTCCCGGGGTAATTCGTTAGCGTAGTAGTTGAGACGTTCGATAGCGTTGAACTGGGGGAAGACAAACAGGGAAAGCGTCAATATGACCGCCCCTTTTTCCTTTACTTGCGTACTCAGTTCACCTACCATCGCTTCGCCTCGCCCGAGATTGATAAAGAACTGGATGAGCACGGAACCAAGCGAGATGGCCGATGTAAGAGACACAGCCATGGTACTAGAGTCCGTAATCTTCAAGGGAGCAACCAAAACCAAAACCAAGACAACCGACGTTGACAGTATTTCAAGCCTTAACAAAAACCATAGTCGAGTCGCGTTATAGAAAAGAGTGGATAGATTACTCTGATCCGTCCTCGAACGTTGATTGGCAATGAATTTGTCATGTACTTTATACGCCATGATCGTCGAGAGTCCGTTCAGCGTTTCTGATACATGTGCACTGAGCGGTGACCTCATGATAGATTGCAGGCGCTTTAGTTCGCGGAAACTTGATTGATAGTAGCGGAAGAGAAGGAAGTACAAGAATGCTAGCACCGCAAGTAAAACTATTTGGGAGAGACAATTAGATCCTGCAACTTTTTTTGGTTGCTTTCACTCACCGAGTAAGAGGAGATTGGCATATACAATAACGATGAGGGTGGAAATGACATTTGTGCCAGTTGCAAAGAGGTCGATAAATGTATTTGGAAAATTAAGATCCTGCATGCCCAATGCAAAAGCATTTAGTCGCGCCCACTTTTAGTAGAAATTCAGAACTTACCACGTCTTTAACATCAGTGGTCAAGCGACTTATAATCCTGCCGACAGGCTGACTTTCAAAAAAACTCATAGGGGCCTGTAAAAGACCATTCATAGCCAATCGGTGGAATGCACGTCCCGCTTTATAACCCCCATAAGCGATGGCTCCACTCATACACACTTTGCAACGATTGGAAAGTGGTTGTGTCGGTAAGAGAGACCATGGTATAGTGCACTCTGCAAACATAACTACTTACTGCTCATGGCCGAGGAAAATACGCCCACCCCTGCGTAAAATCCAATATACTGCCAGGAAGTCCAACCAAAGCGATTGGTTGACCACCACGAAAGAGATAGAAGCACGGCACTGCTTGCAACGATGAGGAGAATGGTAGAGCAAATGACATTAAAGGCGAAAGGGATCCCTCCTCCGGCTTTAAAGTAGGATACAATTGTGGCACCCGTTACTTGTCCCTACAAGGCGGATGCGACATTGTCGGACTCATTCGGTAAAATCACAGTAAGGCAACGTCTCTTACCTTCTTACGCTCCTCCGCAACAATTCCTTGGGCCTTTGAAGATGGGGTTGTAGCTGGAGCCGTATTTAGCTCATCTTTTGTCTCGATTACATCATCGTTTTCTTCTGCGTCTTCATAGGCAGTCACCTCAGCGACATGGAAATCTTTCATCATCTGAGCGAGCAATCCATTTTTGTCGCTCATCAAATTCGGGAACGTGCCCGCTTGAACTATCCTTCCATGCTCAAGAACAATGATGTGGTCCACTTCTGGCAAAAGATGTAGCTGATGCGTCGCTAGCAAAACAGTTTTTCCTCGCAGAGCTCCGCAAATGGTTTTCTCGAACACTTCTTTGCTGACATGTGCATCCAAGGCCGCGATTGGATCGTCCAAGAGGTATATATCTGCATCTCGATATACGGCACGTGCTGCAAATCAACGATGAGACTTTCAGTCCAGGACATAAAAATCCGTCTGTCTTCCAACGTGAGATCACATACCAAGCGCAACTCGAGCTTTCTGACCCCCAGACAGATTAACACCTTTCTCCCCAATCTGTGTATCGACACCATGTGACAGCAATTGCAGATCACGATTCAACTGGCACACAGAGAAAGCATTCGAAAGCCGTTCGTCCGTCACATTCGAATTGAAGAGGATATTCTCCTTGATGGTACCGGTTATAATCCAAGGTTCTTGGGGACAATAGGCCATGGTTCCATATGCATTGGCTTCGCCATCAGTTCTACGCATATCTCCCACGAGAGCGGAAAAGAAAGAAGATTTTCCTGCTCCAACAGCGCCTACAATGGCGGTTAAACTGGCTCGCGGGATGTTGATAGACATATCTCGTAGTTGGAAAGTCGATGGGGGTTTTGCATCTGCTTCGGACTCACTGTTCTTTGACGATTCCCAGCAAAAACAGGCATTTTGCAGCGTAATTGCGTCATCTATATTCTTAACCTTCTCCAGGCGGCCCGTGAGATGTGATGGCTCGACTTCCTCCGCAAGCAGCAATGACTGAATGCGTCGCATGGACACCAGGAACTGACTCAGATTTCTGTCCAACAAATATCCAGGGTCAAATCATCAAATCATATATGTTAAGGAATTGATCGCATACTCACGCCACTACATCGGTAATGTCGGAGAAAGGAGTGGCAAGGGTGGAAAATAGACCAAGCACGGAGAAAGGAGCGGAACCAGACATATCGCCTCCGACTGCCGCGAAAACGACGAACGTGATGACGGGCACAAGGACCTGCTGCAGTTGCTTGACGCTGCTTAGCCAGAAAATCACCGTACAGAACAACCGGAAGGATTTATTCTGAATCTTGCGCGCTGCCGAAATCTTTTTAAAGAAGTAGTCTTCGCAAGCGGCGTATTTGATTACTTTGACGCCTGTAAAGCACATATGCAGAAGCTTAGAAACACCAACCAAAAGCGGGCATCTACCAGGAGACACACCCACCGTACAGGAACTCGCGAAGGAGCTTGATACGCGCATCCATGGATTTCATGTAGCCCCCCACGGCCTTCCCAAAGCCTGCGCCTAATGGTGTTTGCAGACCAATGAAGATAGCAAACAGGCCGATGGATACCCAGACCACTTGACCCAATAGTTTCCCAAGCAAAACGCAGCACACAATTATATGCACCGGAGCAGTCCACATTGGATTAATGAAGTTCGAGTACGTAGCAACTTTGGTGACATCGGCATTGATGAGAGTGATGATATGACCAGCAGGGAACTGTAGGCGGGCTTTATGAGAGAGGCGAAGAGTTTTCTCATACAATGCATCAGTCAAAACTGCGGTCGCTTCCACAGTAAGGTCGAGCCCGAGCATTTGTACCCCATTTGAGCACAGGGATAAGACGAGTTGGAGGGCGCACAAAATGAATGCAATCGCAACACCAGATTCGACGAAAAGCTTGGGGCCATCAGGTTGAGGATTCACATATTGCAACACTTGCGGAATCATGACAAAAGGAAGCCCGAGAGTGATGACAAGAGCAATCGCACGGAGGAGGGCAATCAATACCCTGTGATGAGCATGAATAGATTACTACAGGTACAGGGTGTGCAAGGTGTTGCTGTACGGCTTACAATCTTGGTGCGTAGAGAAGAGCGAGCGACTTCGTGAGGCTTGGTGGCGTGCATAAAGTATTTTCGAAAGGGTCCGTATAACGTTTGTACTGCTCCCAGAAACTACTGAGGTCGTTAGCGACTGAGACGGCTAGCATCACAGACAAAATCAATTCGAACAGATCCACCGAGCGACATGAACGTAACAAAGATCAATTGCACAAACCCTGCTGGCTTTTCGGAAGTGAGCCAAGATCCTACGATGAAGACTGCGGTAAGAAATAGCGGTATTATATCGTTAGCAAGTATAATCAAGGCAAACCTGTTCATCAAGCGCCTTCTTATATCCCAGTCTCACGAACGGGTCGATCCAGGAGAGAAAGACATTGGACAAGAATGGGCGACGAAGTTCCTTGCGAAGCATTGGAGCAGACGCCGAGTTGCTTTCGTTTGTCTCGCCCATTGCAGAAACAAGGATGGGTCACCCTTCTGCTGGCACTGAGGGGATCCCAAAGAAGAGGAACCACAAGCAGAGAGACGAGCAACAGGTCGACATTTTTAGCCCATTCCAATAGCTTCTGTTGCAGCCACGAATACATTCAAACAGGCAATTTGGTAAATTTGGGTAGAAGAAGGTCGACATTCTCATGGAGCAAATGCGATATGGCAAAGATTCCGCCAACATCCAAAAAAACGGCACTTTTCCGGAGGTTTTGCTGACCGGGGAATGGGCTGCGCGGTGCCTGAGCAGCCCCAACTTATCAAAAGTGATTGCTCACATGGGGTGCAAAACGATCAAAGCTGGCAGATCGCGGGACTAAGCCACTTAATTTGCTGGGGACGGACAGCTAATTAAATAAGGCGAGCTTTTCGGTGTGGCACAGTCATGCAAGTCCACGCGGCAACTCCGACACTCCATCTTCAGCCGATGTACTTCGATGGGCTTTTTGGTCTTTTTTGCTGGCAGAAGACAGTCTTTTGGCTCAGTGCATTCTTTTTCACCCAAAGTTTTCTTACGGGATGCTTGCAAAACTATGCCCGGAAGTACACCATTCCCATCGACTTGTTGACGTTTGAGTTTCAAGTACGGCCTACCCGCAGTGCTGGGGTACGGCCGGAAGAAGGCGCTTACATCAATGGAATTTTCTTGGAGGGGGCTCGATGGGATATTGAAGAGAATTCAATTGTAGAGAGTTATCCAAGGGTTCTTTATGATGCATTGCCCATTATACGGTTGAAGCCAGGAGAGAAAGCGAAATTTGAATCGAAAGATGCTTATGACTGTCCGGTAGGTCGCCGGGGCAAATTTGCCCTACTGCTATACTCTTCTAACCTACAACGATAAAGCACACAAAGAAAGGAAATCAAAAAACCAAGGACAAAAAAAAAAAACTGCGCTTGGGCGGCCGTGATGGTGACAGTCCGTTCGATTTAACTTGAAGTCCTGGCACACTGTCCGTCATTCAACGAGCCAAGTCCTTCCCTACAGCACCTCATCTGCCATTATGGCGCCCAAAGGCTTTGAAGCACTCGACGTCGAGATCGACGCAGCTTCGGACGCTGGGTATGACGATTAATGCGCTTTGACCTATTGCATTTACTAATGACCCATAACTCCTTTATGCGAAAAAGATCGCACCCGATTGCACCCTTACAAGCCGACTTCACGCTTACCTCCGATATCCTGAGCGAACTTCGCGTCAAGAAGGACTGTACGAATGAAATCAACAATCTTCTCATCTATGCGTTGGCGGCATTGGTCATTGTTTTGAACCGCCAGCACGAGAGACCTCTCTCCATCACCCTTATCAAGCGCTTTGCTACCGATTCGATCGACACAAAGCCACAGGTAGTCCAGTGCGAACCACTCAACATGCAAGCTACGGTCGGATGGACGATCAAGCAAATCGCAAAAAAGACGGCTGCACTTATTTCTGAGACTCCCCATTCTCTTACCGTTCTTCTCCGCGATGCAAGGTTCGTTTTAATGGCTGCTTGTTGACCTAGCTTGTTCTCATGACTCGCACGTTGCAGCTTGTCATCACATCTCCCATCGGACTCCGACATCCGCCTCGAGATCTTGGATTCAGCATCCGCCGCGTTCACCGGCCGTATCTCGGTCGATCCTTGTACCTTCCCGGACACGGCAGAGTCTTGTGCCCAGCAATTACGCGCTACGCTGACCAAGATGATGCTCCCCAATGTTGAGCAGCTTACATGCGAGTCTCTCATCTCCTCGGTAGTGCAGACGGCGTATTGGGCGGAGCAGTTGAAAAAGGCGCCTTCCTGCCCTTTTCCAACTGATAAAGCGCACAACGGAGAGGCACATATCCCGTCGATGAGATATCATCAATTCAGTTTTTCCTTGGAGCTATCGAACGCCATTGTCTACTATGCCTCAACGAAACAGACATCCCCCTTTGTTGTGATTCTCAGTGCATTGAATGTGCTTATGAGCCGATGGATGCGGAGCGAGGACATCTGTATTGGCTCAGTCTCAACCGTGGAAACATCCGACCACGTGAGGAACAAGTTAGCTCTCCGTATAAACATATCTGACTGCAAGAATTTCAATGATGTCCTGGATCGAGCCAGAAAAACATGTCTCGACGCTTTTGACAATGAGCAACTCCCGTTCTCCGACGTCCTCGCAGCCGTCAACCCGCCACGTTTACCTGGTCGTCACCCTCTGCACCAGTTCATGCTGATTGAACTGACTGGTACCGGACAAGTCCTCCAGAGTACTTTCGAGTCCCCAGCTGCGCACAAGGGTCCGATGCCCGTGGACGACCGGTTATCTCCGCTGGAGATGATATTCCATTTCACATGTGAGGAGGAAGGAGCTATTGAATGGACTGTTCAATTTGATGGCAACCTGTACTTGAGGGGAACAGTGGAAAGGCTTCTCTTACAGTTGCAATCAATTCTAACTGTAATTGCAATGCAATCGGACACGGATTCGCTTGACACCTTGAGTAGTACCATGCCTGCTGAGGAACGAAAGCTTGTGGTTCACGATTTTAACTGTGGGAGGCGACACTTAGATGAATCAGCGCTCCTTCATAGTATATTCGAAAGCACGGCTGCGAAGAAACCACATTTTCCGGCTGTGATCTTCAGAGACATCACGCTAACTTATGGACAAGTTAATGACGAGGCAAATAAACTGGCGAGATATCTACGCTCCCAAGGCCTGAAACGGGAAGAAATCGTCGGTATTTGCTTGTCAAGAAGCCACCGTATTGCCATCTCCATTCTCGCGATCTGGAAAGCTGGTGGTGCCTATGTACCATTAGATACCGAAGCTCCCCCAGGAAGGATGTTGCACATGGTGAAGGATACGAGAATTCGGTTTCTTTTTACTGAGGATCAACAGTTGCATCATTTCGTCGGCGAAGGGCGCCAAGAGTTCGCGCACTTGCTACAATTAAATTGGGATGATGACCACTTACAGCGAGATCTGAAGAGAGTACCTTCCAAGAACATTGATAACGCCGAGGTTGGTTTGAAACCGGAAAGCCTTGCCTACTGCCTGTTCACCTCGGGCACAACGGGAACTCCGAAGGCTGTGCTTATTGGACCATCGATGTACCTTCAACATGGCAAAGACGATAATGCCGGACTTTATCGATTCTGTTTCTAGATACCTAGGATTCTTTCAGTATACGTTTGGTGAGTTCATATAACAAAATCGCTTTATGTGACTTCCCATCCGATGTAACGCAACTGTTATTCTGCTTTAGATGTTAGCATCGCTGATCTTCTTATTCCCTTCACGTATGGCGCCACCCTTTACGTTGTCAGTAAACAGGATCTTTTGCAGGATCTCACGGCATTGGTAGAAAAGCATCAGATTGACGTCATGGGACTAACACCGAGCGCAATGCCTCTATTGGATCCCATCAGAGCCGCACAGACGCTACGCACAATCCATATCAGCGGGGAAGGGTATCTTCGCTCGACTGTGAACTCCTTCATGAAAGCGGGAATTAAGATAGTGAACGCATACGGTAGCTTTGCCTTGCATGATCAGGTTTGCGAAATTTGACCTTGGACTCTAACGACTTGTGCTCTAAGGTCCGACCGAGTGCGCTGTCTTCACGTCCGTTACCGTACTATCGCAAGATACCTATCTGAATTGCATTGGATATCCGCTCCCAAATCTGGCACATTACGTACTGCATCCCTCAACGTTCCAACCCGTACCAATCGGGTTGCCCGGCGAACTGTACATAGCTGGTGTGCAGGTCGGAAGAGGATATCTAGATCGAGAAGAATTGACCGCAAAGACGTTCCTTTGCAATCATCTTTGTACCGGAGACGAAGCATTGGAGCGACTCTACAAGACTAATGATTTGGTCAGAATGCATTCTGATGGTAGCATCGAACATCTGGGACGAATCGACTCGCAAGTCAAACTTCGCGGTTACCGTATCGAACTGGGGGAGATCGAGTCAGTACTAGCCGCTCATCGCGATATTGCAGCCGTTACTGTACAGTTGCGAGAGGATCGAGTCGTTGCTTACGTAGTGATGAGGACTTTAATAGAAGGAACTGCCTTGCAAATGGACACGTCAAATCTTCGGCAGCACTGTGCTCAATTCCTCGTTCCGTATATGGTACCTTCAACCTTTATTCAATTGCCGTCTTTACCGCTGACCCGTAATGGAAAGTTGGACAAGGCACAGTTGCCCGCACCAGTAATCGAGAAAGCCGCCGGAGATCAAAATTTACCCAACTCATATACCGAAAAACGTATTGCTGAATTATGGAACGAAGTCTTGCAATCAGGCAATCAGATTGATGTCCGTACCAATTTTTTTGAAGTCGGCGGGAACTCTCTAGCGGCGGCAAAAGTCTTGGGAAGACTGAAGACTGATATGAACTACGTGGGACTGCGGTTGGCGGATGTATTCGACTGTCCAACTATTTCGGCACTCGCTGCTCGCATTGAAGCCGTTCGATCTGACACTGATAGTGTAAGTTTGCCGAAAATCACACTGCAACCGCGAGCGGATGTTAGAGGCGCTTCTCCGCATGAGGAGCGTATGTGGCTCTATCAACTACAGAACCCCGAAAGCTGCAATTATCACATTGTGCAAGCCTTTCCTATAGAAGGCCATACCTCATCCGAAGTTGTAAATGCCATCAGAGAACTGCAACAACGACATGACAGTTTGAATAGCACCTTTGGGACTGACAACGATGGGAATCTTGAAGTTCACGTACTCGAATTAGAAGCCGCAGCATCCGATATCCGGGTCATCAATTCCTTGGATTTGAGTGAAGCCAATGTAATCTGTTCAATAATAAATCACGAATACAGTACGCCTTTTGATCTGAAGAACGGGCCAGTTGCGCGTTTCTCGGTGGTTGAGCTGGATACTCTTAGTTGCGTCGTGGGTAAGTGATCGATTGTATCAGTATTTCTCAATCGGCTGGCTCACATTGTTCCGGAATACTTTCCCAGTTCTAGGGGTTCACCATATCGTGTTCGATGGGTGGAGTATCAACCTTGTACAAGAGGAGCTCACCGCTCTTTGCGAGAGGAGGGACTTGTCGGTACCTTATCAATACGCGGATTATGTCGCTTGGGAAAAGACTATTCCCAATACTATATTTCAAAAACAGTCGGCGTACTGGAAAGAGAAGCTTGCGAACACTGTGGTCTTGCAGTTCCCATATGACAAAGTGCATTCTGGTTCAGTCCATAAAATCTTACGTGGCAGCGCCGCCTTTTCCATTCCGGCAAAACTGGCCTCCCAACTTGAGGAATATGCTACTTCTCGAAACGCATCCGTTTTCATGGTTATGATAAGTGCTCTAAAAATAATTCTTGCCTCTTACACTGGAAGCTTGGACATCTGTATCGGTACTGTGAGTGCAAACCGGGGAGTGAAAGAGTTGGAAGGCATTGTTGGATTCTTCGTGAATACGGTATGAATCTCCTTGTGCTTACATTCAAGGGAAATTCTTGCTAACTGCATAATTGCCACAGCTGGTTTTACGCACAGATCTCACCGGATTGGATACATTTTCGGAAGTGGTTGCAGCTGTTAGGGGTACCATTTTGGAGGCATTCGACAACCAGCTTCTTCCTTTCGAAGAAGTCGTTACCACGGAGATGCCTTCTCGATTACCCGGACGACATCCGTTCTTCACGTTTATGTTGGTTGAGCAAAACTCTCATCTTCTGTCGAGACATCAACCAGATGAGCGGCCCGAAGGTCTTGCCCCATTCGAGATGTTAATTGAGTATACGAAGAGCCCCGACGGAGCACTAATGGGGTTCTTCAACTACGATAAGAATCTCTTCCATGAGGCCACTATCCAGAGTATGCAAGATCAGCTCCAGACACTGCTAGAGAATTCCATAAGAGCTGCAACTCCGTTTATTCTGCCTACTGTATCTACTGCCGAAGTAAAGCCTTCAGATACCGCTTTGTTGGAAGACTATCTTCGCGACCTCCCTTCGGGCAAGCTGAGCTTCGGCCGCACAACGCCAAATACCTGTCCGCATATAACAATGAACCCCAGTCGTTCACTATCCCGTTGCAGACCAGTGCCAACAAGTTGCGTTCATTCGCCGGGCAGATCGGAGTACACTTGCCTACTTTATTCAAAGCAGCTTGGGCCGCGACATTGCGCAAATATCTTTGCGCTGACGATATCATTTTCGGCGATCCCGATCTTGTATTTTCGTAAGTCTAAATGGAAACTGCGGTTCCCATAGCTATGATTCTCATTCACCAAATTTGTTTAGGGGAAACAATGGCGCTTCGTTTGCTATCCCATGTCGGGTGCGCTTTCCTGATTCGGAACAGACCATTGCTGATTTCTTGAGATTCGTCGATGAAAATATTGATCGCATTCGGCGAAAAACTGCAAATCTTGATTTATCAGCTATTCGACATTGTTATCACAGTGCGAATAAAGAACGTACGGGGCAGGCTTGCGGCGACACGACACTGGTTTACGTCGATACACCCGAGCCCACTACTAGAACCTATTCCGACACGAATCCATCGGACGCACAGTCCTCTGTTTTTACAGTCGTGATTTCCCGCGAATTTGGGGATAGCGAGCGATTTTTCATAACTATTTCAGGAAGTAGCGTTGAGATTGTCGCCAACAACCAAATCGGATGCCTTCTGCATGAATTTGACTTCACAATTTCCCAGCTCGTAGCGTCTGCGAATGTTAGCATCAAGGATGATTCGCTATGGGATTTATCTGAGCATCAATCCTCATTGATCTCACAGTTTAACTTCGGAGGGACAGTCTCTTTACCATATGACGTTGTGATTGATGGTTTCCGAAAGATCATGCAGGAGTGCTCAGAAACCCGGGCCGTGGAGTATGGAGATCAATTCTTGACTTATGCCGAGCTAGATAGTCTCAGCACCACGCTGGCCGCGCAGCTAGCGTCGAAGGGAGTGACTAAGGATCATCGTGTGGCCATTGTATTGTCCAGAAGCCTCGAGTTCACATTGTCGATGGTGGCAGTAGCGAAAACTGGCGCGGCGTTCGTCCCGTTGGACGCCCAGTTTCCGGCGGACCGCATTCAGTATATTCTGCGTGATTCACAAGCTACGTTAATCCTTTCGACCCAATGCACAGGGAAGATAGAAGCACTGTCACTCCATGATATTGAACTCTTATGGGTCGACATGAAGCAACTTCAATCCTCTCCCCGGCACTTCACGCCAGCAGATCGACACTGCGCTACTGGATCAGACACCTTTTTCTTCTTGTATACATCTGGATCAACTGGCGCACCAAAAGGTGTTCCCGTTCCTAATATTGGTGTTTCAAACGTAATAAACCACTACCGTAACCATCCCGGATGTGTGGAAGGTTCTCGAATTGCTCAGTTCTTAGCGGTTGGTTTTGACGGATGCCAATTGGAAACATGGTCCGCTTTGAATCATGGCGCAACTCTTGTCCTGCGTGAAGAAGATGCATTCAAAACTATTTCTTCCGTTACTACACTCTTTATTACCCCCACCGGACTCTCGAAGATTGGAAAGCCCGAAGATTACCCCTGTTTAAAAGCGGTTACGGTTTGTGGCGAGCACTGTCCAAGAGAGCTGAAGGACATATGGGCAACACACGTTGTGTTCAACAATATATACGGTCCATCTGAGGTTTCCGTCATATCGCACCTTGCTTTGCTCAAACCAGACGACGAAGTCACAATTGGCCGGCCAATTCCGAACTCCAGTTGCTATATATTGGATGCTCAACACAGACAAGTTCCAATTGGGGTGGTGGGTGAGATTTATATCGGCGGTGTCGGTATCTCCCCTGGATACAGCAATCTGTCGAGGCTAACCGAGGAGCGGTTCCTACCGGACCCGTTCATTCCTGATTCGCGAATGTTCAAGTCAGGAGATATGGGGTACATATTTTCGGATGGGAGTTTTGGTATACTTGGCCGCAAAGATGATCAGGTGAAGTTCAAGGGATACCGCATCGAATTAGACGAAATTGCTGCCGCAATGATGAAACATCCTCAAGTGAGCGCAGCGGTTGCTATCGTGAAGGATAGCTCTTATCTGGTTGGATTTTTCACACCGGACACGGTTGATGTGCAAGAATTGCGCGACATTCTTGCTAGCCGAATCCCCAGGTATATGATGCCTGCCGTTTTTCATGGCCTGACTAACATGCCGACAAATGCGAATGGAAAGGTTGGTGCAGATACGAGCATTTTTATTTGGACTGTTTTTCTGAAGTATTGTTTGGCATCCCACAGGCCGATAAGAAGGCACTTGCACAGCTTGATATGCGCATGCAAGTAGATGACCTTGAAACCGAATCTGAACGGCAACTGGCAAAATTGTGGTCCGAGATCCTTGGAGTGCAGATCCAGCTCATTGGAAGGGATAGCTCCTTCTTTGCCCTTGGTGGTGACTCGTTATCTGCGATCAGTTTGGTCGCGAAGGCCAAGAAACACGGGTGTTCCAGTCTTTCTTCAACGGTGATCTTTTCAAAACCTCTGTTGGCGGACATGGCAGCGATACTCAAGTCCGTCTCTACGGAGTACATTCCAATAGCTTGGCCAGTTGCTTGTGTCAGGTGGGAGTCATACCATTCATTACCTTATGACATACACAAACTCACCGTGTATTTGTTGCTTCTTCAGCCGCGAGACTTTGGCTGAAATCACAACGGACTTCTTGCCAAAGCTAAACATCCGGAACGAGTACGAAGTGTTTCCTACCACACCGTTGCAAAGTGGAATGATTGCAGCTACATTACAAGACAATTCTTCGTACCTTGCTCATATTATTTTCGAAGTAGAGGGTACAATATCTGTGAGCCAACTGGAAACGGCATTTTGGGTGGTCATAAAGCAGCACGACATATTGCGAACCACCTTTGTCTCGACCTCGACCGCGGGTCTGTGCCAGATCACACATGGCGAGTCCACGGCAACGGTGGATATCGTCAGTGTACCGGAACTCACCACATATCTCGAGTCTGATAAGCTGCGTGGTTTTACTCTTCAAGACACTCATTGGGTTCGCTTAGCGTTGGTATCTTCGTCCCTACCCATCCCTAGGCAATTCGTGGTGATGGCGATTCACCATAGTTTGTATGACGGATGGTCATTGCCTATTATATGCGATGACCTCATCAAAGCATACGTCGGTGAAAGGCTCCTCGATAGGCCTCGTTTCCGCACTGTCGTGGACTATGTTTTTGCTCAGGATATGGCTGAAAGCCGGAAATTTTGGAGCGCCTACCTTTCGGACATCGTTCGTCCGTCGCCTTTGAACCTTCGCTGTGGAGCTCCCGCTAAAGATGAAATGCCATCACCCATTTTCCATCAATGCTCTACTTCTACCGACGTTCTTCAAACCTCCGCGCGCTCTGCGGGAGTCACAATGGCTGTGCTGTTGAAAGCCGCCTGGGCGTTTACCCTACGGAAGTATCTGCGTGTAGATGACGTGATTTTTGGTCAAGTGCTTTCCGGACGTGATATCCCTGTGGAAGGTGTAGAGGCGTAAGTTCCGAGGTGGTTCCATTGCTGGTGCTGCATGAGAACTAACATCTGTGCTGCTAGGATTGTTGGACCTTTAATCAATACAGTACCATGCCGCATCAATGTCTCTGATTCGAGTAGTGTTTTGGACATTCTGAAATGTTTGCAAGCAGACCATACCAAAATGCTACCTCACACGCATACGGGTCTAGTGGACATCCAACGGTACGCTGGGGTCCAAGCAGATGTTTCGCTTTTCCAAACCCTATTTGTCTTTCAAAACCTTCCTGTGAAAAACGAGCATGCAGTGGAGCAGATCATGCGGACACCCGATTTTGCGAGCACTTCCGGCGGGTCCATGTCGAAGTACCCCTTCGAGTTAGTTCTCCATCCAGAAGATAAGATCCTCCGTATCAGCGGCTTCTATCAATCTCGGAATATGGAGGAATCTCAAGCGTTTATGTTGTTGGACGAATTCGATTTCACAGTTAGCAGGCTTGTAGAAGCAACAATTCAAGACAACTGTATGATGAAGGCTGAAGACATGTGGGAATTGTCTCCTTCGCAAACCCTTGCCCTTGAGAAACTCTGCGTGGGGCCGAAGGTGGATCCACACGAAGTAGTTCACCAGAATTTTGAAGCTCGTAGTAAACAGCACCCTAGCTGGATTGCTATTGAACACGCAGGCGAGTGCTTGTCATATGGCGAGCTCAACGAGCGCGGTGAAGCAGTTGCCGGTCAACTCGCTTCTCTGGGTGCACGTGTTGGAAAACGTGTTGCTGTTATTATGCAGCGCTGTCTTGAATTTCCTATTGCCCTACTAGCCGTTCTAAAGACTGGTGCCGCTGTTGTTCCGATCGATGCCAAGTTCCCCGAACATCGAATCACCTATATCTTGCAAGACTCGGATGTATGCGCTATCGTCATGCAAGAAGGGCAAGGCGATAGACCTTTTAGCCTGGATAGGGCCGTCGTATATGTGGATAGAAGATCAAAAGATCGACATGGTTTTGAACGTATGGAGAAGCATATGCCAACTGGTGCCGATGAATTTTTGGTCGTTTACACCTCAGGATCAACGGGAAACCCTAAAGGCGTAATTGTACCTCACTTTGGCGCCATGAATGTTATCCTGTTTTGTGCCCCTCTCCTTGGTTGTCATGAACGATCTCGTATGGCTCAGTTTATGGCTATCGGTTTTGATGCGTGTGCATGGGAGACCTGGTCAGCGCTCAGCAGTGGCTCGACGCTCGTTTTGTACGATCAGGTGATGGATACGCTATGTAACGTGGATTCACTTATGATTACGCCGACTGGTTTGTCTCAGCTAGGTTCACCATCCGAGTTCCCTAACCTGAGGAACATGGTTGTTACTGGAGAGGCATGCTCGAAGGAATTGAAAGACCTGTGGTCGGAACATGTCGTCTTCATTAATGGTGGAGGACCTTCTGAGGTGTCAATCTTGGCGCATATTGGCAGATTATTCCCTGAAGAGCCGATTACTCTGGGCAGAATCATCCCCAACTCATGCTCGCATGTCCTGGATGAACGAATGAGGCCAGTCCCGGTGGGAGTCGTTGGCGAGTTGTATACGGGTGGTTGGGGTATCGCACACGGTTATGTTAATTTACCGCAACTGACTGCGGAGCGATTCGTTCCTCATGATTTACGCCATCACGGGCCTTTGATGTTTAAGACAGGGGATCTCGGGCGAGTCTTGCCCGATGGTAAATATGAGTTGCTTGGACGTAAAGATGACCAAGTAAAATTGAAAGGCTATCGCATCGAGCTGGACGAAGTGGCGGCAGCTATCATTAAACATCCGCGGGTTGCTACAGCAGCTGTTATTGTGAAGGATGGCACGTATTTAGCTGGCTTCTTCACCCCATCCGATGTTATTATTGCAGAGATACGCGCGGTAGTGGACGAGAATTTACCGCCCTATATGAGACCAGCTGTGTATTGCGGATTGGACGCGATGCCAACCAACGTGAATGGAAAAACTGATAAGAAAGCCCTGGCTGAAATTGAGCTCAAGATGGAGCGTGCGTACCTTGCCACTCCTATGGAGATCAAGATGGCTGCCCTATGGGCTAAGGTTTTGAACAAACCGCTCGAGCTAATTAGTAGAAACACTTCCTTCTTCGAGCTCGGGGGTGATTCCATGTCAGCGATGCGCCTTGTCGCCCTGTGTAAGAAGGAAGGGATCATCCTAACTACACAGCAGATATTCAAAACCCCTACATTAGCCCGCCTCGCTTCATATTTTGAAGAGTCCCCTAGCGAAACAGAGGTCGCGAAGGCAGCTCATACCTGGCCTGCTGCGAAGATCAGGTATTGTCACGTTTTATTGATCTTACTGTGTGTATGGGTTTTAACACAGCATCATCAGTCAAAGGGCGTACGAGGAAATCGCAAACATTTGGGCACCCTCCGTGCGGCTAAATGGCGAGTTCGATGCATTCCCGCCAATGCCCGGGCAGGCCGGCATGGTGATGACAACGATGCGTGATCCCGGAGCGTACGTTAACCAGGTTCTTCTCGATGTGGCACCTGGTGTGACTGAACCATCGGCGCTAAGCAAAGCTTTCCACACTCTCGTCGCCACTCATGACATTCTGCGTACTGCCTTTGCATCGACCTCGGATGGCATATGTCAAATTGTTTTGCATGAAGCCCAACCCTTGTTCGAGGAAGCTGCTACTACGGATATATCGGACTTCTTGAAGCAAGACAAACAGCGCGGATTCAAAGTTTCGGATAAGCAATGGGTGCGACTGACGCTAGTTCGTGCTCGCGAAGAGTATCATGTTTTAATGACGATACATCACGCATTATATGACGGTTTCTCAATGCCACTGATTACTCACGACTTCTTGAAAGCGGTGAATGGGTTGCCACTTACCAAACGACCGAGTTTCCGTACCGCCGTCGATTACATATACTCACAAGATCTGGACGCAGCTGAAACCTTTTGGCGTGATTACCTCGTGGATACTGTGGCGGCACCAGAGCTTTTATTAGGGGGCTGCCCATTGGATGAGGACGCTCCAATTGACGTTGCATGTCCGTTATCAATGGCTCAGCTACAGGAGGCTGCAAGAACGGCTGGCGTCACAGTTGCGGCGATTCTCAAATGTACATGGGCGTTCACACTTCGTAAATACTTGCGAACAAGCGATATCATTTTTGGTCAGGTTCTCTCTGGACGGGATATATCAGTACAGGGCGCGAATGAGTACGTTTTTACATCTGCATTCCACTTTCTCTTATTGAAATTGGAATCGTAGCTAATTATCTACATGTATGTACTCCAATTAGGATTGTTGGACCACTCATCAACACGGTGCCATGTCGGGTGCGCTTCGACGACCGAAGCGTGATTGACGTCTTGAAGGGCATTCATGATGAATATGCCTCCATGCTTTCCTTTGGGCATGCTAGTTTAGTGGATATCCAAAGCTGGGGCAAGGTAACAGCAGAAAACAAACTCTTCAACACGCTGTTCGCATTCCAAAACATACCCAACAGCGGAGAGGCCGATACCACCAAGGATAGTCGTTTCAAACTGTCGTCGAAGAACCCCCGGAACAACGGAACGTTCTCCGACTATTCATTCGAGCTTATTCTATCGCCGCTAGGGGAAGAGCTACGCGTTTCTGCTTTTTATGAGAGGATGGGAAGGTCACAAGCTTCAATGGTTGTTGACGAATTCAACTACACGATGACGCAGCTTGTGGATAACATAACCGGACCAACAGCGAACGCACGTAGCGCCTTCTGGGACCTATCGCCACAGCAGGTTAAGCTAATAGACCAGTTTTCCTACGGCGAGCATGTCGAAATCCCTTTCCCCATAGTACATCACGCTTTTGAATCCTACGCAAGAAAGCATCCTGAGTGGCGTGCGGTTGAATATGGGAATGACTATATGACATATGGGGAGCTTAATGAACGGGGAGATGCCATCGCGGCTTTGATTGGGACACTCAAGGCGGGTTCCGGTGTTGCAGTCATCATGCAGCGCTGCCTGGAATTCCCTGTTGCACTGCTGGGAGCTTTGAAGGCAGGCGGGGCAATTTTGCCGATCGACTCTAAATTTCCGCCTGAGCGCATCAGGTTTATGGTGGAAGATGCGAACGCCAGTTGCATTGTGTCGAGGAAAGCTGATGCGAAAGCAGTGCACGACCTGAACTTGGATATCCCAGTGATTTATGTCGAACACAGCTTGAGTGATGCACATAGTCAGACTACACTCGTCGAGGAAGGAAAAGGCAACGCTGAGATGTTTAAAGGTCGCTCAGGAGGAGATAAACGGGCTTATCCATGTTCTCCAACGATGTCGACTGATACCCCACGAAACAAAAAAGTTGAAACATCTCGCAAACCGCGCAAATCATTCTGGGAGTGGGCAAAGCGAACAGCATCGACGTTTTGCGGATGTCCCACACAAAAGCCAGTAGACTCAACGACTGCACGATCTACCTTCCGTCAAACGGGTGCACCACACGTACAGGAAGCCGACACGTTTATGGTGGTCTACACATCGGGCTCCACCGGGAAACCGAAAGGAGTACCTGTACCACATGGCGGTGCAGCCAATGCCATTTTTGCCTGGTCCCGTGAAAGCGGATATCATGAGAAAGCGCGGGTATTGCAATTCATGGCAATCGGGTTTGATGCGTGCCAGCTCGAAACTTGGTCTGCTTTATGTAATGGGGCCACTTTGGTGATACGGGAAGAGGATGCTCGCGAATCAATCAAAAAAGTCTCAGCGTTGTTCATGACGCCAACTGGTCTCTCCACCCTTGGCTCACCACTGGACTATCCTAATTTGAAATATGTGACTGTAGGTGGGGAAATGTGTCCCCAACCCCTTAAAGATTTATGGGCGCCACATGTGCGGTTCATTAATGTCACCGGCCCCACGGAAATATCAATTCTTAGTCATATGGGAACTCTCAAGTCCGGCGCTACGGTGACGGTAGGCAGGCCGCTGCCGAATACTTCATGCTATCTGTTGGATCAGAACGGAAGAGTTCCTGTGGGGGTAGTAGGCGAAATGTACGTTGGTGGAATAGGTGTCGCCCCCGGATATGTGAATTTACTCGAGCAAAGTGCCGCCAGGTTCCTTCCCAATCCTTTCAATCCGGGCCGAATGTACATGACTGGCGATCTCGGGCGTATACTTCCAAGCGGCGATTTCGAAATTCTCGGACGGAAGGATAACCAGATAAAATTCAATGGTTATCGGATTGAGTTGGACGAGGTTGCTGGCTCCATCTTGCGACACCCCGAAGTCACGAGCTCATGCGTGATCGTAAAAGACCAGAAATACCTGGTTGCCTTCGTAACGCCCGGAAACCTAGACGTTGAGAGCGTTCGTCAATTTGCGCAACAATGCCTCCCGCATTACATGGTTCCCTCTATTTTTCTAGCGTTGGACGAGATGCCTGTCAACATCAACGGTAAGACGGACAGATCGGCCCTTGCAAAGCTGGATATCCAATCAAATCAAGGTTCCCGCCCATTGACAACAATTGAAGAGCAGTTAGCGTCGATTTGGGCTGAAGTACTTAAATCCGACGCCGGTCAGATTTCCCCCACCTCGTCGTTCTTCTCGCTCGGCGGTCACTCGATGAACGCATTTATCGCCCTTCAAAGGATTAGGAGAAAATTTGATCTTGATCGATTCAATCACGAAACGATGTTTACGGCGCCATCATTAGAGCAGATGGCTCTTGCCATCACACGGATGGTGGACAATGCTAATGTTGTGAAGTCCTCGATGAACAGTTTGCACAACCCGCCGAAATCTATACGTATTCTTTGTCTCCATGGGCAAGGGTCGAATCCGGCCCATCTTGCCCATCAACTTTCTGCAATATCTGTGGCATTAGGCTCAGATGTCGAACTCATCTACCTTCAAGGTCCTTTCGAAGGATTTTCGTCTCGTAAGTTCATGGACCTACAATAGTGAATTGAACGTAATCCGAAGTTCTCATAATTTCTTTGCTTCTGCAGAACTTCGCATTTATTACCCAAATATGACAGGATACTCCTGGTTTCCATCCGACGGCAACATCACGGAAGATGATGCATTTCAGACAGCACACCTTGTTCTGACAGAGATCGAAAAGCACGGTCGCGTCCATGCGCTACTGGGCTTTTCTCAAGGAGCAATGGTGGTCGAACTGATGGATCGAATGGCTGAAAAGTCGCTCATCCCTCGCAAGTGGAATTTCAGCATCCTTTTCTCTGGACTTCCGTTATCATCGCCTCACGTACCCTCTGCCTGGACTGAGACAGCAACGAGTGGATGGCAAGTTCCGTCGATCCATATCTCTGGCGAAAGAGAACGTGAGGAGTTCCATACTCTTCTCGCCGGCCGTTATGAGGCCACGAAATTGACTCATCTTCGTCATAACGGGGGTCATGATATACCCAGGGATGAAGAGTTCGCATTACGTATTAGTAGTATCATCAAATCAACAAGCACTCATTCATCCGAAATCCATGGAGCAGCATCACTTGGAAATGAACTTTCCGACGCTGTTCTGTCGGCCGTCATTGCGCACGCTGGTTCCCAATTTGACATCCAGAGGAATACTGCGGGGCTAAATTCCTTAATGTTCCTTATCGACGCACCTCGTGCTCGGCTAGTTGTTAAGCAACCAATCTCAGAGACTTCTGCGGCCGAAATAGAACAAGAGCATGGCATTCTCATGGCTCTTTCCAAGATTTCGAACGAGTCGCTTTCTATTCCAACGCCCATCGCCATTATTGAAAGACACTCTATCGTTTCGCGAGTGGATGGCGACAATGGGGCGGACGGATGGATACGAGCTGGATCTTCGGAAGCCCGCCTTCATATTGCGTACCAGTTTGGTGAGGCTCTTCGCATCATCCACAATTGGGAGCTCACAGGAGTTCCTGTCCTCGGACTTCCTGCTGACAGTGGCATTCACGCGAGTAGCAGTCCTCAAGACTGGTTGAAGGCCAGCCTGGATTTTGTCAACGACAATATTACGCGGGATCTTGGTCACACAAGTCGCGAAGAAGGGATCAAAAGCATATCCATTATGCGCAATATCCTCCAGACGAATATGGCCGAAAGGACGACAGCAACTCCAAACTAGTATTCCTGCATGGTGATGCCGTCCTGGCCAATGTGCTCTTTGTTCAAGACCAAACATCATTAACAAAATGGCGCGCAGTGGGAGCGGTGGATTGGGGCAGCGCTGGTTTTGGAGATTGTAGGTTCGATTTAGGGACGGCAGCATGGTCTATAGCGGCCTCCGCTGAATTGGTAGACGAAGCGGAACTAACGGAGCAGTATGTGGGAGCCTTTTTGGATGGATATGGAGGATTCAAGAGCAACTTTGAGTCCTTGCGTAAATGGGTGCATTTGTACCATCTACAGTCATTCGTAGCGCATACAATCTAAATAGATTTAGATGTGGACTAGCGGTTTAGACATAATTTAGATTGTAGACTAGATGTGAACCTCATACATACTTTACATAAACAAAGTCGGATAAACACACGAAATAGGGGGAATGGGTGAAAGATGACTATCTTTGAAACAACCCTATGCGCAATGACCTAAATATCCTCCACATATTAGGACGTTGCTTACTATAGTCACGATCACTATGCTATCAATTCATATGAAAGGATCCAATCATTCGATGAGCCAGATATAACTAAAGCAGCATGCTCAACCGGATTGGGCACTAGGGTGGGAATATTCAGAAATCTCAGCGTGCTGCACAGCACCGTTCCTGCACCACTTCAGATTCGTACTGAGAAATCAAATGCCAGGAGAATAGGCAAACGCATCTGCGAAATCCTACCAAATGCACTAGAATAGTTGCAATTTCCAATGTAACAAGACAATCAGTTTATGGGTCAACCCCGCCATCATAGTGCAGTCCGACAGGAGCAACTAAGGGTTAGGGTTAGGGTTAAGGTTAGGGAACCCTAACTCTAATCTTGAAGTTTTTAAAAAATCACTGAACTCTTTGCTATTTTATTGTATATTCCCTCATTTTAGACCATTCTCAACAACTTTAATTAAGGTTGCTTTCAAATCTGAACACTTGAGAAAAATAACCCAGTGGGGACACCCTGTAACCCTAACCCTAACCATAGCAATTGGGATGTGTGCGCACATCATGATGCATTCTCGACCACTTTGAATTTGTCACCCACATATTCTTCAATGGATGCAACATGCCTCGCATTGTTCCAAAACGAAATGAATTCAAACCAAAATGGTCACTGCTGCGACAGGAACTCAAGCCAATGTGGACAACGATGTATAGGAATATGGGAAGCGGGGCCACGAGCAGAAAAGATGCATACCTTTGCACGGTTGATTTCTTTTGCGGTCTGACCTGCTGGATTGCAGGAGAGTGGGATGGCCTCACAGCGTATGCCTGGCAGAATTGTCCTGATTGGGCATATCTTCCCTACAGCCATGTACATCAGGAAATGGAAAGTGAATAGATTGAATGGTTGCGCACTTTCCCGTGAGTTGCTATATTTCTTCTGATGCCTTGCGACCATTTGTTGATGTCTTTCGCCTCTGGCCTTCCAGCAAAGATGACGATCCACATCCTGCACAAGTTTTACCCTTTGGATATAATTATAGGAGTCATTGGCTTCTCCGACAGGACATGAAGGACATGATCATGTGTGAAGACTAGTAATCTGGCCGCGTGCTCAACGTCAGGCTGTAAGGGTTATACTATATCAAAGAACTGCAACCATAAAGCAGAATAATATATTTTGCAAGTACCCAACCCAGCCTGTACCAAAAAATAAAGCATACACAGAAATACAAAGCAATATGATACATAAGAAGAATACTTTGATCACGCATCCTTTTCCTCGTCGGAAACAACACACCATTCCCTCGGGAGGTCTGAGGACACCATCTCATCGTCGACCCTGCTCGGCTCACCTCCAACAGGCACCACACCCGATTCGCTGCGATGCTCCCCACCTTCGGCAGCAGCAGAGATAATAGGAACTGTCTGCTCCATTTCCGCATCATCCAGACGCACAACGACTCCTCGTACAATGTCCTCCGGATCCACGTCACCAATTTTCTCAATGGTCTCGTAGCGGCCATCGGGTGTCCTGCGTCTATATCTGAGGCCAGGTGGATACGATTCCCTCATACCGGGGTTAGCGTCCCGTAAGGCGGCTAGGGTCTGGAGTTCTGGGCTTAAAAGCACGGGGCTGAGAAGCGTGTTGTGAGCAACGGCTTCGGCCGTCGTGCTTGGAGTCGGTGCACGTTGAGGTTGGATGGAAGGCGACGGTTGGGGCATATAGTGTGCTGGTGGGGGAGCAGTATACACACCAGATCCAGTAGATGTTGCAGCCGTCACTGCAGCCGCGCGTAATGCTGAGACGGAAGAGTACCCCGTAAAAGGTAACATCCCTGCACCTGCCGGGCCATTCAACCCTCCAGCGCTGCTGAATGGGAAGGCGTAAGAATAAGCCGACGAGTAGGGTGATCCTGTATGGAGTCGTATGGGTGATGTTCTCCCACGATCTTCAAAGCCTGGAGGGCTGGCTGCATATTGGGGAGGTGAGCCCATAGGGACTGCTCCAGAGTGGTATGATGGGGCAGAAGACATGGACCGGGGTGAAGATGGGAGATGGGTTGCTTGCCCTACCACGCTGCGGGGAACATAGATCCTGTCGTCCTCATCGCTTGCCTTATCCGCGCTAAATCGCTCCACATCCTCCATATCTGCCCCGAGTTTTTCGCTGGTACCGTTCAAATCAATTTCTTCTCCGCTCGCGGTGTCCGCTCGTTGCTTGAAGAGGGACAAGAAAAGCCTCCAGAGCGTAAACGCAAAGACTGTCTCCCAGAACATGAAGACGCTGACAAATACTGCAGCGGTGGTGGCGCGCCAATGATACATGAAGAATCGCAGACCTTGGAAGTTGGCATCGACGTGAAGTTTAGTTTGGTATAGTTGCAAGCGATTATCTGACAGTCGGATCAGAGCATGGTGAATTGGATATGCCTATCCCCACAAGGGAACGTTGTTAGAGTAGAACAGTATATAGAGCGGACGTGCGCGTTCCAACCTCGCTCTCCTCGTACTTTTCCAACAGTAGAACTTTGACCGTCTGAGCCTCACTTGTCAGCCCCAAAACCAGTGGCACCCCTTTCACAACTGTGAGCATCGTTTTTAACAATGGAGTTCTGTACTCCAACGTGGCCTGGAAAGAGCAAAATGAAAGTTGAGTTATTTCGAGGCTTCCTTCCACATTATGCCCCACTACGTACCGAGCGACTGCTCGATGCCGTTGTCCTGTTATCCTTTGTTTGAAGATCGATATAAATCATAAAGTTTCCCAGCTCAAAATTGTTGTTCGAGTCTGGTACGACAAGTTCGAGAGCAAGGTCGTAATGTTGATCTGGAGTAAGGTATGCAGACTTGTGTAGACCATTATCAGCCATCTACAACTTGGAAGGATTTTTCCAGCTTGATCTGTAAAACAAACCTGTTGCCTCGAGTTCGCCCCAGTGAAATCCACGTACGCAGAGGGTTGCATCTTTTCCCCTGGCCCTCTAATCATGAATTTTCGTCACTATCATGGCATCCATCACACAGTGAAATTCGGAACCTACCCATACTGCATATATACCGGAATGACGTGAGAGACCTGCGGTATATATATCCAGTAGAATAGTCCATAAATCGCCAAAGCCATTCCCAGAAGCCCCCCAAACACGACACCAAATATCGCAGTATTCAGCGCGAAACGTTGCGTTTTGTTGGACGTAAGGCCCTCATATCCCATTCGTACATATGGCTCCAGAAGACCCGCAATGGGCTGCGTTATATATCGGTGAAGAGCCTAGGAACATTCGGGTTAGCACCAAAGGTTTTCCAAAGATCGCACCACCCCACAGTGCCAAAACCAACCTCTCGTATCATGTTGACAAATGCAGCCCGGTTGCACGCGTAGCAAGAAGTAGGTGATATCAATGCGTCTGCGCCCGCAAATGAAGCGAGAGCACTACTCGTTGGAAGGAGACGAGAGCCCTGGGTGTCTGTTTGTGCGCAAGATCAACTCTTGCGAGCGCGTATGGCAAACAGGTCGAATACCAATCCTCAAAAAGATGGACCGCGACCACAAAAGCTGGTCAAGCTACAGTATGAAGCAGCCGTCTCCGTTTGAAAGTGCACACAAATGTCAAATGCGAGAAACAAGAAAACTCGGAGAGGCCCCAAGGGCTCCCAATCCACGGGAGTGACACACAGGGGTGTTCTTCATTGTCCCTGGTGGGTTACGTAATGGATCGATGACATCCAAATGCTTTTAAATTCGATGAAGGAATGCAAGGCAGACGGAAACAACATGAGAATAATGGATGCACAGGGAAAGGATAGCAATCCATGTTTAAATAGTGCTATATTTCTATCTTTGTGCATTGAATTGCTCAACAACTTCCTCCTCTCCTGGTACATGCCTCCTCTCAATGTCCTTGATTCTAAACTCTTCCCGTGGACGGGAATCCCATCCTCTTCCTGCTTCAGCAAGTTGCTGCTGTTCTATATCAGCATCTCGAACCAATGCAAGCAAAGGATCTTTGATGGCCGTCCATAGTCCTTCCAAATTGTATCGCGCCCTTGCTTCGGGAGTAAAGCAGTGGATTATGAAGCGGCCAGTGTCCAGAACCATCCAGTCTTCTGAATCTGTTCCTTCAATAGTGAGATTATGTGGAATTGAGGGGTCCAGTCCAACTTGATGTTTAGCCTGAGATTACAAAAAGTTACAAACGACAGCAAAAACGAGGTAAACCAACCATTTCACAATCACCTTTCGTCGAACAGCGTCTGCGAGGGCATAAATCTGCTTCTTGGACCTCCCCTCTACGATGATCATATAATCCGCGTAATCACACTTGTTACGCATATCAATTGCCACAAGATTCGTCCCTTTCTCTTCTCGGAGCACATCCACGACCTGCTGTAGTCGTAATGGCCCATTCGTATCTATCTCCTCCTCCTCAATTATACCCTGACTACGCTGTTCGGCAATCTCAATGCCACGCATCCATCGAGGGACAAAATCGGACGGCTTTGGCGCTTCCCCTGCGATATTGTACGCTTCGTCCACATACCAGTCGTCAGACAGCGATCCTCGCTCAGGCTCATTCACGTCATAGTACTTTTGCTCGATGGTACGGCGTGCTTCTCGGTCCTCGGCGGATTCGATGCCGTATTGAGCGTACTGAGAACGTGGGAGGGCGTCGCTGCCTTTGGCGAGCGGGTCGACAGCACTCTGATCTAACTTCTCGCTTCTAGAAGCCTCCTCCTTAATATCACCTCTGACATCCACCCTTTCCCCTGATAGTTTGCTAGCTTCAGTTTCGCGTCCTAAGGAGGACCTATCCCAAGGTTCGTCGTTGGGATCTACCGCTGTCTTCCGTTCCCCGGACTGTTTTTTCCTGGGTGCCTTATCAAAAATCTCATCCAAAATCTCATCAGCAAGCTCGTCAATCCTATAGTCTGTCACTCGAGGCTTTTCGTCGCTTTGCACGCCGCGAGCCTTTCTAGCCAGAAGCCCTGCCGAGGTTTGGAAGGTAGCTGCGTGTGGTTTACGGACAATGGGTGATCTACAGAACGCGCAGCCGATACTTTGCTTCCTGGACGCCGTAGTCATTATGGCTGACTGCAACCATCGTAGCGTAATTCTGTTGATGCTCATGGAGAATGGGGAGTGTGATCGCATAGGGTAATTCGTTTGGGGAGAAGAGAGTCACCTCCATTTCCTAATCACTAATTACCATGGCAACAAGTCTCGGATGACATTTCAACATACTACAGTTAGGGCTCAACAAAAGTTGACGGCCCAGGAGCAGCGAGGCCGTTGAAGGAAAAGTCAAAGCTTTGACTGAAAAAGTGCATGTCATGTCTTGATATTAAACCATGCTATCGCACGAAGCATCTTATGGCAGTAATTATACTTGTCATCGGGACAGCTGTGTGTATTCTTTGGGTGTTTACAGAAATTTATGGTACTGGTAAGGGCGCAGGATCATTCCTGAGTTATATCTGGCTGTCGCCCATGTATGTAGATAGCCAAAATCAACGTGCTTTGAGTAGAAAGATATGCAGACAAGGACATCAGAGCAGCAGGATGAATATGTCTCTTTTTGATCGATTCCAGCACGATTCTACATCCGCTCTCAAGGTTTCGCCCTGAATCAATTGTATGTGCCCACTCATGCCTGGATGCTGTAAAATAAAACGGCTTGAAGCAGTCATTTCGCCCTCGCTGCAAGTTACGAAAAAGAAATCAACCTCGCAAGCGACAAGACTTGTGCATTAACTGCAGAATGCTTAGAATGCTAGTGATGCTTCTTTTTGACAGCGTAACCTCCAGTGCTTTAGCGCAAAAAGTCGACAGTCCTTTGCAACCCATCATAAATCTCTTGACAATTCAACTTTTACCATCACAGATGATTGCACATGGTAACTTCCTGCCCCTTCGCTCATGTGTACTAAAAGTGACTAACACTCGCATCTAACACTACTTTCATATATACAAAAACAGAATATGCTACGTAAAAGAAAACAATATACGCACAACGAGGGATATACAATGCAAAACTCGCCGCCAATGCAAAAAAAAGAAAAGATTCACGCCCTACCATCCTCCAAAATTCCATCCAAAGCAACCAGGCTGTTCCATAGATTCTCATCAATATCAATTTCGTACCTACGCAGCGGATGCTGAAAGGCCCTAAAATGTTTTACAATCCTTGCCAGCCTTCTCGCGCGTTGCACATTGATCAGTTGTCTTTCCGTTGAACCGCCTGGCTCGCCCGACGTCGCGGGTTGGTCACCTCCAAAAGGCTCCAAAAACCAGTCTATTTCCTCGTTAAAGACCAAATCACTCAATATCAATCCCAGAAAGGGAACAGCACCATATCGCTCTGGTGGCTTTCCTTTCCCTTTGCCTGTACTTTTTCGTGGGACGTCCAGGCCGAGGAGTTGCACTTGGTCCTCTCCTTCCCAAGCATCGATAGAGACACCCTCGGTACAACGTACATGTGCAGAACGGATGGCGCGAAAGTTTCGAAAGGGGGTTGCAAAGTCTTGGAGGGACCGGAGAGTATCCTTGGCAGACAAGCTGACTTGGGACCAGATCTTGGTTAGATTTTCCACGGCCGCGTTTTGAAGGGCCAGCAAGATGGATAGTAGGGTCGAAAAATTGCAATATGCCAGAGAAGTCTTTAAAAGTCCAAAATCAGTCTCCTGTCAAATAACGCTGATCACCCCTCAATACCCCACCTGAGCAATTCGGATGAAAGTCTCAATCACTCTTGCCTTTTCCTCCACGTCGGTTGTCCGATTGATTTCAATGGTTACCCACCGACATGTCTGAGAATACATGATTATCATGAGCGAATGAGGAAACATCCTTGATACAAACTCACATGCATGCTACCTTGTTGAACCTATCAATTACTCTCCAGACTCCGTCGGCCTTTCCAACCTCCCTCTTTGTCCAGTCTCGAGCGTTCAGCAATTCGGTCCATTGGATACCTCGAACATATTCCTGTTCTATCACGCATAAATGCCGTGCAGTTTCGTCAGGAGGAAAGTTCATGATAAAAGGCCGATAAGAACCGGTTGCTGAGGAGCGATACGAAGCAGGCGGTGATCCTGGAGACGCAGAATCTGTCTCTGGATCGAGAATATTGTTGCGATGCTTGCGGCGACGAAAGATGGATCGTTTCTTCCGCTTGAATGTTTCTGACGCAGGGGTATATTCCGAGCTACGAGACCTATTCGTTGTCGCAGAGGATATGTTGGACCCACGTAGGGGGAGAGGAGGCGAAACTTTACGAAGCTCAGTTTGCCCTTTTGTCTCGATGGCTTTTTCCTTGTTCCCACGTATTGCATCGGCCCTGTCGTTGATGACCAGATTCCGCGCCTTGCCCTCTTGTATTAGCGCTTTCAATGTCTCCACCGTTCTTGAATACAGTGGGGATTCTTGAATGGCGGTGTGACTTTCCAAATACTTGATAATAAATGTTGATAGGGTGAATCGCAATGTACTTGATGGCGCGTAGTCAATGTCATAATGATATTTCAACCAATGATGGAGGGCAATGAACGTCCTAGTGGCCACATATAGAGTTCATATCCACTGACTTATCCGTAACAGTTAAAATCACGGTATTCACTTACCCGTTCAGGGCTCGTGTATGGATGGCACTATGGATATTCTGTAGCGCCCACCGTAATCGTAGGATCAAGAGCTTAAGTAGTTGCATCGCCGACATGTATGCACGATAGCCCACAAAAAAATCCGCAAGAAACTCATAATCTGCAGCAACAGTCAGCAGAATAAAAAGCAATCAGATCTCGCGTCACTTACCAATAGAGCGAAAACGGCATCAGAACTTACCAGCCTCTGCAGTCAAATACTCGATTAACTTTGTTCTCGTTGCACCCACCAAGCATTTGGTCACAGTTCCCTTTCCAGTATCCATAATGTACTCGAACAGAATATTATGCGCCCCATCCGGTTCATCAAATAAAGTAACCAGTTGCTCCCCTTCTCGAAGGAATGGACTGGGCGTTTGTGGTGATGTGGAAGTTGGATGTGCATCTTGAAAGGGAGGGGGAAACATCTCCAACATGCGACGAGCAGGATTCACTGGGGGAACGGGTGGCTGGCATGAGCTATCCTGTGGTGCACTGGGGGAAGCTGGAACAATCGTGCGGTCGGTGGATGCTGTATCAGACCGGGTACGTGCCATACGGGGAGGGGCAAACCTATCTGTAGCCATTGACTGAAGCAGCGAGGGTTCAGTATGCATTACGCCATCGATCTTTTCGCGTTCCCGCCCATCAATAATGGTAATCAAAGGAGGCCCAGGACTATCCAACGACGAATTTCCTGACCCGTATCCCTGGTCGGATCGTGTTTCCTCAGAGCACTCCATCACGGCCTTGTGCTCCACACTCTCACTCTGAATGTCTCTCTGCCCAGTTTGTGGAGATTTTCTTCTATTGTGAGAAATCAAGTACTCCACGGGATCAATGTCGATGTGTATTCTGTTGTCCTCACCAGACCGAACTTGTATGCCATCAGGATGATGCGGTGGTGGTGATCTTTTCCGGGGAGTAGGCGACCTCCCGCGAAGGACAGACTTTTCAGATAAAGAATCCAGCATGCCCATCCATGCTTCCATCTTTCCAATCAAACGATTCCATCGCTCGTCATCCGGTGTCTGCGATGACAAGGGGAGATCATCGGACGCAAATCTTCGTCGGTGAGCACTTTGCGCTTCGGGATTAGGTAGTTTTCGCCCAATATCTGAGCATGAGCGTTGACCTCCCCGACATGATGATGTGCAAGCCGGTATGACCATGTGAAAGTAGGAATCTCGCCGATGTGATTTCGTTACATTGGGAGTTGCAAGGTCGTCTCTTGGGGTGAAAAAGACATCTCCCTCATTTTCAGTGCCAGAGCTTTCTGTAGACCTGTCATAGTCATCGATAAGCGAGTTGATACTGAGAGGCGGAGAAGGTGAAGGAGGTGGTGGGAGCGGCGATGCTAACGGCGCTATGGGAGGTGCTTGTGGTTCTCGAATCTCGTGTCCAACGCTCCCCAGCTTTGGAAAGAGTAATGGTGGTGACGGTTCCGGGTCTCCCCCGCCAAGTCGTCGCTGGACGTCAACCCAAACCTCTGCACTCTTTGCTCTATTGCGAGAAAAAGTACGAGGCGGTGGAATCGGAAGGGAAGGGAGAGCTAGCGGGTCCGAGTGCGGACGGAACATTAGGTCACGTCACAGTGAAAAAGGATGGTAAACCGGTTCTGGAAGGGCGTTGGTCGCCCGCCCAAACGTAAAGGCGAAACCGACGCGGGAATATCGAATCGCAGTGTGAACCCCCTGGCGCGGCAAGACAGTCAGCAACGAACGTGTGAAGTGTTTTTGATGGAATATGCCTAAAACTTCACCTGGGGGAAGGGCAACTCAAAGCCTTTAGAAAAATAAGGCTTTCAACCAGCAACGGGCGCTGACAGCCTCAAAACAAGTCCCTTTTCTTTTTTGTTCAGGTACACTCGCCCATAAACGCGACCAGTAAAGGTGGGGATAGTCACGACAGCAGGCTAGAGAAACCCTAACCGCTTGTGTGTTGCAGCACAGCGATAACTCGATCAAAAGCTACCAAAAGAGAAGCCAGCCAAGAGCGTTGGAAAAAAAAAAAAAAAAACAGGTTTGAAATGAGGCCGCCCCCCTCCAACATGCTCGCGCGGTTCCGAGCCCCCCTTTTGAGGTTCGGCCACGTAATATGCGTTCGATCACGTCAATTTTGGAATAACAGATGTCAACGACAATAACGGCAATGCAGTAAATCCCGTCAAAAAGCGTTTAGAAAAGTCAAGCATAACTTTCTGTGTGATTCTCGTTGTTGTTCCGTGCCATTGCCCTTTTGTTCATCATTTGCTTTTCAAAAACGCAATGGTTGGGATTGCAGAAAATGAAATGTTTCTCATCACATAGCGTATGCATATTCATTTCCGTCATGATCCTCCATAAAAAACAAAAAAAGAGGAAGAAACACTATCCCCAACTTCCAACCTCAACTACACCCGAAAGTAAAAAAGGGCAAAAAAAAAAATCACAGAAGTCTGAAAAAAAAATGATTCACCGCACTCCCCCATATCCCTCTGCCCCCGCCGTCTCCATACTCCTCATCTACATCTGGCCCTCATTAGGCCCCCCATCTCTTTGCGGGGAGGATGTGTAGCCGGTTTGCAACTACTGACGTGCGCGAGTCATCGCTTGTCTTAAAAGTATCCTAGACCGGTAACACATACTTAACAATCCTCTGACGACTCCAGAATAAAAGATCATCCTCACAACATTCCCGTAACTACTCACGTCCACCGTTCCATGCACTTCTTGGCCCGTGCACAGATACTGGCTGTGGGAGGTGTCCAGGTCGGCCAATCATGGTACTAGCAGGAGTAGCGGCTGACGTCGTAGTGGGGGGACTACCAACTGGCTGTCCACTATTTACCGCTGATCCACCCATAAACGTTGACGGATAAAAGGGTAGTCCCATGCCGGGGCCAGGAGGTAGCATATTCGATACACCGCGGCCGATAGCTGATGGGAGTGCACTGGTGGCTGCAACATTCGCAGATGATGGTTGGGTTCGTGATATATCTTCTTGCAGCAAATATCACAATCAGCAACAGGCTACAGGAGACAATATGAGGGCAATGCAGAAACCTTACCTCCCAATCCTCCACCTAATGTTGAAGGCACATCCCACCCACCAAACGGTCCATATCCGTCAAACATCCTTGCTGGTCCCGGCGCTGCTCCATTCACAACTCCAAGAACTCCAGGTGCTCCAGATGTAGGTTGCCCAAAAGGATCAGGTCCACCAGCTCCGTGATTAGGTCCAATGGAAGGGATACCTGCAGAGGAAGGTTTTCTCCAGGCAGCACCTCCGCCAATGCGTTCATCATCTTTTAACAGTTCACCGCCAAGCACAGCGCTCCCAGCTACAGGCTCATCGTCCTCCAAACGCGGGAAGCCACTTCGACTAGGTTGAACAGGAGCAGGTGGCGCGACAGCTGACGGTCGTCGGATGGGTGCAGGTCTCGTCACAGCCTTGTTCGCTCCGATTGGAGCAATACCGTTCACTGGCGCGTCCGTACGCGGCCCGGTGCCAATCGGTACAGGTGGCTTGCTGTGCGCAAGAATGGCTCTTGCAGGATCTCCAAGCGCCCCAATCTGCGCTGCGGGTATGCCATCCGTTGCCGACCAGTGAAGTGCCGGGAAGCTGGCGCCACTGAACAGCCGAGACGGAGGTATTCCGTTTGCGTCGGCTTGTTCCAGGCTCTGTGTACCTATCGTACTTGGCGGTGGTGGTGAAGATGCTAGCGCTGCTCCCTGTGTCGGCTGACCGTGTACCAAATTTGCTTGATGCAAGGCATTCATATGTGTAGGCTGCCCAAACATGTGTAGAGGACGTGAACCCGGATGTGCAAATCCTGGCTGAGATACTGCGTTCTGTTGACCTACTGCTGGTCGACTATGTATCGATAGTGGATGGTGCGAATGTGAAGGCGGTGGTCGCATACCAGGAATTTGCTGCGCTTGGACAGGAATAGTTTTCTGTGAACTTTGTTGCCCTTGATAACCAGGTTGGGTACTGTGTGGTCGAATAGTGGAACCACCTGCCGTTGGCTGTGCAATAGCTGACCCAATGGCCTGGGGTCTCGCCAAAGGTGGCCGGGTATTGGGAACAGTAGCTGGTCGCCCAATCGGACCTGGACGGTACGCTGGAGTTGTAGTAGGCGCGTGAGATGCAACTTTTGAAGGTAGACCACCAGGGGACGGCTTGGCGGATACAGGTCGAGCTGTCTTCGGCTGCTGTTGAACAACAACTTGTTGCCGCGGGCGCGCCTCTCCTCGCCCCCGTTTCTCTTTTTCGTCCTTCTCCTTGCGTTCGCGCTCTTCCCGCTCTTTTCGTTCTTTCTCTTCCTTTTCTCTCTTCTCCCGGTCTTCTCTCTCTTTTCGCTCACGCTCTCGCCTATCGCGCTCCTCTTTTTCCTTGCGCTCACGCTCGTCACGTTCTCGTCGCTCTCGTTCCTGTCGTTCACGCTCCTCCTTCTCGCGGCGCTTTTTCTCCTCTGCTTCGCGCTGCCTGCGCTTCTCTTCTTCCTTTCGCGTGCGCTCGGCTTCCTTTTTCTTGCGCTCTTCCTCTTCCCGCTTTGCCCGTTCCTCCTCACGCTTTGCTCGCTCGGCTTCTCGTTTCAAGCTACGTACGAAGGGATCAGTCTAGGTTTTCCCACCATGTAATATCCGATAATGCGCTCACCGATCCGCTTCCGCCTTCGCCTCCTTTTCCACTCGAAGTCGCTCCTCCTCTTCTTGCTTTTTCCGCTCTAACGCTAGTCTCTCCTCCTCCTTTTGCTGCTTTAGAGCTCTGTGATTTTGATTTTTGCAGTAATTAGGGCCAAGCAACTTTTCGAAATCAGCGCACAAGAAAGACCAACTTTTTCTGGAGCCTCTTTTTCTCCTTGTTCTTCTGACGGGCAAGCTCCCTCATTGCTTGCTGCTCCTTCTCTTTCTCCAACTCTGCTAGAAGGTGCATTTGCCTTTCTTGCGCAACCTTTTCACGATATGCTTGTAGCACTCGCTGTTCAAACATCTTTGCTGCGAATATTTGGAACATGCGCCGGCCCTCCTCCATGCGTTGCTCTTCCGTCATGGTGTCCTAGATGACATATCATTAGTCACTCCCATCGCCACGACGGATAAATGTGCCCATCTGTACCTCCTCCTCGTCTTCATCATAATCCTCATCATCATACTCGCCATCATCCCAATCGCCGTTATTATCTCCACCTCGGTCCATCTCATCGTCGAGCTGCCTGATTTTTCTTTCAGCCAGCTGTTCCATCAAATCGAGGAATTTTCTTCCGTCATTTTTAAGAAAGTCATCAGCTACTGTCAGTATTCCACCTGCTTAAAAGGGTGAGTGCGCAATTTATTTGAAGACTTATCGGACAAGCGGGCTAACCTTTCACTGTGAGGCTGCTGCCAAATTCGAAGATACTCTCAGATGGGTCATGATCGTCATCCTCTTCTTCGTCATCGTCATCATATTCTCCATCCTCTTCCTCATCTTCCTCAATATGTTGAATTCGATGAGATGGTGGTGATCGGGAAGGTGACGGTGTATGTCCGATGGGAGTTGCAGCTGGACACACATATTAAATGAAAAACAAGGCTCATGTGTAAAATTCGAGAGAAAACATACAAGGACCGGATGGAGCTTTCCCGCTCTGATCATTAGCAAAATTTTCAAGCTCTTCGTAATACGCATCGTAAAGGATCTCCAGCTCCTCCTCAATTACAGTTCTGAAGGAAATTTTAATAAAATGAGCACTCATCCCCACTATAAGAAGTGCAAACCAAAATACCAACCGTTTGCGCCCGCATACTGAACACGAGCATGTCTGCTTCTGCTGCTCCTTCATTTTTTTCAGGACCGCCTCTTTTTCCAGTTTGACAAGCGCGCGTCGCTCGTCCTCCCCGAGCTGTAACCAAAATTCACGTATCCGCTGTTTCTCTTCAGCATCTGACTTGTACCAGATATCATTGTGCCGATGATGTGACGTGTCCGAATGTCTCTTTTTTTTCTTTTTCTTCTTATTTTTCGATTCAGAGGCGGGATTATACGAAGGACTTCCACCATCGGCGTCGGACAAAAGTCCGTCATCATCTGGTGACAGTGAATTTGGATGGGTTGAGCTAGCTATAGATCCACGGTGCTCGCCTCGTCCGCGATTCTCTGTTATTTCATCGTATACATAGTCATCTTCATCATCCTCATAGTCAATATGTTCCGACGTGCCATTTGGAGTTGAGTGGGTTGATTGATATGTGGGGGAATGTGTCGTACCCTTTCCCTTTTTCTTGTTCTTTTCAAGACAGACTCGTTAATGGCCATCATTCTTTATACATGATATCTGCTACTTTACAGTCGGGACCAACCTTCTTTCTTCGGGCTGGTACTGGTGCGTGGTCCACGTGTGCAGGCGCGGTTCCGGCCGCAGCAGCCGCAACTGGGACGATATTTGGATTGACAGTATGCATGATGGTAGCAGTTTTTGACCCGTCTTTTGAGCAAATAATCATACGCTGTTGGTAACTCTCGCCTTTACTCTCGGCGCGGGGTATACGGGTGGTCAGCATTATTTAGGGCCCACTCAGGACCAGCGTACGAGCCGACACCAGTAGCTCCTGTGCCTGGCGAGAAATAGCAAGAACGGTTCAAGGTTCGATACGGCTGCTAGTAAATCAAAGCGGATGTCAGTCATGCTGTCTCTCATGCCATGGCAACTCTCGACATGACACTACGAGTCTCCACAGTGTCTACGCGACAACACTCAACGCACCGGTATCTTCTTCTTGGCCCCCAGATTGTGCAAGGGTGACTCCTTTGGGATAGGAAAAACAAGAAACAAAATGAGTATCACGGCCACAAGACCTCAGATCTTGCAAGTTCCCATCCATGAATGGCTCAAGGTCCAGCGCAGCACTTGACCATAAGCAGAGTGGTCAACCTACCGTAGCAAAGAGTAGAAGGGCACCAGTCTTGTTATCTTTGAGTAACGTTTTGGAAGGTTTCAATGAGGTTTCCACGCTCTACTCCTGTTCAAGTTGTCACCCAAATCAAGAGATTAGACAGCGCAGCCAAGAAAGAAGAGATTGTCCCTGTTAGATAGACTGACGACCATCAAACCACACATTGTTTTGCAAACCTTTGCTTGCGTGAGCTCAAGTTGCTGCGCTTCAAATGTCGGCAATCCAAACACTCTCGCAAAAAGTAATAACTTGAGGCGTGTGGTTCAAAAAATGCAAATGATTTTGAAGGACAAGAACGACGCCGAGTAGCCGTGCCCACCGAGGAGGGTGGTTCACTTTGACAGGTTTGCAAAAGGCGTAAAGACCAAATCGCCAACAATCCCCGTCGTTGCGTTTTTCCCGTGCGTTGGCGTGGGTTGACTTGCCCAAGAGGTCGCCCACCTCCAAAGGAAGGCCCAGTTTGGGGATTAAGTGGCTTAGTAGTCAAGCGCACATCAAAAAAGGGATAATGAACTTGAGGCGCATGAAAGTCACATGGTTACTGCTTAGGCAATACATGACTCATTCGCTCCTATGGTGACTCTGGACACGTGACCTTGTCCCAGTTTTTTGCAGTTGGGGAACGGCGATGGTGGGGAAGGGAACTTTGCAGTTTTTTTCAACGACTTTCCCGCGACGATCACGGCAGTTGACAGCAGTTGGCATTACTTTCTTTCTTGGGACTCTTTATATAAACGCATTGGAACATTGAAAGAATCAGACGGGCGGATCGCTACCACATTTATCCCTGCAACTTGACAAAGAACCACTGCAAACATGGCGGCTATAGATATTGACGTAACGCAACTCAATCCTCTATCCCCAGAAGTCATTTCTCGACAAGCTACCATCAATATCGGTAAGCTTTCTCGTGAGAAACAAATGGGAGGGGATGGCATGGATGGGTAGACAGACTTGGGGAAGATGCACTCGCTCTGATGAGTCTTTTTGCTGGCACCAGTCGGAATATACATGACGATGTCTATGCATGGCCGCAAATAATACGCTGGTCGGCCCTGATGCAGTGCATAATCTTTCAAGATGTAGATGGGATGGGATTGCTTGATCAGTCGAAAGATTTGTGTACTCACTGCACTTCTTTATGTCTGACACAGGTACCATCGGGCATGTAGCTCACGGAAAGTCAACTGTGGTAAAAGCTATATCTGGTGTGCAAACGGTCCGTTTCAAGAACGAACTCGAGCGAAACATTACCATCAAGCTGGGTTATGCCAATGCAAAGGTAAGGCTCGGACACGTTTACTCTCGCCGACTTACCATCTCGTATCCATACGCGGTGATGAGACAGTTTGCTGGCACCAGTCGGATACTTGATGTCGATAGACGCAAGAGCCGTCAATAATACGCAGATGGCTCCTGAAGCAGTGGTGATACGAGAGCGGAAGGCGCGGGCGGTGAACCTTGCTTCTCTAGACCAACATCTAACCTCATGCTTTCTTGGTTTATGATAGATCTTCAAATGCGATAGCGAAGCATGCCCACGTCCGGGATGTTATCGATCGTACCGTAGTGATAAGGAGGAGGGATTCCCCTGTGATCGGGTGGGGTGCATGGGAAGAATGAGACTACTAAGGTGAATGGCCAACGGTGTGTTTTTCGTTTATGGCATTAATTGACAGGGTTGTGTGCCACGAAACAGACATGTGTCGTTTGTCGACTGTCCGGGACACGATATTCTTATGGCTACTATGCTGAACGGAGCAGCAGTCATGGATGCTGCGCTGCTCCTGATCGCTGGAAACGAATCTTGTCCCCAACCACAAACTTCTGAACACTTGGCCGCTATCGAGATTATGAAGCTGCAGCATATTCTCATCCTACAAAACAAGGTTGACTTGATCAAGGAATCCGCTGCAGAAGAACATCACGAGAGCATCTTGAAGTTTGTAAAAGGCACTGTTGCAGACAGTGCTCCGATTATTCCCATTTCTGCGCAATTGAAGTACAACATTGACGCCATCAATGAATACATTGTCAAGAAAATCCCCATCCCAATCCGTGACTTTACCGCCGACCCACGATTGATTGTCATTCGTTCATTTGATGTGAATAAACCAGGTGCAGAAGTGGCAGACCTCAAGGGAGGAGTCGCAGGTGGATCGATTTTGTGTGGTGTGCTTAAAATCGGTGACGAGATTGAAGTTCGTCCTGGAATTGTCAGCAAGGATAGTGATGGAAAGGTGCGATGCAAGCCAATCTACTCTCGAATTGTGACACTGCTGGCAGAGACCAATGAGCTTAAATTTGCGGTACCTGGTGGATTGATTGGTGCGTTGGAACACGGTTGTTTTCCTTCAAATGTTTGTCGTTCTCACATCTGGCCTTATTTCCAGGTGTGGGTACAAGAATTGATCCCACTCTCTGCCGTGCCGACCGTCTCGTCGGCCAAGTCCTTGGTGCAGTGGGCAAATTGCCAGCGATCTACACCGAGCTAGAGATTAACTACTTCCTTTTGCGGAGACTTCTCGGTGTGAAGTCCGAGGACAAGAAGCAAACCAAGGTCCAAAAGCTCAGCCGACATGAAGTTCTCATGGTGAACATTGGTTCTACCTCAACGGGTGGACGTGTGTTGAGCGTAAAGGCGGACATGGCCAAGATATTATTGAACACCCCGGCTTGCACTGAGATTGGAGAGAAGATTGCATTATCTCGTCGTATCGAGAAGCACTGGCGGTGAGTTCTATTGTTCAGCTTTACAGATTCGCCGATACACATGCTCATTTTTCGTTGATGTAGATTGATTGGATGGGGTACCATTCGACGCGGAGTGACCATTGAACCTGAACCACGCTAATGTGCACTTTCCTCTTTAACCGTTTTCTGTGTATACGTTTGTATGTAGATCGAGGAGTGGGAGAGCGGGGGGGCTGGTGGATATGAGGGGGTTCTGGCTGTTGCGGACACACGCCCTGTATAATAGTCTTTACCTTTCACAGCGGAATGGAATGAAATTTTAATGGGCTCATTGCAGTTTTGAGGTGCAATTATTTTCAGCATATTATCATTTGTCGTGACAAGGCATGAACTATTGAACTTTTTCCACGTCAAAATGAGGTGTCATTGCAAGCTGTACCCCATCATGCGTTGACGCAAACGCGTCGTCAAAAGGATTGGGATGCATCGCAGCAGACGTACTCTGGTAATGACAATACTGGAAAGACAAGGAATCAATCTATGACGCTTGGTCGGCGGGCACACAACTTGATGCGTTATACTGACACTCTTCCCACATTGACCCACCCTCTAAAGCCCTACCGGTCTCGCGTTTGCTCAAAATAAACAAAAGGATCTCTTCATCAAAGTGGGTATGTGGCGCGACGGCGACCAGTCTAGAAAGTGACGTCCAAGCAGCTCCAAAACAATGCTATAGTCAATGTAATTGAACGGCTCCCATGCAATGTATACGCGTGGATGCGCGCGTTTGGATGATCTCGTCGCGAGCGCGTTTGGACACCATACAATGCATAGTTGGACGTGGAGATGGATTTTGGAGAGGACAGCTCGTTGAATCTTTCTGCATATTTCTTCCTTATGCCAAGCACATTGGCAACTGAATCATTATTTTCATCCTTTTATTGTAACAGGCCCTTCCCCTGGCCGGAACCAGAGAACACTCCCACCGAGGTGGATCGTGGGTGCCGCTCCCCCAACGCGGGTCACTCAGTCCTGTTCAACCAAGAAGACTAGAATACGCGGCAGGAAATAAAGAAGACAAGAAAGAAACCCAACCAAAACCCACAAACCTGATAATAAAACCACAAAACACAAAACACAAAACAAATACCACCTCAAAAACCAAAGCACAAGAAAACCCCACCGCGTAAAGAAGAAGCGGGGGGAGGCGAGATATGCTGCCCTTTTTATAACCCTCGGGAACTGCGCTTTTTACAAATCCTCCACTCCGGAATTCTCCACTTTACGAAAGTTTCCGGTTGCATGACCTTCCTTCGCAACGCAGGGGGGCCAATCAAGAGCGTCGTTGGACCCTCCTGGTGAATCTCCTGGCCCTAAGCTCTCCGCGGATGTCTCCTGGAAGGGCGATGCTAACGACAAGATTATGTAAACGCGACCCGGAAAGACGGTCATTTGTTTATACTTTCCTCCGGTCCTCAGTTGGGGCAGCAAGGCGACTGGGGGACTCGGTTGTCTTTGCATGGCCATGGCGAGCATGTCGAATGCAAAACGAGATGGTTTTTGTGTGTTTTGCACTTGGTTTTGCAGCGGGTTGGGAGACGTGGGAAAGTGGGAACGCGCGTGGGAAAAAGTGAGTTTCCCGTTTGCTGGGCTCGAGTATGAAGCGATAGTATGTGCTTTCTTGTTGAGGTGTGTGTAGTGCGTGTGGTATGTGCTTATTCTGACTATTGCATTCGCAAGTGGTGAAAAGTGTAGAAACCATGTCGTTTTACCATGGCGTTTCGTTCCTATACTCCCTCGTTGACCAGCGACCGCGCCGAACCGAAGAAAGTGGATGCTGGGACTGTTTCCCGGCAAGAATCCCACGGTCGAAGAATCTGTGCCATAGACAGCAGCACAAACCATATGCAAATAGGACAAAAGAACGGGAGCAGTATGGTGTGTATGGATAGCTCAAAGGTAGCGACAAGGATCACACACAATGCTTGCTGTGCTTGTTTGGCAATGGACTAACATGAACGTAGGCCAAAGATGATATATACATGGCTAAAAAACGACACTATATCTAAGCACCACATCTGCTTCAAAGAATTAGGACTCGGCCCTTCTCAAATCCCAGCCTACTTGTCCTTGCTGCCTCCATCACGCGTCGTTGATTTCACATCCCGCACCTCTCCATTTACAAACTTTTTCACCCACATGAATCCTAATATGCAAGCACCAGCCGTCACAGCGCCTCCTACAAACCCACCAATACCGCCATCTCCTCCCACCCTTCCCTGGCCTCCCATGGCAGAAAAGCCTGCCTGCTGCCCTAGTCGAATCAAATCCCACAGTTTTGTGCCAAAAGAAACAGACGCTCCACCGCTAAGTGAGTTTCCAACGCAAAACAGGAGATATGGAACGGATACGGACGCTATGGTGGCGCGGACAGGAGGCGGAATAGTTAACCACAGCGAGTCCCAAATGTGCGGAAGGAGGTACCAGAGTCCTGTTTGCCGATCTGTTCCCGGGAGCGTTAGCGGCAGTGGGTGAAGAAAAGGATCTTCGGACGCTGTGATGAGTTTGGGTTTGGCATCGTGTTGGATCGTCATGTTTTGCTTTTGGGTGTGGAGGGAGGAAACTTGCTGACGTGTAGAGCATCACCCTGCGCGTACGGAATTAACATGACTGTGCCACGTTGAATTGTTTTCGGGCGGGTTGAACTCAGTCTTGCGACTTTTGTCCCAAATTCCTTTGAAAATGACAACAGATCCCTCGACGCCCGACGTTCAACCAACGCTTTCCCTCCTCACCTGTCTATCGACATTGTCTCCGTCCACGCCATGTGCACAGGAACTCTCGACGTACATTTCTCAAGGTGCGGATGTGGCTTACCGAGACCCAAACCGTACTGGTGCAAGTCCTCTCCATGTGGCTGCTTTTCGCGGTAACCTTGAGGCCGTGACGACACTTCTTCGAGCGGGTGCACAATGGAATTCTATTGATGATAACGCCAAAAGTGTTGGCGAGTATGCCTTGGAAGGGGGATTTCAGGACGTTTATGAGCATTTAGTGGAGGAAGGGGTGAGGACCGAGTTTCTGTTGATGGCTTTGGGCGCTGGTGGGTTGCATCCCGATGACGAGGTAGAAGATAGCCATGAACAAGACGAATCTGTAACAAGTGTGAAGCCTGCCTCTGCCCATCCTTCAAATGCCAACTACCTTGCCCGGCGACTCACCTACTCCGAAGGCCGTCTCCTTGACTCGGACAACAATGCCGTCATGATGGGATGGGAAGCGCCGCTCATGGAACTCCATGCAAACGTCATTGCTCCGGAACCAGGTCTTCATGTTCTCAATGTGGGATTCGGGCTAGGTCTCGTGGATGAATACCTCCAAAAGCGATCACCTGCCACGCACACTATTATTGAAGCGCATCCAGATGTGTATGCTAAAATGATTGCAGATGGATGGGATAAACGGCCGGGCGTTCGTATCCTATTTGGGCGGTGGCAGGATGTGTTGGATCAATTGCAAGTATATGATGGCATCTTTTTCGACACTTTTGGAGAGTATTACGATGATTTGAAGGAATTTCACGAACACGTTCCAAACATTCTGAGTCAAACTGGAGTCTATTCCTTTTTTAATGGCTTGGCAGGGACGAATCCGTTCTTTCACGATGTATCGTGCAGGCTTGCAGAGGCGGATCTAGGCGAGATGGGATTGATGACCGAGTATAGAGAGGTTAAGATGGATGAGTTGGGCGACGAGGTGTGGCAGGGAGTGAAGCGAGCGTATTGGAGTCTCCCAGTTTATCGACTACCAGTCGTAACTTTCTAGAGCAGTTGCAGAAACCGCATCGTTTGCACACAAACTCTGTATCTAGCACCGTATATTTAAACGCACACCTTTCTTAAGTACATACTTTACTTTCTACAAGGGAGGCGCTGTATGCAGCCTTTATAATCCAAGAAACTTTTTCATCTCATTTGCGATTTCAGAGTGCACCCAGCTGGTGTAATGCCCATCAAAGTCCCAGTAAACGTATTGCCATGCCTCTCCACATCCACCCTGGTTGGTCAAGCAGTACCCAGTCGTGTTCATGGCTTGGGGAAACACAGTGTCAATAATAAAATCGTGTACGTTGAAAATCCGCACATTTGATTTTTTGAGGGACGAAAAATCGGCTTTTTGGAGTGCACTGTTAAAGGACGTGACAAAGGTTTTGAAAAAGTCGTAGGCGTCTTTGGGGAGTGCGGCAAAAGTGGGTGAGAGGTACAGAGGGTCAAGGTTAAAGACTACGATTTCTCGTGCACCTATCCATCAAAATACTTGTTTAACAAAGGAAGCTGACAAAGTTTGTACAGAACAAAAAGACGTACGTTTGTCACGGATTTGTTTGACGCTCTTTACAATATTGGCGGCTGATTCTTCCCCAGTGACATTTTTGTAATTCTTGAACCAAGTCTGGAAGGCATCATTTGCGCCAGACCTTGAAGATGGCAATATGGGTTATGATGCAAAACATTCTAAATTACCAAAAAAAACAATGCTTTGCATACCAGACAAACACAATCTCCTTGCTCTTGTATCTTTTCGTCCCCGCAATCTGGTCGGCAAGACTGGGGACCGGAAATTCCTTGGCAAATCCCTGGATGAAGGCATTATCTGTCGTCGAACCGCCGTACGCTGTGCTCCGAACTTTGATATTTGTAATCATGGAAAGGAATTCTGCCCATATGGGGCCATCAGAGAATCGACCAAAGTGGTATGTGTCGGGAGGAAATGTCTTGTTGGTGAGCTTCCAAACATTGCCAGTGTCACTGAGTGTCGAGCCATGAACGATGAAGCGTTTTGGTGGCCTTTGTTTTGCTTGCAGGTTGCTGGCTGGAAGAGCAAAGACAAACGGAAGGGTAATGAAAAGCAAAATAGCAAGGCAGTAACGACGGTCCATCTTTGTGGGTTAGAAATTGGGCGGGAGAAACAAGATATCGGCGGGGGAGGGAAACCATGTCGAACGAGCTCTATTTATGTGTACGCATCGAGCGGGGCGGGGTTTGCGAAAGAAAAAAGAAACCCCGACCATGAAAAATGCCTCTCGTCATCCTCCTTGTCAAACAGCTTCCGATTCCAACAGGAAGAGAAGGAAGAGAAAAAAGTATGTCAGGCATAAAAGAAGCAACATACACACCATTGTACCGATTGCTGACAACTAGGCACAATCAAGGTTACGCTAAACCTTCTCCTGCTTCTAACCCCCAACAAAAATCCACAGAAAAACGCGTGGAAATCGGCGGGTTGGGTGATCTCCGACGTGCTTACACAGCGAGATCAAAGGGATCATTTCGTCAGCAACCAACGTGGCAGCACTAATTGCAATGATTTATTCACATTCGAGGGTGGTTCTCGAAGAACTGTGGCTTTATTCATTCGGACGGTTTCATCTATTCTACGATATCTATAAAACTGCTTGAATACGACAAGTTCATCCAAAAGTCTACTTGGCGTCAATGATGATACTGGAGAAGCTCACAGAGATGAGAAATTGAGGTTGATATGGAAGGACATCCTCTGAAAATACGAAACCGGAAGGTTACAATCTACTTGGGTACAGTAACGCGAAACAAGCGCTGTCTACGGTATCAGCCGTGGATGTTTGCGAGTTTGAGCATTGGTCTGTAGTCTAGTTTTCGTGCCTTTCTTGCCTACCTGTCGGTGGACAAAGACACGTTCTGATCTATACAGCGCTGATGGGGGATTAGCTACCGTTTCCAAAAAGAATATGAATGTCGAAAGTACAGAGTTCAAGAGTTAGAAGCTATTCTGCCACCATGGAAGATCGGAAGTTCATTTCCCTTTAATTTACCTATACGTGCTTTGTGTTTGCCCTGCAGATAGGGGCTCAGCCTGAAGGTTTTTGATCTGGCTGACCATCAAATAATCGCCCCTCGTAGACGGGGTCTTTTCGTAGCAACCTGCGGGCATGGCCACTCTGCAGATACTGTTTATCCTGCTTGCATAAACAATTACAGAACGCATAGAACCCCAGCAACACCCGTACCCGAAACCCATTCTACTCCTAAGCTGCCCAGACCCCCCCAAAAAACGCGCCTCGTCCCCAAAAGTGCGACGAGGGCACCGCGTATCGAACTCGTGTCCCTGGGTGATCCGACATCTTCCGAGTGACTCACGAGATATTTGGAGTTAAAAATCTCTTTTTAAAAAGAAGGCGGAACGAAACCACAACCTGCTGCCAGGCTGCTGGCTTGGTCGCAAGCTGCAATAACATCGTTGTTCTTCGGTCCGCAAACACCAACCGCCCCCCGTCCCCGCCGTGGCTGTCCCCAGTGGTCGACATCCAAACGAGGCTGACCAACAAAACTTTTAATACGACAACAAAAACACACACATGACTCGCTAGTAGTTGCCAAAAGGCGGAGCTCAAATGTATTTTTGCACCAATAGGGTGCGGGTATGTTCATGAACTAGGTCAAGAGTCGGTCTATACACAAAACAACAAAGAAGACTATAAAAGCAAAAAGTCTCTGGGCTCCCCAAACACACAAAAGAACACACAAGTATGGTACAGGAAGCGAATAATAAATGAATCAGATCCAAATAGTACGTTGTTTCAGGGCCTCACGGTAGCGGCGAGACTCGAGTGGATGGAAGGTTATGAGATGCATCCTCGCGGACGAGTGATTCTCTCCATCTATATGAGAAGCTGGGTATGCTAGATGCTTACGCTCTGCAGGCGGCGAATGCTGACGGTGGGGAGCAACCCAAGGAGGGTATTCCAAAAGAGTCACTGTCTGCGTACAACCGTGATCCACGGTAGACTTGGCGGCCAACTTGGGCCATCGCCTCTAGAGGTGACGTGGAAAACGGCATTTCTATTGCATCGGAAAACGAGGTCGGTGATGGCGAGCGACGGGTGGCGTTGATGGGAATGGGAACCGATTCGGCGGCAGGTGGAGAGTATTTTGCGTTAGGATCGGCCAGAGTGCTCGTCTTTGCCAATGCGACAGCACGCCGCGACTCGCGGCGCTGAGCAGGAGTCATAGGCAGCGACATGTAAGTGGTGGCGGCTACTCCAGTGGGTGGAGCGACAGGAATAAATGGGGCAGGAGATACGTCGGGGTTTACGGCAGCAGCTGAACATATGTGACTCGGAATGAGTACTGGTGCAGCTGGTGGTGGACTTGGTCTGACATTTCGTGCGGCTCGAGCTCGGTTTGGTACTGGTCGTTCCCATGTGTATCCTGGCCGGCTTTCGCCTGCCGATGTTGACAATCCGACTTGCTGATGAGTTGGCCTGGAAAGCTCCACGGTATAATTCTGCCCTCCGTTATTGTCCCAAAAGGACTCGCCCTTTACGTCATATCGAATAGCAAAGTCGACTTTGCCTTTCACCGCCGAGGTTCCAAATTCCCTGTTCAAGTCAATCTTGAACACAAACCGGTCCATCCCGCAGAAATCTATTGTGCTTTGGCTGACAATATTGGCGAATACAGCCTTTATGTCATTGGTTGATGTCCATCCGTCGATGGTATATCGAATAACGACAGTCTTGCCGAAGTCCAAGTTCCGGACCAGAACGTTTCCAGTGACGATGCGACCTTCTTCAAGATGGATGTTGTCGAGCACAAGGGGTTGCGCCCCAAATGACGGGATAGCTGGGGAGTTTTTGTTGGCTATAACCCACGTTTCACGTAATGCCAAAGAAGCAGACAATGAGCCTGCGTCCACGTCTCCGGTATCTTGAACGCCATACTGCTCGAATCCGTTAATGTCTGACGCCAATGATCCTCGTGCAAAGAGACAGACGTACTCCAACGTCTGTCCAAAGGTGATTGATTTCTTTTCGGTTGCTGTGGTTGGTTCTGATAGTCCGTTTGCGGGACGAGTGAGTGACGTTGTTGTTGTTCTTGGTGTGAGGCGAGCAGCTGGAGTTGATTTGAGGCAGGAGGGGACAATGTCACCTTTGCTGTTGCGAACGGGAGAGCGAGCGGACACGACGGGGCTAGTGGGTTTTGGCGCAGGAGTGCCAGGCGGTGACGGGACTTTGCGGACGAGTTCATATTGGGGAGCCGTGGGTTTCTTGAAGCCCAGCGAGTTGGAAGGTGGGGAACGGGACAGGAGCGAGCGTGCACCGGCCGGACAATCTGTCGCTCGCGGCTGCACACGCTGGAGGATTCGGTGCACGTCAGCGGGAGTGGGCCGGTTGGCCTGCACGGGGAGAGGCGACCCAATAGGTGAGTACGTATCCGCCGTATACAGCATTGTTACGTCGTTGTCGTGTGTGTGTGTTGGTAGTTGTGTTGGAAAGGAAAATGAAATCCTACCTAAAAAATCCTTTATAAATGAATCTTTAGAAAAAAAAAAAATGGGAAAAAGATAAAAGATATCTCATCGATGGTGTGTGTTGGAAATTGGCCCTTTTTTTCTTTTACCTGGTGACATTTTGTGAAGAGTTGTTTATCAGCAACATTTGGTGGAAATGGCGTTCTGTTTGAGTTATTGCCTATTTTAGTTTAATTGTCTTTATTTGATTGGTGGAAACACGCGTTTCATGAGTCATTGCGTATCGAATTCCATCGATGACAAGCCCTACCAGTGGCTTTCTCTTTTTTATTTTGCATCCGATTTTCCTGCGTTTTATTTAGGCCGAGTCTCGCTGCTTGCTGGTTTTTTGCGCAGTGCGGCACCAGGGCTTTTTTTCCAAAGGCGTATATGGCTGATATGGGCGATCAAAGCTTTTGGCAAAACGCAACTCGTGCCGCAACACAGCAAGTTGCTCTGCCATCGTTTCCTTCTTTGAATGGAGTCAAATGTCAAAACAATGCAAGGCCTCCACCCGTTCCAAATCCGACAACCCGGATGTGGGTAATTGTTCCCAATTCCGCGTTTTCGGGTGAATTTCCAATGCGTGCGTGCGTCATTCTGCGTCATCGTTGGAGCCATAAAAGGAAATTTTTGTTTCGTTTATGTTTCCAGGTCTCTGGTTCTGGACCCAAATTTCATTTGGATCTTATCTGCAAAAACAGTTACGACTTTGTGTGTGTTTCTGGACAAGGCGTTTTGGACGAGAGAGACTTACATCCACCGTTCTTGTCGCAGAACAACAGAGTGCTTTGGAGAAGGGGGGCTTTTGTTGCGCGTTTCTGAACCAGGGTGTGGTGGGAATTGACCCTCCGCTCCTGCGCGTGGGGCTGTTTGGGTGCCCTTTTTTTTTGCAAAGCCTTCCGCCGGCTTCCGGCTGTTCCGCACGTTTTCCAGAGAGAAAATCACTGCCGCAAAATGCACAAAAACTGCCAGCAACTGGCTGATATCTAGAGCTGTTCCAGCCAACAGGAACATATACGGCCGTCTGACTCAACCTGACCTTTACAGAGACGATTAGACAGCATCTGGATGATTTATCAACAAAAAAAAGTGCGATGATGCATGCATATGGCGACTACAATGGAGTGGTGCGGATGTCGCATGTCTTCTCCAATCGGTTCTGAAAATAATCGCTGGCTGCCAGAAAAAAACAGTCTAGAAAAGCTGCACAATCCGAGGCTTTGGCTTCAAGTTTCGCTATCGGATTCGCCATGCTTACGGCATCATGACTCTTGTGACTCACAGATCGCTTTGGTGGAGAGTTTTCAAACCAGAGCCTGAGATCCTTCCCATGTGTGTAAACACCCAAACACATTGCAATGACACAACCATTCACACACCTTTTCGCTGGGAATAACCTGAACAGGTGCGTACTCGTTCTTTCCCAATTCGGGCGTTCGCATTAATGTATTCTGTCAATGGACTTGACGGACCGTGGGCAAAAATTTCAGGTTCAGCATTCTTCGCTCCAACAAGACCTTTTTGGCTGCCTCTTTAACATCGCCATATACCCGTTTCATTGCATTACGGGCCCTTGATCCGCTCCTCAAGCCCTCAGAATCGCCCAAGCGCGTGGAAATTGCATGGCTTACATCTGCAACCGTCCAAGGCGCAATTGACAATGGCGCCTTTGTAGCTCTTTTGGGCGTCGACGAAGAAGAGGAGGTAGAAGAATTTCAAATCGAAAAGACGAACGGGCAAAGCATGGCTGTGAAAGGCAGAGCCTATTGGGCTGTGGACATGACACCGACAAGCCAAGATAAAGGCGTCATTGAACGGATAAATAAAGGTAATGCATCTCAACGCTTTGAGAAAACAATCAATATACCATTGACAAAATCTGATTGATGCTTAGAACTTGAAGAAAGCCATGGCGCTCAATACTCGCCGTTGCGCCAAAAACTCTCTGAGCTGCCATGGTCTCGCGACACTGCCATTCTGGCCCAAGCCCGCGCCATTGTCGATTGGAATACCCGCAACCAGTTTTGTCCTGGATGTGGACGCAAGACTGTATCTGAGGAAGCGGGATACAAGAGAGTTTGCCCTCGTGCCAGTAAGGATCAACAAAAGGCGACTGCATCGTCGGTGGATCCCGAACCGAAGGGAGAGGCGCAAGCTGTAGATGAGCAACAACAACCTGCTTGTCTTTCATTGTCTGGGGTTCATAATTTCCAATACCCTCGTACGGATCCGGTGGTCATTGTTGCAATTGTTCACCCCACGGATCCCAACAAGGTATCTCTTCGTCCCAGTTCGAGACTCTTGTTCATCTGACTAATGTTTACACTCTCTGTTAGATTCTTCTTGGCCGCCAGTCTCGTTTCCCACCAGGATGGTATACATGCATTGCAGGCTTCATGGAAGGAGGCGAGACATTGGAGGAAGCCTGTCGTCGTGAAGTGTGGGAGGAAGCGGGTGTCAAGGTTGGACCCGTGTTTTATCATTCCTCGCAACCCTGGCCATTCCCCAATTCGATCATGTTGGGTTGCATTGGAATGGCCACGACAGAAGAAATTGACCTGGGTGATCAGGAGCTGGAAGACGCAAAATGGTTTACCCGTGAGCAAGTTCTGGGCGCAATATCTCCCTACGAGTCATCATCAAAGGATACACCCAAGAGAGACGATATACAGCTTAGAATACCACCGCCTTATGCCATTGCACATCAATTGATAAAGGCGTGGGCGGAACGATGGAAGGGGTATAATCTAGCAGACGCCAAGATGTAGAATAGGAAATCCTTTGTATAGATAAATAGCACGCAATCTTTTGCCCTCACATGCCTCCAGTGCCGACATGCTAACATTACCACCCAAATTTCCAATGAGCTAAACCATAAAATATGGATAACGTGGTGGGCGTAAGTTATGATCATTTGCGACGTTTCAGAGCTTCAAATCCTAAAGACAAACACCACGTCAATTCCTCGCTCAATTCGCTTGAAAACAGCAAGAACTCACGTTTGGTCAACTCGTCAAAATTTGGCAACGACTCTGAATCCCCGCCTGCACCCATATCAGGACCCTGTCCTCCTCCAAATCCAGTTGCACCTGGTGGCGCATGTGCTGGAGCGCCATGGCCCAATGGCACACCCGGAAAGTCAGGAATCTCATTATACGAGTCCGTAGGGGCACTAGGAGCAGGTCGCCCATAGGGATCCTTGAATCCACCAGGAAATCCTTGATCAGGGTGCTGCTGCGGATATTGTGATGGATATTGCTGGGGGTACTGTTGTGGATACGATTGTGGGTGGGCAAAGGCTTCGGGTGCGCTTGTTTGAGCGTACTGTTGGGGGTAGGTGTATGGAATGTCCGTGAGCTGTGGAGCTGGCACCGACCTGCGTCGTGATGTGGTTAGTTTGTTGTCTGTGCGAAGGGACCGCAAAAATGATCGAGCCCACATACTCGAGAACTCCATCTGAACCACCGTCCCATTGAACATTGTATGCCTTTGCTATGGTCTTGAGGTATTGGTTGACGAGAACTGGATCCGGCGTTTGTACCTTGAGCTTGTGCACAATCTAATTTTCGCCAATAGTGAAGCGCAATGAGATGACGATAGGGCAGATCAAAGTACTCGGATTCATACGTACCCGGGAATTGACAATATCATTTTGGTTCTCCATAGCCGCCATGGCAAAGTCTTTGCCAAACTTCATAATAACCTGGTCTCGCACCGAATTGAGCTCTTTAACTTCCATCCTAGGTGCTGCATAGATGATTGTGTTGACTGCTTCTGCTATAGCCTGATCGCAATGCCTTTGGTTAAGGAATTATTGCTCAATACTCTGTATACCTCAAATTGAAACAATGAGTGGTAACCTACTTCATCGACTCTAGCAATCCAAACCGCGCTAGTAAGAGTTCGCTGTAGAGCTCCAGTATCTCCATTGCTTCAATGTTAAAATCTTCACGGATAATGTGCTCTACTCGGACTCGAGCACTATCTTCCTTTCCCTTCTCCAACAGCTGAGCTATCTCCTTCCTGGCAACTTGATTCAGTTGGGTCTTTTTTTGCTGGAGAAGCTTTAGGCGGTTTATGGCAAGCTTCAGTTGAACCTGTATACCAAAGAATAGAGATATTTTTTAACCATGTTCGTAGCTGTCGAGAATTTAAGGATAAATTTTCAAGCCTTCACCGTCTCTTCGTCCTCAGCTTACCTTTGCCCTGTTGGCGTTGAAACCTCCGAAGCTCATATCGTAAACTGTGACTGGGTAACCGGGGATTTAGCAATGAGTCGCAACGCTAGGCTTCCCAAATGTTGCGAAACGCGAAGACAGCAGAAGAACGTTAAAGCTGCAAAAGTCCACAACGTATTATGGAAGCGATCGTCGTCCGTAAGAGGATGATTGCTTGATTGGATGACCAAAAAGATGCCAAGCTCGCTGGAGGGCTGCCAAGAGGTGTGGCCAGGTTTGTGATGTTACACAGATTACTAATCAGACCATGACTCAAGAGGTCGAGCTTGGATTGAGCATTGGGAATCGTTCTGATTTAGGAAATGGTGCAGGCAAGATGGATCCTCGACCAGCTTCAGCAGCTGGCCATAACCGTACGTCTTCGGTCACGTCGTCTGAAGCTGCGTCACAGCAGGCGCAATCAGCACCATCTTCCACCACATTTTACCAGTCCTTAGCGGTCCACCTCGCCCCACCAGTCACCTCGTTGAGCATTTCACCTAATGGAAGAGATGTAGTGCTCGCAGCGTGAGTCTTTCAAATATATATCGTCGGTCATGTGTTAAAAGTAGACGGGAAAGATATTTGGCGCTTATTCATTGGCATGCTTCAATGAACGCTGATCTATAACGGGCTGGGACTTGTTCGTAGTTTATACTACATTCTGTGTCGCGACGTTACGGTGTCGGAACTATCAGATTACAAGAAATGTAGCCCCTTTCACCCTAGTCCGGCATATCTGACCCTGTCCTATGTTCTCTTTACAGCAAGCGAGGTCTATATATCGTAGATCTTGATAATCCCTATGATCCCCCTCGTGTTATTCACCACATGACCAATTGGGAAGTTAGCGATGTACAGTGGAATCCACACAAGTCTAGAGAGCATTGGATTGCGACCACGGTTTGTCTTTGGTACCTTCTGCCTATCGTAAAACAAATGAAGAATAATGGCCATTGTCCATATCATCAGTCAAACCAGAAAGCACTGGTGTGGAACTTGACCCCGTCAGGCTCGGATTCGTCATCAAAGCATATTCAATATATTCTGGGTACACATCAACGAGCGGTGTCTGATTTGAACTGGAGTCCGTTCCATCCAGAGTTACTGGCAACTTGTTCGTATGATACCTACGTCCATTTATGGGATCTTCGCAAAAATCCGGACAAACCGGCAAATTCGTTTTGTGCATGGACCGGTATGAGGACTCTTGTTGTATCAGGCTTTTTCCAAGTGCTTACCAACGGCTGGTTTGTGGCTATTCCTTTATCAGCGGGTGCGACACAAGTCAAGTTCAATCGTCTGAATGATTCTCTGCTTGCCTCATCTCATGATACCGACGTGAAGATCTGGGATGTTCGGGTATATTCACCTTTGCATATGGCCTTCTGTGTACTATCGATTCATGTATCGATATTTGATAGAAAGGGTCGACACCCGTGACACTCATTACAGCGCACATGACAAAGATCTACGGTATCGACTGGAGTAGGAATAATGAGGACGAAATCATTACTTGCAGTCAGGATAGGCTAGTGAAGGTAACTTTAGTTCATGAGCTACCGCAAATTGATCACGTAGTGTTAACTTGATCGACGTAGTTCTGGGACATTACGCAACCAAGAACCTGCCAGGCGACCATAGTCACCGGATCACCTGTATGGCGTGCGCGATTCACGGTAAAGTCAGTTGTGTTTTATTTCCCTTATGGACCGATGGTCTGAAACGAGCTCCATTATTCAGCCCTTTGGAAATGGGATCGTCACAATGCCTCAAAGAAAGGATACCAATCTTCTTCTATGGAGTTGCGATAATCTGGTGGCGCCTGTATACTCATTTGAAGGACATACAGACGTTCCTCGCGAGTTTGTTTGGCGTGTACGAGGGGGTGAGAATTCTGGGATCGGTAAGTTGGAGAGCCCTTGGTAGCTGGGGAAATCTAGAGTCTAACCAATAGAAACAAAGATGACAGAGCATTTCAGCTAGTCACTTGGTCAAAAGATCAACACTTGCGACTATGGCCGATAGACGCGGAGCTTACCAAGGTATCTATCCGGACGCTCTCCCCTGCCGGAATGAAACCGGAACCGTGTTCTCATCTTTCTATAGGCTGTTGGTCATAATCCAGGTCCTCTGTTGTCACCGAACATGGAACGGGAAGATTCAACGGATTCAGCCGTTGAAACGACTCCATTACCTCGCAGCATGTCAGCATTAGATTTGCCTTCAGCTCGATATGCACCACTACGAAAGAAATTTTCTGAGGCTGAGAATGACGTTGTGTCGGAAGGTCATACACATAGTCATCGACGGCAAAGTCGAAGCTTGACCATCCGAAGTTCATCCAGTGCAGATCGATCTGAGGATCCAACTGAAGATTGGCTTGAGTCTCGAGGATTTGACCATAACATACAGTCGCCATTGGAAGAAACGGAGGCTGTTCCCAGGACCTTGGAAGAAGAAATCACTTTGGTTACTAAAAAGTATTCCATGGTGCACTTTGAAAAGGTACTACCCATTGCATGGATAGGTGATTTTGATGGAAATATTCAGATGACGCTTTCTCAATAGGTCAACCTCTCAAATCGAACTTGCACAATTACCCTTCAACGTGCCAATGATAATTTCGCTTCCTATCAACCTCCGCTTGCCGCCATCCCATCCGCATTTCTCCGCATCGATATGAGTTTCCCACCCCAATATCCAAATCACGTCGCACCTATCATGGAAATTCAAAAAACTGGCATGGTCAGCATGGCAAATAGAACTTACCTAGCCAAGAAATTGGCGCAGATTGCCAATGTCTATGTTCAAAACTCGACTCCGTGTCTAGAACCATGCGTACGCTATCTCCTACTTGGTACTGCGGGTGACACTGCACCTATGCCTCCTTCCCTCCCTAACTCAGAGGACGGAAAAGGAGTTAACTTAAGTAGAGCTTCAAGTGAATTGCTTACCACCTCGGCGCTTGGCGATGAGAAGGATATAGGTTTATTGAGCGAAACGGTCGCTTCGACGGGTCTCCTCCATGACAATGATGACATCGATTCGGATACTACCAGCTCGAGTGACGCCGGGGGAGTATCGCTTGTTCCGGGGCGACTGAAGAATACGATGAGAGAGAAACGCTTGCTAAAGGAAGTCATTGTGGGAAAGGACAATAACAATGTCCCCTTCCCTCGACTCTGCGGCGCGTCCTTCTCGCCAAATGGTAGGTGACGATGCTGAGATTAGATTGGCTCGTTATCCTTTAACCTTTGCCTTCCATTAGGCAAGCTCGTCTACTTTTTCTCCCCTCTTCCGCATCCATCTGCGACAAAATTCACTGCTTACACGCTCGTTACGCGAAATCAACAGCCTGTACTTCAGTCCCAGCACTTTACAACTCAACCAAAGACATACCCTCTGTACGAGAATTATCGCGCATTTGTCCTGGCAAGGTTTCCAAAGATGTTCATCGCTGGCGGGAACATCTACGAACCAGGTGCGCTCGATGGGCTAGAGACCGGAAAGATGGGAACAAGCGGAAAGGGAGTAAGCCCGGGAAAGCTGAACTACTGGTTGGATTCTGATGAAAGTGGGGAAGAGTCGCCGGCACCAAGTTTGTTTTGGAGGCCAAAGGTGATGAATGTGCTTTTCGCGAGCGGGTTGTTTCGTTAGCGTGGGCTAACACACCTTATCATTAGCCTGGAGCTTCACTCCAACCAGCATTGTTTTCTTCCGCAGACTTCCTTGCAAGACTCCATCAGCATCCACCTTCTTCCATATCCTCCAACACTGCCTCCCCACTGCTTCCCGCGTCCGTTACACCCAATCCTTCTGCAGCTGTACTGACTCGCCTGTCTCAAACCCCATTTGACCCGCAGCGGGCCGAGGTAGGGGCGAAAGAGCAATCAGCCTTGTCCGCCACATATGCAGGGAGAACTACACCCATCAATTCCCCAAAGGGACATCGCAGTCTACCAACAGTCTCACACCGCACTGAGTCTTTTAGCCTTCCGTCCAATAAAAATGAAGTACACCCAGGTCGACCCGCATCGATATCTATTGTTCCAACAGTCGGCGAGAATGGCGTGGCATCGGCGCCTATCCCTAGTGACGTGCTCAAACACCCAATTTCAAGCCAACCCATGACTGCCTCCGCGGGTTCGCGTCCACAGAGCTTGCTGTTTGAATCCCCGCCAGGGTCACCACCGCATAGTCCTCGGCATTCGTTTTCAGGCAGTTTGCGACACTCACCGTCGCCCCTCCGTGCCATAAAGCATCGCCGAGCAAATTCGGCTGAAGTGAGCGGAAGCGGGAGTGAATATGGAAGCGTGGCTTCCAGTCTAGATGAGCGTGGCGCTCAAATATTTAGCGGACAAGCGATAGGCGACTCACCTATGACAGGATCAACCATTGATGCTAGCGTTTTTCGGCGGCCGGATTTGGTTGATCGGACAAATGACACTCCGATACCCGCAAGCTCTCCGTTACTGTTACAAGAACCCTTACCGGAACCCTCGAGCTATGGAACAATCGTCCATATTAAGGATGTGAGCGACTTGTTACCTACCAGCGAAACGCTGGCCAAAGCTTATACGTAAGTGCCGCAGGACGTCACTCAAGTCCATATCTATTGCTGAAGTATTATTATTGTCTATAGGCTCCACGGCGATGACCCAGTGGCCATTTGTGCCGCAAACTGTTCCGCTGCCCAGCATGCTAATCGACCTGACCTCATGCGTATCTGGAGCTTAGCAGGGTTGTTACTAGCTGAATGTGCATCTGTTAAGCCAGATGCCCTGCTACCCGAAGAGCACCCTAGGAGAAGCCGCAGACGACGGTTGCGCGACCTTGGAAAGCGGAAAGATCAAACACACATTGCTCGGGACGGGCATATCGTCGTCCGTAGTTCGATGTACAGCTCTGGCGATAAGAGAAGACGAGCTGGAGCAGGGCTGGAGCAACGGGATGATCGAGAACAGTGGGCTCAGGTGGAATGGCAATGGCATCCGTTTGGAAGAAGAATGGTGCATGATTTGTGAGATCCAATCGCTATTGTCAACGTGCATATGATGTTTGTGGTACTAAAATGGTTGCACGCAGGTTCAAATATCTGGAAAAAATTGGCGATATACAGACTCTGGCTTTGTTGACATGTGTCTTTGCCGATCCATTTTCGCGAGAGAAGGCGGAAGCATCACGGGCAACAGGGGTTAGAGACATTAGTTTGCATTTCCGCCTTAAACTGGACTCTTACAATCACTACTTTGGTAACAGGTTACGTCTGTGGGTGTAAGTGCTGATCGGATTAACCAAATGCTGCATCCTAGTCCCGCTGGATCAGACGTTTCTTACTTTCATTACCGCCCTGGGTCCAACTCTTACTTTACGCCACAGCCTTCCAGTGGTCCCCCTATTACATCCGTCCTTGCTGGAATGGTAACACCAACTGTCGCGTCTGCGTTTTCAAGAGTGGGCATAGCAGTCAGCAACCTGGCAGCCGACCCACAGACGGGCACAATTGCAATGCAATTAACAAGCTATGCTAGTGATGTCCATTCAGGCACATCGCGAATAAACCCCAGCGTCGAGACGACAGCTGGCCCTACAGTCAGCCGATCCCATGAGCATCCTTATTACCACCACAGCCACGCACACTCTCTGGCCCAGCAGGTCACCGCTCCGTCAGCCCCGACTCCCTGCTCAGGATCTACGGCAACTTCCGGTCCATTCCCCCAGGCGGGATCGTCGTATGCAAGTGATAGCGTATTGGGCACTTATATGGATAGTGCTCGGTTTGAAGCTCCTTTGTCGTCAGCGTCTCCAGTCCCAGGGAACAGAGAAATGAACGCGCGAAATCCAACCTATGCGCAAGCTGTCAGAAGCGGAACGACAAGTCCTCCCCCGCGTATTCCCTCAAGGGGAGGCACCTTCTCAGGCAACGGCCACGTCTCGGGTAGTATTGCATCTCATCTGCGCGCTTCGTCGGTGACGCCACCCAGCATCACCCGTCAAAGAACAACTGAGGCGTGGGGTGCCCCGTGGCCGTCGCGTGAGAGCAAGCCGGGATCACCAATACCATCTGGAGGTGTCGGCTGGACGTTGACTGCACCCTTGGCGAGCGTGGCAGTATCTGGAACTACTGGACAGTTTGGCGTCGCTCCGACTGCGGACTCAATAGCTCCTGGCTCACATTTTAGCTCAAGCGTACAGTTGGCTGGCGCGAATGGTCATCATCAAAGCTCGCCTATCTTAATGCTCAAACTTACTGAGAACGAGGATATAGATCAGCCACGTTCTTATGCAAAGAATCCTGCTCTATTACCCGCACCGCAAAGATTGGGTTTGCTAGATCCAAAACAGCGAGCAATATATGATCGTTACAGATTGTGTTATGCGGAAATGCTGTATCAATGGGGGCTTTTGGAACAAAGAGCCGAGGTTCTAAAGTTTGTTGCGCATGCTGGCGCTCCTGGTGGGACGCAGCAGCAGCACACCGGTATCGGTAAGTCTGCCGCTTTTGGCTCGGGTTTGAACCAAAGAGTAGATTGTAACTGATATCAATCTCGTTATCCTAGACTTTGGCATAGTTTGTCCGACATGCTCTAGCAGCTTAATCCCATCATCTCGACAACCCCGCCTTCAACATGCCTACTCCTATTGCTGGCGATGCGATCGCAAAAGATACGGAATTAGGTGCGCGATCTGTCGCTTACCTTGCAAAGGCTTGGCAAACTTTTGTCTGGTATGCCGACACGGCGGACATGCGACACACATGCAGGAGTGGTTTGATGAAAGCTCAGAGTGTCCTGCAGGTTGTGGATGTCGTTGCGTGCTGGAGAATGGCGGGTTTGGGACCTCCTGAGGTAATCCCGACTGTAATTTTATATGTAGGATTGTAGATATCTGCCATGCCCAAAAATAAATAAAACCCAGCTGGCCTTGTGTATCTATGCTTGTCATGAGGCTGTGGGCTGCGGAAATATCACATAGCTCACATGTCAATTGAGAATGGCAGACCCTTGAATCCATGTTTGAGTATATAACAACTAGTGACTATGAGTTCTAACAACGCGCAACTAGTTCGTGAGCAGTAAGTAGCTCGAGTCTTTCTATCCCCGCGGCTTCCTTCGTGTTGTGTCATACAACCTAATCAATGCCGCCTGCCCACTCTCGTTTTGCGAGAACGCAAATCCGCGGTTGCGCTTAACACGCTGGAACTGGCGCACTTTTGTAACAGCTTTCCGGAAGACTTCTGCCCTTGGTCGGTGGTCTTGGATGTTATATTTCTGAATCTCTTGAACAATTTGGTAGGAGCGAGGGAGGGCCTGGCGCTTGAAACTGATTCGGCGAGTGATTAATACAATGTAGACAAGAATGGAACGACATAGCCCAACTTACAATTTCCAAGTAAAATCTCGCAAGTTTGCCACGAGAGGCACCAAAATGATGGCCCACCAGAACGTAGCCGCTCCAAACATGAAAGGCATCATTCCTTGCAGTTCCATCCTGGCCACCCCAATCATGGGCGCAACAGTGGCATAAATGGGGAACAAGAAGAACCACACTCCAATACTCCCCCACACAGCAATGTGCGTAAACTTGACCCAGGTAGAGCACGTTATGGCGGCTTTAAGGGTAATGGTGATCAAGTCAGTCGTATATATCATTTCGCCGAAAATCCAAATGTTGGCTGCATAGCCTCCGAGGCCGAGCATAACACCTTCCCCGTAAACTGCATGCATAAGATAGTACATGAGAAGGGAATGGAAGAAGGAGTTGATGATCCATGCCCAGAAAGCGTTGTGATTGTAGAATTCCCCAGTCTGTCCAAGTCGGTAAAGCTGGGGGTAGCGTTCAAGTGTGCGACTGTATACGTATTGATCAAAGATACCAATGGCGATGGGCTGGAACACTGCAAAGATGATATTATAGGCTGCTTGCGTCCAAGTTTCAAAAAGCGTCTGTGCAAAAGGATGAGGAAGATTTCTTGATTACAATGGCAACAATCACATCAAAAAACGTACCTGTCCGGAAAAGCCATTGTCTTTCGTAAACCACAACTGAATCAAGTATAGAGTAATGTTCTTATAGAAACTATACAAGACCAATTTACTCATTCGTGAGTAGGCCCATCCTCCATGGACAAGGAGCAATTTCTTCAGGAATCTGAACTGGGCGATTGCGAAATCGGCAGCACGAGCAGCTTGAAGACCTTCCATTCCAGAAATGCCGATACCTACATGCGCAGCTTGAATCATCGAGACATCATTAGCACCGTCACCAATTGCCAGCGTGACGCAATCTGCAACGTTCTTTTTGACGAGCTTCACAACGAGAGCTTTCTGCAGGGGAGAAACGCGACAGCAGATGACAGCCTTGCACATCGTAGCCAGTGCAAGGAAGGTAAACTTGATGTCGTCTTCAAGAGCATATTCGAGGGTGCGTCCATCGATAACAAGAGCCAGCGGCTGAACAGGGAAGATGTCAGAACAATATGCCATCAGCCAGATAGCTCGCAATAGCAACAAAAACCCACCTCTGCTTCCGGAATTGAATCTTTGCTCATCTTGGGTGCTTTCCTTTCAAAGCCAAACATAGCATAGCCCTTCTTGACATACGCCCCGAATCCATAGTCGTCGTTCACGGGCGCAATGGGTGCGCCTGACACTGACGCCCTTACGGCATTCAGCTTTTGTAATAAGAACTCTTTTGTCTCAAAATGCGTCGATTGATTACACACAATTAAACTCATTTCCTCCGTAATCAGCTTGCAAGAATAACCAATATTGATGGCTGTTTCCTGCCGATCACCTGTCAACACCCAAAGCTTGATTCCGGCTTGAGCAAGTGTGTGAATGGTATCGGGTACTTCATCTTGCAATCTGTCCTCAATCGCCGTAGCTCCAAGCAAAAAAAGTTCTTTTTCTATCAATTCAGCGGCCTTGTCCAATTCAGCGCCTCTATTATTGATGGTTGTGGCAGCTTTTTCGTAAATCTTTGACCACTCAGCATACTCTTCATTTGAAACATCGCGATATGCAATACAAAGAGTCCGCAGCCCTTCATTTGCGTAGTCTTCCAAGTTTGCGCAAGTCGTTTCAACGTAAGGATTATGCTGTGCGAGCCGTTCCAAAATGACGGTGTCAGCTCCTTTGACATACAATTTGATCTTGCCGTCGGGACCACGGACAACTGCACTCATGCGCTTACGAGTTGAGTTGAATTCGCAAATATTGAGAACTTCGTACTCGTACGATTGGCCATTGTGGGAATACATGACCGAACGGGGACGACGAGTTGTAAAAGCCCAACCCAGCTTTTGAGCTCCTTTAACCAACGCGCCTTCATCGGGGGATGATGCCTGGAAATTTATCTCGCCAGTTTCTTCATTTGCTTCAGGAATAACAGTATGGCAGACAGCTAAAAGCCTCATAAACTCCTGGATCACAGGCGCCGTTGCGTGGTTTTGTTCATTATGCTTCAGCTTTTGAAAGTCCCAATACCCAACCTCCTTTCCATTCTCGTCCACGCGAACTCTCTTGTCCTCGGGAACTACCTCCGCATATGCAATGCCTGCAATCGTGCACATCCGATACTCCATGACGTTACATGTGAGAGTGCCCGTCTTATCTGAGAAAATATAGTCGATCTGTCCCAGTTCCTCAACTAGGGACGACGTCCTCGCCATGGCAGGTGAGTTGCTTTCCTCATGATACATGTCGGCGTCCTGATTGATGAACGCCCCGAGGATGTATTTGACCAACTCCATGGTCACGATGAGACTGTCATTACACATGGAAAAATAGGTCATCAAAGGTGAATGCCCTGCACATGTACACGGAAAGTGACCTACCTGAGAGGAATTAAATTGTTAAACAGAATGATATATGTGAGGATATTTCCGGGAAATCTGGCCCATGCGGTACCCGGATCGAGAAGCAGAACCTCTCTTTCGAAAGGGTTACCCAGCTGTGAGCATCAGTATCCATTTTCTCAGTTAACGATATTGAGTCTCCCTGGTAAGGCGAAATGGCAAATTGACTTACTTGCCGACCAAGAGCGCCCAGGGCACATGTCACCGCCAGTGCGACCAAAAGAACAAATAAGAAGGTAATTTCAGTGTTTACAAGTCGTTCGACTTTTGTTCTTTTGATTGGCGTTGCGGTGGCATTTTTCATAAGCTTTGTTTCGTGTCCTGTAAATACCACAACGCCGTAAATCCAACGTGTGTTTCGAAGCATAGCTCCTCGGAGTAACAACTGCGCTGGGTCCAGTGGTATTTCCTTGCTGCCCAAACGGAGTGTGCCTTCATATGTATAGAGCGAATTGTTTGGCTGCTCTGATTTGATTACACCTTCAAGCTTGGCCACGTCCTCCGGCGTGAGATAGTTTGCCGTTTCCGGTAGTCCCTGTCGAATCTTCAGATTTGTCTCACCATCCAAGTTACTTGTTTCAATGTAGCATAGGGCATCTGGCTCACTTGAGCTCAGGAGGATGAGGTCGGCCGGAAAGAACTGTCCGTTCTCAACTCTGACAATATCACCCGCAACTACGTGGCGCCATTGCTTTGGAATAAATTGAGATCCAGAGAGAACCTTGACAGATCGAGCGTTGGTCTCGGCATCTTGCGAATGCCGCTTCATGTCTTCCATGATTTCCTTAACTGCCGATGCCACCAGAACGATTGACAGTGGTATAACCGTGCCAAATTTATTTGTCGGCGACAAGTCTCCGATTTGCTGGAAAAGAGAAACAGTAGACCGATGAGGATGGGTACTACCCGGTTTCGAGCATCATCACCCACCTGAATAATGGCCGTAAAGAGGAAAAACAAGTTTGCATATTTGCTGAATTGCTCATAAAAGAACTTTGGCAAAAAGGTCGCAAAGTTATATTTCCCCGTAGTTATAGAGTTGTGTAGAAACTTTTGAGTGGCATTTTTCAAAGGATCATTCAGATAAATGTGACGATCCGAAACAGCGTCGTCCTCAGATGCCCCAAGTAGCATACTGGCTTGTGTATGGATGAAGTGACCGAGACAGAGTTTTCCGGCAGCAAACCCGTCTTAGATGCTCCAATAATTGCCAGGCATCCGCCGTGCACGGAATCAATGCCAATGCCGAGATATTCACTAGGGTTTCGATTGCGGAGATTTCTTGGGTGATGCGAACGTAAGCAGGGCAGCATGACTCATTCCACCAGTCTTCTACTTTGGGGGTGATCTACATCCTGAAAGCTCATTGCAGCCCATTTTATAGACAAATATGTTCCTAAACGACCCGGATACGGTGCCTGAGGCAGATCGTCTTTTGGAAGCTCAGCATTTTGCAAAAGTAATCGAGGCATTCAATCATTATCGGCTGCATTCACTCTCCCGAAATGCAAAGCGTCGGCGAGACTTGGCCAGCATACCAAAGGCCCATCAGCAGCTAGTGGGATCGTTTATGGAGAAAAAGATCAATTCTGTGGAGGAGAGAATATTGAAGAATGCAGCATTCATTGCTTCTATAGTGGCAGGCCATCAGAACGAGGAGACAAATGGCGGGACCAAGAGCCAAGTTTCGGAAGGTGACATGGATAAAGTTAGAAGTACATTACGACAGTTTGTAAGAGATTGGTCTGAAGAGGTATGATGTGCTTACGTTTTCTTTTGTTCAAAAGAAGGCCGTTGGGAGATGCAGTGCAACTGATGGTTTGAGAAATGCGAAATCTTAGGGACGGGAGGAACGGGCCCGAACATACGACCCGATACTTGATGAGCTTCAAACGAGATTTAAAGGAGTTTCCATGGAGGATAAAGGAAAGATAAAAGTACTAGTGCCCGGAGCGGGATTAGGGCGCTTGGCGTACGACATTGTGAAGCAAGGATACTCGTGCCAAGGTGTGTGAATCTTGAGTGTTGCTCGAAGTATTGCTTCGTCTTTTTACTTACATAGTAATTATAATGTTCAAAGGTAACGAATTTAGCTTTTATATGGTAAGCCATTTGCTCTTGGAATTGTTCCAGGATTGGAAGACCCATTTTCGTCTGACGGATGGATATGGTTTCGTCAGCTGCTGGCTTCACACTTTGTCCTCAACCAGTAAGCAATCAAGTGCACTATGTACGGCATTCTGCCAAATCCGCTTATATATTTCTGTGTACAGAACGCAACAGCTTCATCAATATGAGATATTCCCATGGATCCACAGTTTTTCAAACTCTACGTCAACGGATGTGCTTTTGAGTTCAGTTCGCATCCCTGATGTTTTACCAGGGGATGTACCCCGCACCGCGGATTTTTCGATGGTTGCGGGTGATTTCTGTGAAGTATACGGAGAAGAGGAGCATATAGGTAAATGGATTTGGGCGCAAAGGCTATATTTGTGTACTCTTAACCTCTTGAACGTGCAGAATCTTGGGATGTGGTCGTAACGTGCTTCTTCATGGACACTGCAAAAAATATTGTTGAATACATCGACATCATAAAGAGAATTTTGAAGCCAAACGGTCTTTGGATCAACTTGGGTACGCAAAGAAAAGGATATACAATTGCGTCCAACAAAAAGGTTAAAACTGGTTTACTTATGGTATTCTCTTTTTTTCAAGGGCCACTGTTGTATCATTGGGAAGGAATGCAAAACGAACTATCTATTGAGCTCAGTCTGGATGAATTCAAACAAGTAATTCGCACAAAAGGTTTCAAGATTGAGGTCAGTTCCCATCATCGGTTTCAATCTGCCCTCATTCTCAAAGCTACTCTGCATCGGCTAGAATGAGCGAACCATTGAGACAACGTATGCCAGCAATACCCGAGGAATGTTGAAGTACGTCTACGAATGTGCCTATTTTGTAGGAGTGAAGCACTAGTTTTCCATTTGCTCTGTTACCTCCCTTCCTTGTCTCGTAGAGATGTAGTATCTGCATTAGATAGACTGAGCGACTGCGTGTACAATTAATTGTAGATGCTGCTGCTGTGGTAGAAATCTGTGTGTTTACCTTTTTGCTAACAAACCCCAGCCCGTAACGTGGGAGGTACTCCAAATATCCTTCTAAAAAAAGAAACTCGACGGTAAACCGCCACAGTCTCGTGGCTCAGCCGCTCCGACCCCTAAATGGCCGTTCGGGGACCTGATGACGATACCAAAGGCTGGGTTTCCCACCATTTCCCTTTGGGCGGACCCAACGTCAGCAAAAGGGAATCCCATGACCACCAGCCATTATGGGCATTGTATCGATATTGGTCACTTAAAGGCCTCATCCCAGAGCCTTGCTTTCGTTCGTGTCAGGATGCCCACTCTCTTCATCCTCTTTAGTTGTATCGCATTTTTGGCAACTGGGATGTCAGCACAACCTTCGGCGACACCCAATACAACTGTCTCTCAAGTCGTCACTGTTACAGTAACTGCAACGCCATCACCACAACCGTCAACTTGTCCAGTGTGCTTTAACTGCAACACCCAGGTTGGTCGTTGGCACGCTGATCTCGCGATTTTCTCTATTTATATTAATATTCTTTTGCACAGGGATGCAAGAATTTTGGAACATGTAAGGGAGCGGTCTGCAGCTGCATCGATGGCTTTGGGGGACAGGACTGTTCGGAAACAAGTGAGTCCCTTTTTGCGTCCCATCCCAGATAGCGGTCGCCATATCTTATGAAATGCACATGTAGCTTGCGGATCACCGAACCAAGCTCCTGAAAATCGTGCAATTCGTGCGGCAAACTCCACTTGCCAGTGCGATGATGGTTTTACCGGTGTAAATTGCAATGGTAAGCCGAAATCACGCATGCATGCACTGTACCCAAACTGTGGTTGCTTACGACGAGACTGTGTATAGTGTGCACGCGAAATGATGTTTGCAAAGGAAAACCAGGCAGTCCAGCCGGCCAGACATTAGTGTGCAATAAGGACTCTGTAACTTGGAAGGAGTCTCACTCCTATTGTGAAGTAACAGGTGAAAATAAATGTCATCATCACAGTGTGATTGTTTGTATTCTGATTCTCATTGGAAAAACTTGCAGAACCATTGTTGAAAACGGTTTACCCGTTGGACAGCTACGTGACTTTTGATCGTAATCTGGGGACTGGCGAGGCTTACGGCATCTGTGAGTCCATCGCTTAGTGATGCTATTCTCAATATGTGTACTGATGGCCCAAAAGTGTGGTACACCGGCATTGAACAGTTTGCGTGTAAAGCAACTGATTGTTCTCAGGATCGCTTAGGTATGAAAATGATTTATGAAAGGTTATAGTAAAGGTCTGTGACTCACGGGACGGTTCAAACAGCCGATACAATGAAATTCAAATGTTCTACTCTGAAATGTAATTGCGATCCGAAAGCAGCTTTTTGCGGTGGCCCCGGTAAATCGATCGATTTGAGTGGACCCGTCAACGGTGCTTCTGGCGGACTAGAGTACACTTGCCCTCGGTCGAGTAACGGAACGGGAGATTGTCATCTCAAATGTAGGCCGCTATCTGCGTTTTACTACTCTGTGGGAGTATCATGATCTCATAAGGACCGTAGTTGAATTTTTGGCAGGAATCTTCCCATCAGGAATTCGGCTAAGCAATTGCATGCACGGGGAGTGCGCTCTGCCCTCTGACGACCCCGGTGATCCTTCTTCTGAAGTAGGTCCATCGTCAGTCGCGTCGATCTTTTTCTATGAATGTATTTGGGGTCGGTGCTAATTGTGTACTGCCACGATCATGCTACAGAGTGCCGGAAAACTCACGACTGGAGCAATTGCTGCAGTTTCCACGTTTGGGGGCATATTGGCAGTTTTTGCATGTGGTAAGTGTTCTTTGCACAGGTACCATCCGCGCATAGCACGATGTTGATCGCTTATGATACGGTTAGCGTTGGTCTTCGCCTGTATCAAACGGGCAAAAGCGAAAACGTTACCCGTGCCGCCTACCCGAAAAGGAGTTACTATAACTTACCGCAACCTGAACTATAGCGTTGGTAAGCTCGCAATCGGTCGGCATCTGGCTCGCTTGACCTGTCTGATGAATTGTGACTATCTAGGCAAGAAAAGGATATTAAGCGATATTGGAGGCGAAGTGCATGCTGGTCGTGCATTAGCGGTGATGGGACCCAGTGGTGCCGGTAAATCAAGGTAATAATTTCATACGTGGATTTCGTTAGGGTCCGCCGCTGAGCCTTTCCTCATACTGTACTTCAGCTTTTTGGACATTTTGGCTGCAAAGTCCAAACGAGGAGAATTAGAAGGATCGCTCCTGGTTGACGGCAGCCGTATCAGCCGAATGCAGTATCGTCGTTTGATTGGCTATGTTGACCAGGACGACTGCTTAATGGAAACCTTGACTGTACGCGAGACGCTAATGTTCTCTGCAAATCTTCGATTACCCGAGTCGATGACACGCCAAGCGAAGCGCGACAGAGTTGAGGAAGTGATTTCTCTACTTGGTCTGAGTCACGTAGCAGATTCAAAGGTTGGCGGCCAGACGCGACGCGGTATAAGTGGGGGTGAAAGAAGAAGAGTGAGCATTGGTGTCGAACTTGTCACTAGTCCAGCAGTACTATTTCTTGATGAGCCCACCAGGTGATTATGTGATTCATAGCGTCTTTAACCATTCGGAGCTAACCGACTTTGTAGCGGTCTAGATAGTTACAATGCTCACGCCGTGATGAGAACCATATGTGACCTCGCTCACAAATCAAAGAAAACAATCATATTCACTATCCACCAACCGCGATCTGATGTTTACGCCATGTTTGACGACATCCTCCTATTACGAAACGGTGAGATTATGTACTCTGGAGCATCAAAAGACATGGAAAAGTATTTTGCCTCACTCGGTCATCCCTGCCCCCCGGGGTATAACATTGCGGACTGGGTTCTTGATTTGGCGAGCGGATCTGGCGAAACAGGCGCGGAAATGAAGGAGGTGAATGTGCGAGAGGTGTATGGAAGTGATGACTGGGAAATGAGAATTCGACGAGGCTCGCGCATATCAAAACAGTCAACCGGTAATGTTACAGTGGAAAATCCGAATGCGCAGATTAAAAGGGCAAGCTCCTCTGCGATACTACTCCAAGATTTGGATGGCTCACATAACCGCGACTATGAAGAGGTTGCCTATGAAAATATGTATTCTCTTGGCGATAGAAACTCGGTGTCTAGTAACGGCAGCAGAGACGCGGATGCTAGAGTTGGGTCCGCTAAAGGCGCCTATACAGTGAGCTTTTTAACTCAGTCTGGCGCATTGATGGCGCGGAATTGGAAGAACTTATGGAGAAGACCCACACTTTGGGCGACGCACATGGGAATTGCTATTGTGCTTGGAGCATTTGTGGGTGGGCTATATTGGCGGTCGGACACATCGCTGGGCGGTATCCAGAATCGATTGGGCTCCATCTTTTTCCTTATGAGTTTACTTGGCTTCTCTGGTTTAAGCGCCATTGGTGTACGTATTATATACTGATATGTGACATGTCGTTCACAGGCTAAACAAAGTTTATTTTTTGACCAGACTCTAAATCAAGAGCGCCAGCTGTTTGTTCGAGAGCGTGCCAACGGCTTCTATGGTCCTCTACCCTTTTTCTTATCGAAAATCATTTTTGATTTAATTCCGCTACGCATCATCCCCGCAGTTATAATGGGATCCATTGCGTTCTTTATGGTCGGCTACACATCAGATGCCGACCATTTTATACGCTTTATTGGGGTTCTATCTTTATTTGCTGCAAATTGTGGATTATTTTGTATGGCTGTCGCGTGTGCTGTGAAAGATATCGGGACAGCCAGCTTGGTAGGAAGTATTGCGTTATTATTCCAAATGCTTTTTGCTGGCTTCCTTTTAAACCAAAGTAAGAAGAGCGGTGGCAACGAAATTCATTCGGGACTCATCACTCACATTCTTCTGCATTCATCAGATCAAATTCCTACTCCTCTTCGATGGATACAGTATCTCTCTCTTTTTCGATACGCATATGAGGCGCTCGTGGTTAATGACATATCCGGATTAACGATCGTAGATAACGTCTCAGGTCTCGGAGTGAACGTCCCTGCATCAATAATTTTGGATAAATTCGGATTTGACAGGGGAGCGTTCGTACGAGACGCCATGATTGAAGTTGCGTGGTTCGCAGGGTTCTTGGCATTGATTGCCATATTAATAGTGTTGCATGTTCGAGAGACTAGGTAGTTGCAATTTAATTAAAACTCGGGATGCAATAGGTTTTTGGTTGGTACTCGTTAGCGTAGGTTATTTGCATTTGTATTTATTATCAACAATATCCATTCTGGTCGTCTACCAAAATATCTCGCAATTTATATGTCCTTTTGTATGGTATGCGTGGAACCTCGAGATGCACCTCTCTTCCAGCATCCCATGGGCCTTCCGATGCAACCCTATTAAAATTTATAGATATCGCTTTCCTTGTATCTATGCAATGGGAAATGCACAGCCGTTAGCATTATGAGCCGTCGAATCTAGTAGGGCTCATCGCCCAATCTCCGATCAACATAATTCAGAGACTTACCCAAGCTTTTTCAGAATACCGCCAATCTCTCCTTGACTGTAGTCTGGCGCCTTGGTGCCGGATATCGAAGCCAGCATCTGATTAGGTCCACAAATGAAGACTTTGCCTTTACCCGGTGCAGGACAAGCTTCCTTAATCACTCCCTCTCCAATGTAGCCCACGCCTCCACGCCAACCGATTGGAGGTTTCTCCACGAAATAGCGCACTTCAAATTGCTCGGGATGCTTCTTGGCAAGGGCGTCAAAATAGTCCTTTAGAAGGATATCTTCCTCGGCGATATTGGCAAACACCAAAGTCATTTTGGTCTTGTCGGCAGGGTTCGAGAGGATTCGCTGAATGAGTTGCATCATGGGTGTAATGCCTGTAGAGTGTCAATAGTATTAAGCACGACTCAACACAGATGTGCGCGTTGATGTCAGAATACTCGGTTTACCTGTTCCACCAGCTAGCAATCCAATGTGATTGAACTCGTTGGCTTTGTATTCGTATTTCTTGATTGGTCCTTTCACATCTAGCGTATCTCCGGGTTTGAGAGAGTGGATATGGGTAGACATAGGGCCATCTGAGACAAGATCACATGGCATTAGCAGCATATTCGACATTCTGAGTTGCGACACATCACCACGCACTAGGATATTGTTTGACGATGAGATCAAAATAGCCAGTGTAGCCATCAGCAGGGTCTTCCACCGGAGTATAAGGGCGAATGACAACGTTCGGCTTTCCATTTTCTTTGACGCCGTTAACGTACTTTGTCACAACGCAAGAAGCGGTTGGGAGACCAAGCTCTGTAGTTCCCTCAGGGAGGGCGAACCTGATTTTGCGTAAAAGTTCAGCTGTCCTGCACTGAAACCCAGCGATACTCTTGGCTGATATGAATTCCATCTTACCGGAAGCGTTTCGTGTTATGGTTAACGTCAACAACCTACGAAGCACGTTGAGGTGGGTTCATAATGGATGCATTCATTGACAACCTCGTAGTTACCTCTTTCAGAACAAAGGGTAGGAATGTTTTCCCGTCCAGAGCAGCCACAGGATTCTCCGCTGCCTTCTTATCCAATCTTGCTTTGATTCTTGCTTGTGTTTCCAACTGATTCTGGTTGTAAAAGTAGTACGCTTGAAAGAAGGAGCATGCTTCAATATACAAGTTCGGCCCCCTCTGCTAAAGCATAAGGTCCCCAAGGAGATCTCTCAGGAGGAAACCTCTTGATGGAAAGCCTCTCACTTACCACCACCAGCAACCCCTCCAGGCAATGCAACAAATTTCAAGAAATTGTTAAAGCCATTCCCACTGCTTGGAGGTTTCGCACTAGCATCAGTTGCCATTCCCCGTGTTAGGTGGACATTGCGAAAGGTAAACGCTCTTGTACAGGCCCGGAAAAGCATTGTGTGAAAGATGTGGATGGAAAAAAAATGCAGATGGTCAATCTCGTCAACGCGATGGGAGATGACGTGTTTTCACAGATTGCAGCAACACAAAAAGTTTGAAATTCCAAAGAATCAATTATAAACAAAACACATCAATCACATCATAAATCCCGCAGCAGGCGTTCCATTCCTTTGCAATGCAAGGACATTTAACTTTGCCCACTCCAGTATTGGCCTTGTTGCCTGCCTTGCCCGTAGATATTTGCCCCTTGATACTGGTGATGCATCTGGAGGTACGGGTTGCCAACTTGCGCTGGTTGTTGAGAATGTAGCCCAGCAAGATGTTGCTGATTATAGTACGACCCTGGCCCGCTTGGAGTACCAGTTCCAGTTGCTCCGGTGCCAGCACCTTGTTGTTGGGATCCAGTAGCAGCTGTCGGGGTCTGGTACTTGTGAGCCTCATATGTCTGGCGTGGGGGTCGGTTCCCTGACTGAGCTTTGTAGTCTTGCTGTCCAGCGGATTGCGCTGTCTGGCTATTTGGACCCGCCTTATTCTGAGCACTTACACCCTGCATGCCGCCTTGATGCAGTCCGAAGCTCTGAAAGCTCTGCTGAGGGATTCCGCCGTATACGCCCTTATATTCGTGACCACCAAGACCCGCAGCCAAATCATCGTACGATCCTTGCTGGTAAAGTTGCGGTTGATGTTGGCCTTGGTGCTGTGATTGACTGTGTTGTTGTCCAGTCGTAGAATATCCATAGCCAGAGTTCGATGCAGCCCCTGCTTTTGGTGTCGCCGCGGCTCCAGTGGTAGGTTGTTGAGATTGCTGAGGATAGCCAGGGTACATGGACTTATTTACAAACGGCTGCCCGTACGGAGAACCTTGGTACGACGGAAACTGGTTCATATGATAGTACGGGTAGTACGGGTATGGGAGAGGGTACCCTTGCTGTGGCTGCGGCTGCTGCTGTTGTGGCGGTTGCTGCGATTGCTGTTGCTGCCCGCTGGAAGGAGATGCTTGACCTGTCTGAGATGCTTGCTGCCCGGTGGTTGCCTCTTGCCCCTGATACTTTGAAGGAGCGGCTTGTTGATACGCTGCTGGATCGTAGTATCCATGCTATACCCCATGATAATCTTCTGTGAGCACTATCGTCTGTAGGATAGAATCTAACAACTACCCACCATCATTGCTGCCCTCGATTGAGCATCAGAACCGTACAGAGCAGAATATTCGGCAGGAAGGTTCCCCATATGTCCCAGTCCGAAGCCTGAAGCCGCTGCAAGCTGCTGGCTTGGGAAATACGAACCATAAGGAGCCACTCCATTCGGCAAGCCAGGGGCAGCTGGACCAGTCGAAGGGAGACCGACAGGTAGGCCGTCAGCTTGCTTGCCTAGACCGGACTGCAGTCCAGATGCTATTTGCGGCATCATGGATGAAGTAGCGTTAATGCGACTATCACGCGCTCCTTGTTGCTGCACCTGTTGCTGGTGTTGCAGTTGGTGCTGCTGGAGATGCTGAGGTGCAAGTCCAACTTGGGGAGCACCAGGGTTGAGCTGCTGGGGCGCGGCAGCGCCAGGTGAAGGGCCCAATTCTGACGTTGGCGCTTTCGCACTACATTGTAACAAAGAGTCATTGACATGATAAAGAACAAACTTACACAAATTTGAAAGTACCTTTGTACGCCCGACTGAGCTGTTGCAGACTCCTTTTCGTCTTCCTCAACGTCCGAGTTGCCACCCAATCTCAACGAGCCGAATTGTACACCAATAGACGAGAGACTAGCATTCGACGGCATAACAACAGCAGCATCTTGCCTTAGCTTCCTGCCGCTAAATGGTGCCGGTCGAGCCTGCTTGAAGCCTGGTGGTGCAGATGCTTTCCCAGCCGTAGTGTCTTCCTTGGGCTGAGCTGGTGCCTGTACCGGCGTCGCCACCGCAGAGCTCGGCTTGGGAGGGCTCGAAGGTCGAGTTGCCGCCTTTGATACCGACGATGGTGCTGCGATGGGGGACTTTGTCTCTGGTTCAGGAGTCTTCACGGCACCCATCCTGTTCGAATCTCTGACCGGGCTCTTGACGGGACTAGCTGCGCGAACTGGACTTGGGACCCGGACGGGACTGAGGTTTTCCGACTCTGATGCAGGAGCTGGGCTTTTAACCGAAGTGGACTGTTTCGGCTCCGACTTTGGTACAGCTACTGGGACAGGTTCTGGCCTAGAAGTTGATTTCTCACCTGGTAAGCGACGTTGTCTTTTGCACAGAATGGAAACACTAAAATGCATACCCCTTCACAAGAGCAGCCCATGACTTTGGCTTCGCCGTGACTGGTGCAGGAGCCTTCACAGTTTCCGCCGCCTTTACAGGCTTCCCCTCAGGTTTGACGGCCTTTTTCTTTTGCTGAGTTGCCACGTTTTCAGTTTGAGGACTGGCACCCCAAGCTGTAGTCCGTTCTGGCTGCACGTCAGCACTCCAACTATCCGTTTGAGCTGGTGAGGCTCCACTCCAACCATCGTTTGTCGCAGGCTCTCCTCCATCAGCAGCATCATCTTTAGCTGTTTCTCCCCAGTCGCCAGTGACTGGAGCATTTCCCCATTCGTCTGTGGATGTGCTCTCCCCTTCAGCCTTCGCTTCTCCCGCTTTGTGTGATCCATTCGTTGGGCGTCCACCTCGGAAACCTGTTTCAGCTGTGAGTTCCCAATGCGACCAGCAGAGAGACCATGCTCTTCACCTACCACCAAGCATAGCACCTCCTCGACCGCCGCCTCGACCGCCTCGACCGCCACCACGGCCACCGCGACCAGCATAGGTGCCTAAATCCTCGATTTGTTCAGCAAAAGGAAAATGGCATTATTCTACACCAATGGTCCACTTACCACCACGCGCCGGACGAGTAGTTTCACGAGCTCCAAATTGCTTTGGAGGGCGAGCTGGCCGCTCAGACGTAGCCACTCCTTCACTGGCAGGCGCTGCTTGTTTAGGTTTTTCCTTTCGCTCACGCTTTTTGACTTCACCCCATTGTTCGGCATGTCCTGCAATATGAAAATAGGTTAACACTAGTGTTCGATTTTGGTACAAATGGAGAGGCATTGCAAAGGAGCTGGTGCAATCTCCACACCACATTTGACGGCATCGACCAACCCTATGCCAGATTGCAGTGGCAGATTACCTTCAGATATGCGTCCAATTGCGAGATCCAAGTCACCCCCTACTTCTTCGAGGGTTGCTACAAGGTCGGCATCGGACCATTCGCTAAACAATTGCTTCAGAGATTGAAGTTCCTGCGCGTAAATCTTCTTCAGTTGTAGGATGTGCTCATCCAATTGTTGTTGTTTGTCGCCTCCGCGACGCTGCAGATTTTGACTCGTTCTGTCGGTAAAGGCCATGTCCAAGTGTTGAGACCGTTCCCAAGACAGATACAAGCGGGAGAAGAGGATTCTACGGGTGTAGGGTAAATGGGTGTGCGATCAGGCTATTTTGTTTTGATTGCAATGCTGCGCTGGAGTTGGGTGTGTGCCACCCAAGGATGAGATGATTTCCCGGGAGCAAAGAGCTGTACTGTAGCAAGCTTTCTCTGCGAGAACCAGTTCCAAAGGCCAAAAGAAATGCTGCAGATGGAAAACAAAAAAAAAGCGACAAATGGAAAAGCGTTGAAGTCCAAAAGTCCGAAAAACCACGCGACCAAAGAAAGCCGTTGATGGAAAGGGCCCTTTTGACTGTTGATGGGCGATGGCGACAATTTCTGTTGCTATAGTAACAGATCACGGGGTCTCTTTCGTGTCTCTTTCCAAATAGAGTTATATGAACAATCCGCTTGGACGCGCGGTCGCCTTACGTCAGCCAGCAGATTATAATGATGTCAACGGTTTGCATGGGTGGAGTATATAAAGCAAGGGTAAGGTCTTTTGTATGTGTGATTATTCTTCCACCATGTATCGCATGTTGAGTCTACGTTTTGCTCGGCCAGAGTTGATGCGCGGGATTAGAGGCGATGGGCAATGGGCGTCCGTGCTGCCAAGGAACTATAGTGCGGCCGGATACGGCAACAAAGACCTTCACCCGAAAGACCAAAAGGAGGAGGTGGGGGAGACGCATACCCAGCGCTTCAAGAATGCGCACCAACAAGAGGCCACTTCCAGCAATGTAAAGTCAAAGGGTAACCGACAGTCATCTGCAAAAGATGACATTCCCCCGCCGATCAGCGACCCTCATTCGACCGCACCCACTGAGACCGAGAGGTTGGGAGGACCGAATCAGAAAGGGACCGGAAGCAAAAAGGGCACCTATACCCGGACGTGAGATGTTGGTCCAGATAGTCAAGTAGATGACAAGTAATGAGCGTGTGTCTTGCATTAGGGAGGCATATGTATTATAAAAACTCGTTGAGAATAGTAACGTGTTCCTCGTCTATCCTTTAGCGTATATATATATATAATGGTATTTCTACATTCTTTAGTTGCTCACCAATCTTTGCGCTCGTTGTGCTCGCTGCTCCGATCCATGGCACCCCTCCACAGCTCCTTGAAAATCTTCCCCTCAACCACCGTCGTCTGTAATATCGGGCGCACGTGACATGATCGAACTCGTCCATACCAATTGCCATCCACGGACGGATTTCGATGATAAATGATAATGTTTCCTGCATACTTGTGACCTGCCATCTCGTGAGCATTGCATTTGCAAGTGGAACGTCCAACTTGTGCAAAGCACTTACCTCCGAAATGGCTGCAACCATATACAAATACTTCCCCAACCAATCCCATCTCCTCCACAGCTTTCCGAAACTCGTCTACCAGTAGTGGTCCCGCCACCCCACAGCGCTTGTCCCGTTTCTTATGTGTGCAAACGAATATCCACGCTCGTCCTGGAAGTGGTGTATTCGGAAAAGTTGCGGGAATTTGGTTATCAACCAAAAGGGATTTAACAAGTGTAGGAGCCTCGGCAGCTGAGACAAAATCAACAGATACGAGTTCAGGAAACAGAAATATTTGAGCCATCTTCTCCACTTTTTGGCTTTTCTTCTGCTCTTCCTCTTTAGTACTGTCTTCAACGCTCTCATTTACCACCGGATCGCACGCAGTAACTATGGTCCTGTAGCCGGCCTTCCCGGCCCATTGGTCAACTTGTCCGCCGACGACCTTTACCATTCCGTCGCTGAATTCCAGGCGCTCCTGCCAGTCCTTTGATCTGCCTTCTAGCACCATAATATGGCGCTTATATGGCTTCATGGTTCCCACCAGTTCTCCTCCTTCAATCTTCTTGGCGAGATAAGCAGGTATCTGAGGGTGAGCTGTGCATGGCTCCTCGCAGGTGCTGCATGGGTCTTCTGTAAAGGGAATAGAGGATGGAAACCGTTCTTGTGAGCCTGACCCACTAATGTTCGAAACGAGGTTCGTGATAAAGTTCATAATTTGCGTTTGTGGGCAGAGGAAGACCAGCTTCTGTGCTTCATTTCGAATATTCGAAATCATGCGTGGCTGTGCCACACACATCGGACTATTGGAACCTCACGCTGCATTTGGCCTCTTCCCCCGTGGGAACAAAGCTGATCTTTACCCGAAAACCACCTTGTGATTGGAGCTCACCGCTTGATAGTGTATTTTGGAGTCGGTACATAGTTGGGGAATGGAGTAATATGCTGATTGCGGTGGGCTCCAACTTGATGGAACCTCAGAAACCGGATGCGAAAGAGCCAGATCAGGACACTGCAAACTCATTACGACATGCTATCGCTTCTGATGTTGGACGCCAAGACCACCATCGCGGCAAAGGAAGGAGGGGAAGATTGTATGACCATTTGCGGGGACTTCTCGATGGCCTTTTACTCCAACTTTCAGCGGCCGCCTTGTTTGTCAACCCTGACCGTACGTTGCCCATAGAGCAGCTTAGTTCAGAGGTCACCACAGCGTATGAGCGGTCGGAGAAGAGACCAGACGGATTAGATATGCTCATTGAGAACAAGAGTATACCTGCCCAGGAATCAAACGGATCTGGAACCTCCAAAGATCGCGCAGACGACCAATTTCTAGCCGATGATGATCCTCACGGAACTGCACCAAAATACTCAAGAGATGAAGTAATTACTGCACTAATGTCCATGTCTGTGATGCGTCGGAGTTTTCGAAAGTTTTTAAAGGAAGCTCGGCCTGTCGTGTTCCTCGAAGGAGAATATTGGGGTATTTCTCTTTCAACACAGTCCCCCTACACAGCTAGCTTAAAGGTGGTGAAACCTGGTAATAAGGCTCTAGATAGTATTGTCGGCAAGAATTCTTCTCGAAAGCAAAGGGAAAGAGCAAAGCGAGAAGGGGCGATCACCTCTGTGACATCCGAGCAAATTGAAATCGCTAGGATTGCACGGGACATCGAAAGTGATAAGGCCAAAGCATTGAGCGAGGGAAGATACGTGGATTTAAATGATCCTGTTGCTGAACCGACCTCGGAGCTTTCTCCAGGAGATCTGCACGCACTGGGTACCACTCTACAAGCTCTGTACCAGGTGAGGTTCGTTGGGAGAACGAGATTATTAAAGAATGCAAACCGAATTGACCCTTGTATAGAGCTTGCTCCCTCCCGCAAATGCGGTTCACATCCGCAATCGATTCCTTGGACGGCTCCAGAATATCGTGGATTGGAACTACGGAGAGTTCGTAAACTTGCGAGCACAATTATTTGGCTCATCCGTTAACAATCTCGGATTTGCTTCGTCGGACGTCGATGTGACCTTGGAGCTCCCAGCATCGCATGATTTTGACCCTAAGCAGCTGAAAGAGTGGACAAGCATGTATCGTCTCGCCAGGGTTTTGCGACGCAACGGAATGCAGCAGGTGGTACCGGTACAAGGAGCAAGAGTACCGATATGCAAATTTTATGATCCCAAAAGTGAATTGCATTGCGATATCAACTTTGGAAATGTCCTTGGAGTGCACAATTCAAGACTATTAAAGACCTACACTGAGATCGACCCGCGGGTGAAGCCTCTCATCATGCTTGTTAAACTGTGGGCGAAAAACCGGGATGTCAATGACTCAGCAGATGGAGGTGGGTATGGAAGTCTCCCTTTTGCCAACGCTCTCTCATGGATATTGGACCATTTTGTTTATCTTCCTGTTTCAATAGCAACAATAAGCTCCTACGCATACTCCTTGATGATCTTGAATTATCTTCAGCTACGCGGTATCATTCCTTCCCTACAACTATTGTTCGATGGCCCTCAAAACATTATGATGGTCCCGAGGCAACAATCGATGCCACGACGAAAACCCGAAAAAGGTAGGCCCTGGAGGGCAAAGCTCCAAACCAATAAGGTCACCATTACGGAAGAGCAGTCAGTCAATGAATTGCAATCGCATATGGAGACTCTTTCCATCGAGACCCCTGCGGTCGATTGCGTGGAGGATAGTGGACTTCAAGATGAACAGCTGAATGAACTTCAAGATGAACAGCTGGTGGAAACGGAGTGCGTTGAAGACCAATTGGAAGATGGCGGAACTGGCATGGAAGAGGATGAGCAGATTATTGGCACCATGAATCAGAACATGTTGATGGCCAACGTTGCGTTCCTTGATGACGTTACCCATCCCAGTCTCAAACCATACGTGTCTCGATTCGCATCCCTTACCTCTGCCGATATTTGGTGCGGTAAGGATGGTGTTGCATCTCTGTTCTATGGCTTCTTGCGATTCTACGGTTGGGAGTTCCGCTATCGCCCGGATCGAATTGTTTCGGTGCGCCTTGGCAAAGTGCTCGACACGGTTACGCCGGACTTGGAGCATTGGATGAAAAAACCTGGCTTGAAGTTGATTGTGGAAGATCCTTTCCAATTGGACCGAAACTGCACAGGTGTGGTAATGGATCCAGGGAAAGTCGTGACAGAAATGCAACGGGCAGTAAAATGCTTGCATCAGATAGAAGATAGTCAGCAGAATGTGCGCACCGTCATCGCTGAAGTCTTTGAGCAAGTGCCACATCTCAAAGAAAAGAAACGCAATTTAGCCCCCAACCGCGTTTTCGGGCAGTTTTCCGACAGCGAACGCCCTGTCAATGTGGAATTAATGGTGCAAGATCTCCGCTCCGTTCTTGGTGACCTGCGGGACAGGTCACCCATTTTTACAGAGTCTAGACCGCCCGTCAAACCTCCCGTCAGAGAACAGGCACGTCCGCTCCATCTGTCAGGAAACATAAACGATGAAGATTTAGGAGTCCCATTATCACGGAAGGCATGGCAACAAGGGAAGCGAGTACCTAAAGCTCGTCCCGAAGGTGCAGGAAGTGGGACAAAACCTTTCAAGACCGCAAATCGTGCAGATTCAGTGCGGATGAAAGGATCACAAGAGCAAATGACGAAAATATCCTCCTCTCCAAGACCTGTGCTATCACCTCCCACCACGAGTACGCCCAAGGCGAAACCACGGACCCCAGTAGGAAATCAACCACAAAGTGAACGACCGAGAGAGAAAGGGAATACAAGATCTACACCAATCCAGGCAAACAACGAGCACCTGGGCGGAAAACGGAATAAAAAGGGAACGCAGAGGCACAATGATCCTATGACCGTCTCACAGGGCCATGTGAATATCGTGATTGAAGTAAAAAAATCCATAGAGCCTCCAAGTAGCTCCCATCATCCGCAAGCTGAACAAGAGATAGACAGTAACCAGAATCTTCAGCTAGTACCAGTGCGCAAGGCGGTGAACAGCGGTCAAGCGCTTACTACCAAACGCAGCTCAAGTGGACTGAAAAGGTGTTATCTTTGCGGTGATGTGGGACATTTAAAAAAGAACTGTCCTGGAAAGAAAAAGTCTTGATGACTGTAAATAGAAATCTTTAGAAATAAGATGAACTCTGATGAGAAGGTGTTAGGTCTTTACCGAAATCGATTATGGAGTTGTGACAGAGTACGCATACGCAGTGACATTTTGAGTAGAGTCCTGGCCAAACCAGCAAATCCGCCCAATGAGGGAACTCCCATTGCGACGGCCTCTCTCATTTTCTTCTCCTACCATGTCCATTGTAGTTCGTTTGTTGCCATCTCATTGCGATGCCAAAGTCAACATCCATAGCAACGTTTTCAGGACAGAATTGATTCTCTCATTTTTGCAGAGCTAAAATCAAGAGCAAAACCAGCGCAGACTGTAAGCCCTGTTCGCTTCGAACGAGGACTGTTTGCTAATTGGTTTATTATTGCCGTAAGCTCCTTGTAAACTATGAAAAGTTCATCGCCCGTAAGTGAATGTACTTAAAGGAGGTCAGTTACGTATGACATTCAATGGAAAGTACCGAACCGCAAAGGTGAGCCTGTTGAAATGTACTGTTAGACCGTATTGCCCAGTGGTAGATTTCCAAACTTTCAACCTTACGTGGTCGGAAGGTCAAGACAAAAAGGAACGGCTATGGGTGCACAGAAGGTCCTTTGGGACTCTTAAAAATCATGCTCTTGCAAAATGCAGTGTTGAAGCAGACAAATCACCTTTATATTTGACTAAAACAGAGTTAAACCCTGGCCGTTCGCAATCTTTCCATACCCATTCTCTATATATTGTGCAGAAGGGATTCATCGGCTGATGCGCAAGCATCGCATACGGACTCAAACATGCAACTTTTTGTTGGTCTTTTATTACAAGCTCTATACTTTGTCGCTGGTCCCTTGATACATCGCTGATGATGATCGCTCGTGCACACAACAAGTCTCAACCTGGGCGATTATGGTGAAGAAGGTGGGGAAATACTGCGAAACGAACGATAGTCTGTATACACGAACATGGGCTGGATTAGAGGTCCTGGTTCAATTCCATTTTTGTCAATGCTTTAATTGAACAAAGAGATCTCTATGCAAGTGAACCTTTGCTCATATTGACAATGCTTCCTTTTTGGCATCATCATCGTCACTGGACTCCACATTCCCTCATAGTCGATAATGCTCTCTTCGTCTACCAGCTCTACCAATGCCGTGAGGCATGAGGATAACGAGAATATACTGATGGTTGGCTGCTTGGCGTTAATGAGTGTGTCCAAGACTTGGTATGGCATTTACCCTTTTACAATTCTCTACAGGTGGGGACGCAGTCGGTACGAAGGAGATGAAAAAAACTCACCTGGGATTCTCTCCTTTATTCAAAAGCACTGTCATCTTCTGAACCGAGATCGCAGGACAACAATACGCATAGGATTACAAGTGGTGCCTGCAACTACTCCCCCTACTGCTAGAACTGCGGTGTCTGATCTGTTTCTTGAACAAATTCAGAGAGTGCAAGGTATAGGTTTGCAGCACAGAGCATTTAGGATTAGTGCTACTTTTAAGTACTGGAAGCCACAAATATTAGCTAAAACAAATCATGCAACCCTCTCGGAACCCTAATTTCTACCTCGCTTGGAAAGGTTATGGTTTGAATACCAGAATCATCAATCAACTCTAGCTAATTTATGCAAGCTATATCCTCTCCTACCTCCAAATCTGGGCAGCTTCCACCTAGTAAGAGCCACTTGCGCTACGAAAGAATAAATGACAAAATATCGCAACCCAGCAAACGCTACCACCTATCGTCACTCTGTGGATGCCACCATGATAGCTGAAGCGGTGAGTCTCCCTTCTACACAATAGCGCCTTCTGCTACTCCTTAGTGTCGTGGATTGTGTCGGAAGCCTCCTAATGTCCTGCAGAAAGGTCTAGTTCTCAATACAGCGACAGTGTCGACTAATTAGTGACCTGCAAGTCGAATTTTGATGCTGGACTCCTGCCCCAAGCGATGATCTTTATGGACGGACAGATATTATTGAAACGAGTTGCACTATAAACTTGCAGATATATTCGTGCAAACTAAACTAAAAGAAGAGGACTACAGTGAAACAAAGAGGGGAAGAGATCCCAGGTCTCGCTAGAACAAGAACGGACACAAGTCGTGCACCCATTTTCTCAAATGGATGATTCAATATCAGCCGTGGCGGTAGGGGAAACAGCGGGCTTCGGGTTGCTTTTACCGCTGGCCGCACTTTGCCTTGTAGGGTTCGAACTTTTGGACCCTGTGGTCTCCTTGTGCGTGTTGAACTGGACTTCAACAGCTCCGAGCATATGGAAGATGTTTGTGAGTTCCCTGATAACCCAATAGAAAACCTGTCTTAGCATTGCACTTGGTAAGAACAATAGTTGCTGTGGTTATACCTAAACACGATGGTCGTAAAGAATTGGTTTTTCTGTCCGTATACGGCGGCGCAAATTTGGAAAACGACAGCGATGAGGATGTGGATTGATGTCTTCATAAGGATCCTGGTGTACGCATCCGTTTCTGTAAACCCTTGGACTCCCTTAGTGCGTCTAATAGATCATACGAGCAGTAGGCGGGATCAATGTTTTAATACAGTTAAAGTCGAGCTCAGCCATGGAGGAAATTGCAAGTTCCCCTACCGAATGGCGGCATAGATTGGCATGCAGAACAGGTAGAGTTGTAGGAGATCGTTCGCGATACCGGTGAGGGCAATAAAAATGGAACCCCATCCGTAGTCAGAGGAGCAGAGACCTGACGGACGCACTAAGAATCGAGTGATGTACGTTGAGCAAATTAGGCACTTGACCTACCATATTGCACCGGCACACGGACAAAGGTATCTACAGTCAACAAGAGATCGGTGATGCGCGAAATACCCGTCACTAGAGATTTCGGAATTGGCATGGTGCGTTAGAATGGCTGCCAACAGCTAACCAATGGCAAATCTTGAACACTTACATGCAGTCAGCACAACCGATGCAACCAGTTGAAGCTTGGTCTTTGAATTAATGTACCAAGCGCCTTAAAAAAAGATCCATAAGTCTCGCATCCTCGAAAGCAAAGCAAGAAAAGGAAATTCAAGGACCGGTACTCACGGACATAAAGAACACCATCCAACATGCACGAATGCAGCACCCACATTGCATAAACTGCCCGGGCCCACGCCTTGCAATCGTGAACCCATCCCTCTGCAAACAGCGAGACCAGAAGGCAGTCTACGATTGCAAAAATGATGTGGCCCATCAAGGTAATGTTGAGCCAGTTCCACGTATTATTGGACCTTTTCAAATCTGTAAACAAGAGCGGTAAAAGGGTAAGTAGCCTGGTAAATGAATTGGGATACATTTAAAGTTTACAAAGAATACATACACGCAGTTCCCTTGACGAACATCAAGGCTAAAATGCCTATTTCGACATGATAGGCAAACTATCCGAATTATGATTCAATTGGGTAACCGTCAGTATCTGGCAAGGGCAGATATTCGCTGGACGAATGATTCCAGATAACTCACACACCTTGAACATGAAAAGCATACCCGAAAAGTCATCAACTTTGTCCATGATTGCTAGATCTGGAGCGGAATACAGGGAGAAACAAGTGTAATGCGATGCTTTCTACGTAGGACGTGATGGCGGAGGGGAAAACCAAAAACTCCAGGGTTCATATACACCTGCGGGTTCTTGATGTGGAGCTTTTGAATCTGCCCACAATCGGGGTCTGGAGACATCACATTCGAAAATCCCATTTGAAGTTGATAAGAATAAGTCAAACAAACGCAGGGTCGAAGCTTTGTTTGCATGCATTGTTGGGATACTGACTCTGGAATCCCCTAAGAAGCACAGAGATCGCGCAGAAGCCCACAATCGGGGTCTGTAGACATCAGTTTTGGAAAAATCCCATTTGGATTTAATAAGAACAAGTCAAACAAACGCAGGGTCGAAGGTTTGTTTGCATGCATTGTTAAGATACCCTGCCTCAGGATTGCAATCCTCTGAAAAAGACAGAGATCGCCCAGAAGATCTGGAAGCATTTTTCCGTCTACGGGATACCTAAATTTAGAGTTACTCCTGAATCGAGAACTAGGGTTATGTGAAATTGTGTTGACGTGTTTTGTCATGGATGTTATTTTCTCTGTTATTGGGCATTGTTTAGCGAATCACCATGGGGAACGGGATAGCTGACTGTTTACTTGGAAAACGTGGATAGTGACCTAGGGGCGATTATAGAACCGAAGCTGCGTACTATTTTCGAATTGACTGAGAGCTCAGGAATAGCACAATTTGGAAACAAAATGTCTACTGGCCACTTTAGACATTCCAAACTGTACAGTTGTTTACCATTGTGTTTGTAATAATTTGGTACGATGGTGCCCCAAGTAGTCTGTATATGTATTGTGCGCTAAACTCAATAGCCCGCATTCAATATCGATTGTCCCTCAGGACCCTAACCTTGCTCAGTCAGCATCAGAGTATCTGACAAAACAGGCATGTAGAGCAGGGTTGCCATGATGACCGTAAACACCCGCATTGCACACTTGGCCATCTCCGTCATCAAACGGGGCTTGTAATATGATATTACAAGCAAGGTCGGCCTAGGGAGACGAAAGGATTAGGTTCCATGAACACCTGCATATGCTTAATTCTAATGCCCAATGACTGTCTTGCGCGGGAGACACCATGCCCAATCATCCTTGTTCAAAGCCCTACTTTCTCCACGGGAGAACGGGTCTTGGCATCCGCTTGGCAGCCGCTGCCCCATACAGTCAGGAACGATGAATGGCATGGGGGCCACTAAAACCTTTCATATCGGCAAGTGTCCGTCGTTATTTTCTACGTACGCCCAGCCAGCCAGCAAGGGGGTAATGTTTGTGTTTTGTTGGCAATGATTCAAATCCGGAATAGTAGTCGTGTCCCTCCCGTTCATATACCGCATTCGGGAAGAGTGTTCAATCGTACAGTGCACATGTCGTCGCGTCGTTTGTTTGTCGTTCGGACATCGGTTTATTATGGCACGATACGCTTGCCCCAATCATCATCTAAGTGCGAAAAGGAAACCAAAAGAAAGAAAAAAAAGTAGTTTTGCTTGTGGCAGCTTGTCCCTGGCGGTTTCCCCCTTAACCTCCCCCTGGTGGTCGTCATCCAAAGGCGGGCAAACGGTGGCAAGAAGTAGGAACTCAGTTGTACACAGGGGCTGAGCAGCCGCTTCCTTCTCCTTCTCTTCTCTCCTTCCCTCGCATGCTCTCTCTCTCTCTCTCGATGTGATCGGTCCCTTTTTTGTGAATGAGGCTTTTTTTTTTGTTGACAACCTTTTTGGTTTATAGAATCTTGTACTTCACTCCGAGATGTAGTGTGCTTTTTTCGTCTTCTTGCGTCCTTTATCAATTTTGACTTGCAGCTGTTGGGTGGGGGGGAAATGTGGACACATTTTCCTGAGCCATCAATGAATGACAAAGAGGGTTGGCCCAATGTTACATACCTCGACGACATAAAAGGGAGTTTGTCGCCTATTCTCGCGGTTCTTTTCGTTAACGACGAGCTCTATTTTGAACGATTGCCATTCCTCCATACAATTGATTATATGCTATCCATACTGCCCAACCCTACCCTCTTTTGTGCGTTGCAAGTGATTCCCTCTGCCTGACGTTCTGTAATGTACTCGCGAGCACACCATCCCGCCCACATCCATATACCCTCCACGGCTTTCTCGCCTTATACGTCAGGTCCTTACACTGCGCCCGTCGGCGGTTCGCATCCTCCAGGCCAGCCATACTTTGAAATACCAGTCTCCATCCCGCCCTCTCCTGCCCTCTCAGAATCATCTTTACCGCTCCCATCACCGTCGCCAACCGCTTCCCCTTCACCTCAAATAGGCCCCAACAGACATCTTGCTTCTGGTGCTAGCGCCTCAAATGCAGTAAACTCGGGTCATCGACCATCGTCTAGAGATGCCATCAACGCGGACAAGCCGATTGAAGCGTCGGCTGGACCACAAAGTCTAACATTTGTTCTTTCAACAATGGAGGATGTAGCCGAGCAGATTCAACGCGAGGAAAGCGCCCCAAAGAAGCGAAGATTGAAAACCAAGGATTGGCAACGTGACATTCTGATTAGAGTCTTTGAGACGGAAACTACCATGCCGGATCCTGAGCGGCGAAAAGAGATTTCTGATGTTGTCCGAATGAGCCCGCGCGCGGTCCAAGTCTGGTTCCAAAACCGTCGAGCCAAGGTCCGGGCAGAGGCGAATCGGTCAGGCTCTGGGATACCGGCCGCGAGAAGTCTGGCTGAATTGCCAGTCCAGTCTATTCCTGGCGGAGATGGTGTAGAGGCCTACCATCAAGCATCACTGCAAGGTGGTGACATGCAAATCAGTGGCAAGCCTGTCGCTTCGGATGCTGCTGGGGACTTGCTTGCTCAACAGCAAATTGCGTCTTCCATCCGAATAGTCGAACCAAGCAGAATGCACGTTCCTCTGCAAGGTGGCATATCCGCTCGATACGGTCCCATGTCCCACTCTGACGTCCCATCTCACACTGTTCCCTACTCCTCACCATCGCCAATGTATAATACTTCTGAAGATTGTTCGACCTATCATGATCCTGACAGAGCAAATCTGTCCCCTGAATCGCACTTTCAAGTTACACCTGATCGAACTCACCCAAGTCCACGCCAGGGATTGGCATCCGGGCATTACCTCTTGCCAATGCCACCTCGACGAGCCATCAGCCTTGATTCATCCTTCCACGTCTATCCACTCACCAACACGTCCTCTGTAGCACCACGGCCGATATCGTCGTCCGGTTACTCGCCGATTCCTCATCTGGGTGACACATTTTCGACATTTGGGTCGTCCAATCCCCATCAGCTAGTGGGAGTAGCCGCTCCGCAAATGATGTACCAAAATAGCCGGAACGCAAGTCCCGTCATGGTGAATCAAGACTATTTGGAGCAGAGTGCTTACCCACAGAACTGATCTGTGGGCCATTATTTATGTACATTTGTTACGTAGAAACCCCGGATGGGCGATAAGAGTGCTGGATTGCCAAAAGTGCAGTAAACTAGGCTGAATTTGTTGGTTTGTAAAGATTATGTAGGCTGTGAATACTACAGGCGTGCGTAGCTGGTCTGCGCTTTTAAAGCAGTGAACATTGCAAAGTGAGATACACTGTACTGTCCTATAATTCATTCTCTACTCACTAGCCGTATGCCGAGGAAGAATGAGTATCATCGACTACAGCCATCCTTATTTGCTATTTCTTTTCCACTCGTTTGATGACCGCAAAAGCAGTGACCATGAAGCCCCGTTTGCAACCCCCTAATTTGATCGACTCTTGTAGTTGGGTTGTTGCGTAAGATCATCATCCAAGACCCAATATAATCAACATTTTAGCGATTCAAAAGAGAACAAGATTGACAAATGGAATAGTTTTCGCAAAAGAGATGTTTAGCAATATAGAAATGATATGGGAAATGAGGACCAGCTTCCAAGACCATCGCCATCTCCAGTCAAGTTCTTTGGCAATATCATAGCCTCCATCCATCCCATACGCACATTGGAATAAAAAGAAAACCTTCAAGGGTCTTTGGTCAGCTGGCCTTCGCTTGCGCTGCTTTCATCAACACAAAGGAAAACCCGGTGAGCGATGACTGCGAAAGGCTTGATAAAAGGCTTGTGTGGAAGGCGGTTGCGTTCATGTGTCATGATGGCCATGTACTTAAAAAGATTTCCGATCAGTCAACTACGTTTAAATTGAAAGAGGAGCTACTTGGACTTTTCTCAAGCTCACAAGCTGCAACCTGCTTGCTTGTTGTTGTTGTTGTTGTTGTTCTTGTTGTCGTTTATAAATGCCCTGCTCTGCTTCTCCCCTCGTCTGCTTGCAACTTTCTGGGAGCATCAAAACGTGATGGCTCCCAGGAATGGAGGGGAGGCAGTCCAGGTAGAGGAAAACAAACACAGAAAGGCACCCGGGAATACTCTCACAGGTATCTTGTCAAATCGCTCTTTTCATGTTTGCATGGTTTGTTAATATATTTGCTTTACTAGAGTAGGGATCGTGTTGCACTGGAATGATCGAGGAGATGCACAGACGACTTGGTTCTTCGGTTTCGCCCCATGAATGAAACTCGGCCGAATGCGCGGCGACAGATGTCGTTTTGTCTTGACGGATTCTCTTTTGCCTGGATGGTCTCAGGTGAGTGTTCTTTATTCTTTCACTCTAAAAGCAATCGCTGACATTTCTCATCCTAAGACCTCAGTCATCCCACAAGCGTCTTGTCCCGCTTCACTGCGTTGGTCGGTCCCAAATCTGACAACATATTCAGACGATGCAAACAGCAACATCGCAACATATCGGACGACCATCTGACACGTCACAATATTGCATTGCGACCATGGAGAGGTATTGTGGAGAGGTACATGCCTCACCACTCCGAACCCCCGAAACGGCTCAACACCCATCGTATCTCGTGGGATGGAGATTACACTGCAGGAATCTCCAGAGTGGTAGCCAGTAGTTAGTTGATCCCAAAAGCAGGATTGAGATGGTTAAATATGAAGTACATGTATAGATAGGTGGCATGTAAAGTACTAGCCAATATATATAATTCTAATCAACATACTGCTGTGCTTGTCCGGTAACAACAATCGATACAATTTGTATGTGCCATTGCACGTTGACCTCTGAAAGTTGCATAGTTTGGCAAGTTCGGCAAACCTGTAGATTATCAGAATACAACTCGCTTCCTTCCTAGATCTGCCATAAGGATGTTGGCAACACAGAGGACATTACGAATAACTTGCAAAGTTTCTGGTGTTTCGGCCGGACCATCGAGCTTCAGTACCTCATATGTTTGTAAAAGTACAATAGAATGACTATCATGATGGCAGGCAAGTTGATTTGTTTGTCATAGGACAGCCTGACCGGTTGCACACTTGGTATTGCCCATGTCTCAGTGCCCATTTCCCCAGCCGGCATTTTGTCATGTCGCGGATAGCAGTCGTCATTTTGTAAAGGTTAAGACCCAATAATGATATTTGATTGATATTGGCTTGTGGATCTTCAGTAAGCGTAAAGGCTGCGTAGAACGCATCCAGGTCGATCCGCAAAACCGCGGGTGGGTAATAGCAGAACTGGGTAGTGCCATACATACTAGCAGCATTCCCATGCGGCAATCCAGCAGCCGCGGGCAATGTTGCCCAGCGGAAATGCGACTCCCTTCCTTTGTAGGCCAGTGATAATGATGTTGGCAACGCAGGGGACATTCTCCGGGAACTTGATCACGAAATGAGTGGCCAAGAAGCCATTGGACGTATTGATCTTGGTAATCTACGAAAGTCATCGGTGAGGAGAGTCGTTGTTCCTGTCAACTGTGGTAACCGTATGGGTTGACTCCACCGTCAAGGACGCCGCTGAGTTTCGAAGACCAGTCGAAGTTATCGCTTCTCTAACCGGACACGGATATCGTTATATTCGGGTTTCATCAAAGTCAAAGTGTTAGTTACTCCTTTCGCGAAGGAGATCATCGTGGTCATGTTCCCGAGAGGCTTCCAAAGATCGAGATCGGAATTGTAGCCTCTGCCTTGCAGATGTCGTTCGCCGATGCTAGCGGCGTCGACAATATGGAAACCTGCCATTATGAGGTACCGGACGGCGCAAAACCGTAACAGCTTCATAGCTGCCAGTGGATGACTTCAACGATGTCAAGTTTTAGGTAGTTGGTGGTGGACCCTCCCCATTTAGATCACAAACTAGCTAGAGGAAAACGATACTGCTACGTGCATAAATAAGGGGGCTGCAGAGCGTCGTCTTCTTTGGGCATATGTCCTTGGCGTACATAGAAAATTCGCTAAAAGCCAACAAGAATTCGACTGGAATTCCAAATGTCTCTGAACATCACCTTCTTCGAGCAGCCAAACTGCACTGGCTTTATTCAGTCTACCCTCGTCACATCATGCACGACCATCGATTTATCCCGGAACTACACCGGCCTGATCATTACGCAGCCCAAAAACGATTTCTTCGTCCTCGATAAGGGTCATTGCAGCTCACCAAATCCATTGCGAGGTAACAAGACTATCGACAATATGTCTTCCGATAATAGCGTCACCATCAGCCCAATGTCCGCTTCCCGCAAGAATGCAAAAACGGGCATTGCATATGTCGTTATGAGCGCTGCGGCATTAGCTGTTCTGAATGGAATACTCTAAGTTTTTGGAACTATGTGTTTTACACTCGATCTCATACTGTATTCAATACTGTAGAAAATAGAACTTTCAATGTAGCAAAGGGCGTTTAACCATGTTTGCGCCGATAGATTTTCGGTCTCGTCAAATGTAAACAATCGTCGTCGAACAAAAATCTCTTCCATGTCAGAATCAACTCTTCGTGCAAAATCCGCTAACATGAAACCTCGTATGCTCGGGATGTTAGCAATCTTAATGCTTGTTATTGATGTGCGCTTTTTCTTCTTTGTACAGCTGGGTTGGGTCGTTCGACGCAACATAATAGTCTGCAGATCCCAATTCAGATATTCTGCTTCATGTTTGGGACATGTTGGACACTTTGAAAGTAATTAAAGGACTATGATAAGTCCAGAACATAATGTGGAACATTGTTTTTGGACTGTTTTTTTTGTTCGTTTCCTTTTTGTTTAACCATTTTCATCACATCATTCCCATTTCGATACGTCATTCACAACATAAATACATCTAATCATGAGAGGGGAACAACCCAGGCGCCATAATCTGCAACAGCATCACTACATTCAATCCAGTAATAATGGTCGCAACAAGCACTGCAACAATGGTCGTATAAATAGCATTTTCGTAGGTTTTGGTCGTAGAGTCGCCTTGCGTGGAAGCCGATGAGACAGAAACCTCGCTGGTCCTGGAGGTGGTATGGATGGGAATTTCTTCTACCAGAGGCTCCTTGTCTTCGGAACTGTATGATTCGGCAGCGTATTTGACAGTCATAATACCTGCAATAAAACATCATGAGTGCATCGCATAAATTCCCAAAAATGAAAACCAAGCTTACTCTTTTTGGAAGTAAAATAAATTAAAGGCCAGACAGCAAAAGGTAACTGCATTGACAAAATAACTTGACTGATGACCAATAAATCATCCAACCCTTTCTGTCCCTTGATAATAACAGTGACCATAGCGGGAATAATAGCGAGGAGTCTAGAGACCAATCGCCTCACCCAGGGTTTCATTCTCCACCTCGACCCCAAGAACCCGCCCATAACAACTTGCCCAGCAATGGTGCCAGTGATAGTAGAACTCTGTCCACTACACAACAAGGCGACGGCAAAGAGCGTTCCAGCCGCGGCACCCAGCTCGGTACCCAAGAGACGGTAAGCGTCTTCAATGGTAGCCACTTCAGTCTTTTGCGCAAAGAATACGGCAGCAGCAACAATCAGAATGGACGAGTTCACAAACAGAGCGTAGGTGAGCGACATGATACAATCGATAAAGGAGTACCGAATCGTACGAGGGAGTAGTTGAATGTGTCGGTGAGGCCGGCGGGAAGCTATGCGAGGTATCTCGGTAATGGCGTGGATGGTGCCGGCGGGTGCAAATGTCGAGGTCGTGGTCGGCTGGTACCGGTACAAGACGAGATGCGTGTGCAGGTAGAGGTTATGCGGCATAACGGTCGCACCAACGATTCCCATGAAAATAAATAACTGCTTCGGGTCCGAAAAGAGTTCAGCTCTTGGAAGATACCCAGCAAAAACGTCGCCCCAAATCGGTTTAACTTTGATCAACAAGGCAATAAAACAAATGCCAATCGATGCGATCAGCGCCATAATAAAAAACTCAAAGTAGCGCAAATGCTTTGGGGTGAATCCCAACAGAATAATGAGAACATCCAACCCAGTGATGGCGACACCCCAGGGTAAGGGAATGCGGAAGAGTAAGTTGAGAGCAATCGCCGCTCCAATGACTTCCGCAAGGTCGGTAGCAATAATGGCAGCCTCGGCGGTGATGTAGAGAACCATACTGGCATAGGGGTGAAAATGGTGACGACATAGTTGGGCCAAGTCTCGACCCGTGACGAGACCGGCTTTGATAGCAAGGGATTGCAGAAGGACGGCAAAAATGTTTGAGAGGAGGATACAAAAGAGGAGGTTATAGTAGAATTGCGAGCCGCCGGAGAGATCTGTAGCCCAGTTTCCAGGGTCCATGTAACTGTTGATAGACAGAGTGAGAAAGCGTCGGCATGGAACGTTTTACTTTAACTAAAAGCCCTTACCCGACGGCAATCATTGATCCAGGTCCAATGAACTTTATCAAAGTCTTCCACCAAGGCGTTTTGGGAAGAGGTGTACGGTCGCGAATTTCAAGGACAACGTCCTTACCATGACCGCTCCCGTCCACATTCTCAACCTCGTTGAAAGGCTTTTTCTCGTTCTATTTTGAACAGCGTCAGTTGCAATACCTCTTTCACGTTACAATTGCATGATCTCACCATGAAAACCTCCTCCTCTTCCGTACCCCCCAACAAAGCATCATTGGACGTGCCCGCTGAAGCAAAGCCAGAAGAGGATCCACCTCCTCCTGCACCATTTCCTCCCACACCGGCCGAGATGAGAGCGGAATGCCCGAGAGCAGCGTCCGCGTGGCGGGGCGTGGTCACGTCCAAGACGGACGGCGCAGACTGGGACGCAGCTGGAGAGGGCGAAGGGGCCGCGGGCACCGGGACAGGGTTGGGTTTGTTCATGTTTTTCTTCTACGCAAGGACTCGTTAGCGGTTTGTTGAGTAATGCACAAGAGGAAAAGGATGCGAATGCTGCGCTCGCTCCTTTTGAAATGACGTTTGGAAACCTCTCTCCGATTCCCTCCGATATAATTATTTTCTGGAACCGGTCATACTTTCAAACGCGCGCCGCAAATTAAAACCTTATGGCCTTAACACGAAAGTTGTTTTGAAGAAAGTAAGCAGGAAAGCAATGGACAGCAGAAAGGATGGAAGGAAGGAACGTTGAAGGAGGAGGAGTTGAAATATCATGAAAGAGCTCGAGGTATCTCATCATTGGAAATGGAAGTCCAAGTTCTAAGTCGCCATGATGGATAGTCAAAAGCCGTTGGCAGAACGAACAACATGCGCACTGTTGAGAGACATTGATGGGGCCTGGCATACAAAGCGAAATGGAAATGGGAAACTGGGTTTTATGAAAAGTTGCTATATTTAAGAACACCTCGGCCCTCCCAAGAGTATTACTGTACTTTAGATGTGTACAATAGTTACTAAAGACTCAGTATCAGCCTTTTGGGATCAAAGGTACGAAGCAACTTACCTTCTGTATTCCCCGTCTGAGACTCATATCCCGGAAAAAATGAATCCTGTCGGGAATGCCACTCAAGGGGCCGATGCTCCCCCGATCGGATCGTTCGCAAGATGTTTTTTGAGTCTTGAAAGAGGGTTAAAGACCACACCTTTTTATAAGGTTGCAATAGACACTTGCTTATGTCGATGATGGTGCAGTCCTGGGCTGGGGCAACTGCACGCCCACTTCCTTAAGATTTTATTGAGTTCGCTCTGCGAGCGCAGGTAAGTCTTTCACGATCCATATCGTGCTTTTAAACGTGTGCCGTATCACAATGGATGCCGTGCAAGAGCCGAGCGGCCCAAAAAAGAGTATATTGCAAACAAGAAACTTGTCGTCTTCGCCTTGATCCGGCAGACAAAGAAAATATATCAAAAAAACGCATTTGTTGGGCACGTAATACCAAACAATGCGCTGTAGTGAATCATCAACAAAAAATAAACAAACCATTCCTATTATGTAAATCGAACTTGTCCCATGAATACATCGACATGAGTAGTACATGCAGCGAAGCCGGGCGTTGAATTTGGAACTTTAGTGCATCTTAAACACTGTTCACCGTAACAGATGTTCTTTTATATATAGAGTGATTTTACATGTTTTACAACAAGAGCAGAAGCGTCGCAATGTTTTCTATGCATTGGATAATGTTTTCTCTGCAACATACCTCGACAATACCTGCCATTTTCATCTGGAAGAAAGGCGGATTAATCGTGCCGTCCAGATCCATTCGAATTCTCATTCGTACTGATGTATCGACAGGTTCCCAGTGGGGTGCTATAGCGTATGCGGATGCACACCTTTTGCCACTACAAAAGAGTTGCAAGGCGTTTGTTGGAACTGGCCAAGCATCGTCTGGGGTAAAAGGTGACGCGGTGACGCGAATTGGGCGCAAGCGTAGCGCATTTCCTCACGCAGCTCTTCGACAGCTGAATACCCGCTGACACTCATGTTACTTTGGCCTCCTTACCCTTCGCTTGATCCTCTCCACAATCCATCTGACTTCTCTCCTTCTCCTAGAGTACGTTACCTATCTCCGTTTCCACCTGATGCAGACCTCCAAACCGGTGTGGCGCATGCGGGGCGTATGTGGATATGATAATCAGCTCCAGCGACTGACTTGCCAATGCTTTTCCTCTGGCTCTCTTTGCAGATAGACATTTATCAACCACTTTGAGATAATAAATTCCGTATTTTTTAGCGGCATGAAAGCGTGCTGAGCTGTACCTACTACTAGCCAATAAAAAATGTTTTATTCCACCTGTCGAAACGCCTCCAGAATACACCCAATTGTGGCCACGCTTGAACGTTCGGGTGAATCGCATGGGGAGGCGAGAAATGCAGATGCATTTTTGCGAGATGCGCCCATCATAGGAGATACGGTGCACCCGGTCAGTATCCCCGCATTGACTGCCCATTTTTTCTGCAGTTATGTCCGGCCGGTCTTGTTTTTCTTTGCGTCACGCAGATCTGCGCCCAGATGCTTTTGACAGCTTCCTCTGATGCATCGCGTCAACCTCCACATGCGCTACCGCTTGTTGTGGAGATGTGTTCGGCCGCTTTCTTTTCCTTTGCATCACGCGGATCTCCGCATGGACCTGTCCATCTTTTGTGACGACATCTTTGACCGCTTCGTTTGGCGGATCCGATGAATTTCCGCATCCACCGCTCGAACGCTTTCATTTGCTTTGGTGAGTCGGGAGAACATATCAGGCGACTGTCTGGAGCATAAAAGGCGACCAGGTTTCTTCGTACCCACCCACACACGACCGGTACGCAGTTCATTACGTCCATCTCAGTCTCTCTCTCGCTCTATCCGAGACTCTCTCGACTCTCTCTTTCTCTGCCCCAACTCTCCATCTCATGCCCTGTACTGCGATCTTTTGCACGTTCTCGTTGACTTCCACGTCCCTGGCGGCCATGCCGGCCCCAATTTTCCCCTCACTCTCCCATAGAGTCACCAGTAATCGCCCAAGCATACTTGCAACCATGCGGGGCACTACACTATGGGCACTATAGGATGCTGCTGCCCCGAAGGGGTTCGCACCATGATAGATATTAACCAGTAGGTTGAAGGAGCTACATACGACGAAACTTAGACTAACCTTGATTGTCCCATTTAGAATAGATTCCGGGACGCGGCAGCAAAGATGCGGGATTACAGGAATGTCAATCTCGGGGACAATGCTATGGTCGCGAGTATGCTTGGGCGACTGCTGGTTACTCTAACAGGGGGAGAATGAGGGGACGATTGGGGCCGGCATGGTGACCGCCATGGACGTGGAAGTCAACAAGAATGTGCAAAAGATCATCGGTCGTGCGCAGCACAGGTTAGCAGCTACACCATCGCATCTTTTATCTTGTTTGTATTACTGATTGATACATGGCAGGTTGATTCTGCACTGGAACACGGCGGCCGATGCGGAGAACTTTCTCCGCGTAAGCTCTAGTATAAGGTCGGCGGTGGAATTTTTCGGCAACCCTCGCGGTACAGGACATGAGATGGAGAGTTGGGGCAGAGTGAGCGAGAGATAGTCGAGATAGAGCGAGAGATTGAGGTTGACGTAGTGAATTCGGTACCGGTCGGTGGTGGGTGGGTTCGAAACCTCGTCGCCTTTGATGCTCTAGGCGAGGCATGGGAGCGAGAGTGAGAGTTGGAAGAGTCGAGACAGAGCGAGAGAGAGCCGAGAGAGACGTGCCCACCCGGGTGTTGCACCTCGATTGACATCAATCGGTAGGTTGGATCAAGGATTTTTTATAAGACGACGCTTAGCCTAACCTTGATCGTCCCATTTAGATTCCACCCAGTGGTTCCTCTCGTATAGTCCGGAGATGAAACTAGGCAGAATGACGACTAATCCTTGACTTTTCATGGGATGGTGTAGTTGCAGGTGGGAGGGTTAGTGGGAGAGCCTAGACCTGTTTAATAGCTTATAGCGGATATCATTTACAATAAATAGTATACAAAGTCATGAAAACGATCCAGTTCACAGATGCTTTGATTGCTTACGCCCTGATTCCATAAGATCATATATTCACGTGCCTTTTGAGCTGCTCCTCATTAAACTATACTTGTGTTAATTACTGTGGGTATCACGTGATATAAGACCGTATTGCTCTGCTTCTGAGGCCCAACCAATGGCAATGGGAGAGATGTCCTACTTTGTCGTAAGAATATGCATATGCGAAGACTGGAAAAAGGCCTCTGTGAAGGTGGATCTTTACGACAGTTATCTTCTGTCGTCAATATGCCTTGTACTCATTGGCCGCGGGTTTCATCCACAGCTGCCAACAAGTCGCTTTAACGTATTGGTGGGAGGAATGGTTCATTTAGAGTTGGTAAAAGGCGTACACCATAATACATGTGCGAAAAGATTCTTCAAACCAAACTAGCTGGTCATTACTGGGATGGATGCCATATTACAACACAGGAATATATTTCAACATAACACACTCAATACAAAAAAATACATCTAGTCTTGCCCTGGGGGGTACGTACAAAACCTAAAAAATCGTGGAGTTAGCAATCGGTCAGGATCACCGGACGCATCCTCCATCGGCCAACTCCCCCATGCGCGATTGAAGGAAAAGCACATCCTCCAGCGGAGGCCTTCCTGACGAAGCGACAACGGCAAAGCACATCCTCTAGCAGAGGCCTTCGTGACGAAGCGACAATGGCAAAGCACATCCTCTAGCAGAGGCCTTCGTGACGAAGCGACAATGGCAAAGCACATCCTCTAGCAGAGGCCTTCGTGACGAAGTGACAACGGCAAAGCACATCCTCTAGCAGAGGCCCCTTCGTGACGAAGTGACAACGGCAAAGCACATCCTCTAGCAGAGGCCTTCGTGGCGAAGTGACAATGGCAAAGCACATCCTCTAGGTGAGGCGTCGCGGGGAAACCCCCGAGAACAGCACATCCTCTAGCAGCGGCCTTCGTGGCGAAGTGACAATGGCAAAGCACATCCTCTAGGTGAGGCGTCGCGGGGAAACCCCCGAGAACAGCACATCCTCTAGCAGCGGCACCCATCACCACAACCCCACGCACAGCACATCCTCTAGCAGCGGCACCCATCACCACAACCCACGCACAGCACATCCTCTAGCAGAGGCCACCCATCAGCACAACCCCACGCAAGGCACATCCTCCAGCAGAGGCCACTCGTCAACAGATGCACACAAGATTGCATAACCTCCAGCGGCTGCCCCTCTTACAAAGAACCAAATCCTTCATCCCAAATTGCCACCCACCTTTTAAAATATCGGTGAAATTTGCGAGAGGTAGAAAAGAAGGGATTCGATTGTCGAGGAAGAAGACGTGGGAGAATGTTGCGAGGGAGCGTCGCGAACGGACGCGCTTTTATAGAAATGTCTGGGTCGCGTGGACACTTGATTTAACCAAATAGAGAATACTCTTGTAATTTTGATTTAACCAAATATAGAATTATGAAAGTTCCTCTTAGTCCACACCAATCAGCAATGGTTCCCAGCGAATCTGCTAGGTGCGGTGGTTGAAGATATTGTTGAGTT